TCTTTGTCTCGTGTCGTGTGTTTGGAGGAGTAAACTTCAGTGTAACTTATTATCATCGTTATTCTCTTTAGTTTTAGCTGAACTTGATGTGTTTGATACAATTTGTAACTCAAATAAATTGGGTTTATGATGATAATAAACATGAAACAATGAGGCTTTAACAATGATAAATGTTAGATGTTTTGGGAGGAGGACTTAGCAGATCATCTCTTTTGTGATCTGGTGTAATTTGGTGTTTCCTTGTTTGACGTGATGCACGACATGCAGGTTTAGAGGCAAGTCCCAGAGACGATGAGTGCGCCGACATCAACAACACCACCTGGTCGCAGTACCGGCAGCGCCGAGCGGAGCAGCAGGTCCGGTACCTGCTGCTGACCCGGAGGAACCAGGACTGTGCCCAGGCGTTCACCCGGCAATCTCTCACGGAGACACAGCAGCAACCGTCCCACTTCAACGTCTCCCGCCCGACCAAGGTCCTCGTCCACGGGTACAGGTGAGGACCCTCAGAGACCCTCAGAGACCCGTCGTCGCCATCCTGGACCACATCCGTTGCCATTTTGTTATTGTTCTTCTTTTCACTGAAGAGACGCCGTACACGTCTCTGAGACGCACTGTGCAGCTCTAAAGCTTAAAGGGCTTTATGTGACTCTACGTGGACTCTTTCCTCACTCCCCCCACCCGATTCCCCCGCAGGGCGATGGGCAGTAAGCCGTCCTGGGTGAAGCAGCTGGCCGGCCGCCCTGCTGAGGGCGGAGGACGTGAACGTGCTGGTGGTGGACTGAGTCTACGTCGCCTCTTCGTCTACATCTGGTGGTGGAGACTACTAGGAGGTGGCTCTGCAGATCTCCGTCCTCATCAACCAGCTGCAGGTGACAGAAAAGTTCATTTATTTCATCATTTATTTTAGGACGTTCATTTGTTGTGTTTTAAAACAGTAGGACAGGTCAATTAGGGTCAGATGAAGTAATCGGTAATCTCTTGTAGGTTTACTAAGTTCAGGGTCACAACCTTGAGACGAGGAATATAAAGTAACGCTGGAGAGTTTTTACTAAATGCACAATCTCATCATGTAGTTTTTCACCCCAACCAGTGAACAGGAAGTGACCATATCTGGATTAAGGACTCACAGACGTTTGACTCTAAATGGACCATCATTTACTAAATGAACATCATGCTGCGTTGAAGGAGACTTGAAAATAGAGACTGAGACCATAAACTCATGTTCACAATGTTTACTGAGGGAATAAATAAAGTAGAGTCATTTCCTCATAGACGTCTATGGGAGCAGAGGAGTCGCCCCCTGCTGGTCACTACAGAGAAGTAGAGTCATTTCCTCATAGACGTCTATGGGAGCAGAGGAGTCGCCCCCTGCTGGTCACTACAGAGAAGTAGAGTCATTTCCTCATAGACGTCTATGGGAGCAGAGGAGTTGCCCCCTGCTGGTCACTACAGGGAAGTAGAGTCATTTCCTCCTAGACGTCTATGGGACCAGAGGAGTCGCCCCCTGCTGGTCACTACTGAGAAGTAGAGTCATTTCCTCATACACGTCTATGGGAGCAGAGGAGTCGCCCCCTGCTGGTCACTGCACAGAATGCAGCTTTAAGACCCTTCCGCGCTTACAACTGCAACTGTGTTGTCTAACAGGAACATGGATGCAAACTGGAGTCCTTTCACTTCATCGGGGTCAGTCTCGGGGCCCACGTCGCTGGCTTCGTGGGGACTCTGTTTGAGGGGAAGATAGGACGGATCACAGGTGAGTCCGGACGTCCTCCCTGTGACACATCACTGCTTTTCAGACGGATCTCTGCAGAAAAACCAATCATTTGGAAGCTGGATAGGAGGTCAAGATAAATAACCAAAGCCCGGATGGAGAACTGTTTCCCAATCACCAACAACAACAGTTGTTGGTGATTGGGAAACAGGAAAAGAGGCAGCTGCCAGACAGTGAAGCCTCTGGAACCTTTCAGTGTGACCTCTCCGGAGGGACAACGGCACTTTGATAAGAGCCAGCTGTGTGGAGAGAAAACACAGCTGCACTGTCTTCTTTATCTGACAGGGGGGTTTAATCCAAGTGCCTATAGAAAGGAGACTCCAAAAGACATCTTTCAAATAGTAATGGTGATATTTAAGGGTTCAACGCTGGTATGATCAAGTAGGTAAAGGTCTTCTACAAAACATCTACGGGTGCTTTTGTGTTTATTTTCTCACAAAATCACATCACGATTGTGTGAATTCAGAGGAAACTGCTAACTTGAGATGAAAGTTCAGCATCCGGTTGAAAATGTACATCAACAATTATTGTTAGAGATTATTGAGCGATGTGTGAGTTTTTTTCCACATGTCAGCAAGTGAATCAGCTTCAATACGCAGTGACTTCACATGGTGGAGCATCTGAAGCATCTGGATGGGCCTGCAGACACGTGGAAGGAGAACAGACCCCGCTCACAGAGTTCTGCTTGTCCCGCAGGTCTCGACCCGGCGGGGCCGATGTTCAAGGGAGCCGACACCTACGACCGGCTCGACTCCTCCGACGCCCAGTTTGTGGACGCCATCCACACCGACTCCGACTGTGAGGCGGCCTTCCCTTAGATACCAAACAGCCCGAAAGGAAGCTGATAACTTGTCTAAAGGTTTCTCCTCTGAGGGCAAAAGACAGCGACACCAAAAGAAGGAACCATGTCGACATGATGTTAAAGAAAATGAATAAGCTGTAAAGATCAAACATACTTAGCCTTTAGTTAGGACTATCCAAGAGATGAAATGTGGTTATTACTGTAACTTGTAGGACAGGAATAGATACAGATAAATGAATAGATAAATAAATAAGTAAACGTAGAAACTATACAGGGGCAAGTCAGGCACAAGTAATCATATAAAATGATTCATTAATAGCAATCTTTGGTCTGTTTTGACCGTTAGCTTATGGATGCTAACGTTAGCAAACATCTGACTCAGTGATGATGGAGACGATGATGTTCTTTGGGCAGCCAACCCGAGACACTCTTGGCAAGTGGAGGAATATCTTGAACCAATGTTACACATGTCGAGGGACGTTGTGTCAAAAAAACATCAAAACTATTTTCCTTATTGAGCGAATTACTTTTTTTGTGTGTTTCCAGAATAAAGCAGCACTAACCAGGTTTTCCTCCGCTCCAGATTTTGGGATCTCCATCCCGGTGGGTCACGTGGACTTCTTCCTGAATGGAGGAAAGGACCAGACCGGATGTGCTCGCTCCAGGTTCACCTCCAGTAAGTTATGTCACTCTGGTGCAGTTCTCAAGTTTAACGTACTGGTGCTTTCTATTTTCTGCTGCTTCATCCTTGTACTCCATTACGTCTCAGGGATATCCTCATCTTCACTGAACTGTATTTATTTACTTTAGCCACTTAGCAGATTCAGGTGATTAAAATAAAATGTAACCCTGTTAAGATGCATTATTATAGATGAAGATAATTTATAAGTAATTAAAAGTAATACAAATCAACTCTATCTTTTCACATCAATAATTATAATCCATCTTAACTGAGTACTGTTACTTTTGGTATTGTAGTGTATTTGGATCACTTCACTTGTTCACTTGTAGCAGAATAGTTATACACTGTAGTATTGCTCCATACTTCTTTCACTGCTGACAAAGGGGGAACTACTGTGTTTGTGTTGCATTCTGAAAAAGAGATGTGTCCTCCAACAATTAGCTTTGTTTTTCTTGGAGAAGTTGAAATGAAATAAATACGTATAAAATAATAAAAGACAAGACAAAACTTGACTAAAACGAAACATGAGTAAATATATAAGTAGATATCCGTTAAAATAACGTTTTAACCGAACCCCCTAAAGAAAGAACAGGCGTTGAGGCGGTGGAGGCAGGCTAGTGTCTCTGTGTGTGTCAGTTCTCGTGTACTTCCCAGTGTACGGCTATGTGATATGCGACCACATGAGGGCGCTGCACGTCTACATGAGCGCGCTGAACGGCTCCTGCCCGCTGGTCGGGATCCCGTGCTCGAGTTACGAGCACTTCCTGCAGGGACGCTGCTTGGACTGCGACGTCTTCCAGGGGACATGCCCCACCATAGGTGAGACTTTGATTGACACGTCCCGTTCTCTTACCTTTGGTGACGAGAGCACGTTGCTCACCTGTGCGCGTGCCCTCAGGTGCGACACCGGGCCGCGGGATCCTCGTCTCCCCGATGCCCAAAGAGCAGAAGCTGTTCCTCCTCACGACCTCGGCCGCCCCGTTCTGCTGTGAGTCAACCGCAGATCTAACCCCTAAACCCTAAACCCTAGCCCCTAACTCCTAACTCCTAACACCTAAACCCTAAACCCCTAACCCCTAAACCCCTAACCCTAACCCACCCTAAACCCCAAACCCTAAACCCCTAATACCCAACCCCTAACCTCTAAACCCCTAACCCCTAAACCCTAAACCCCTAACCCTAACCCCTAGCCCCTAACCACTCCCTAAATATGGGTGGTGTTAGCTCAGGAGTTATTAAGGGCCTCACAGGGAGTGTTCACTGGAGCTTTTATCTACTCATAACACATGAAGATGAATACTACCCCTCCACCCCCTCCAGCTCGTCACTTCCTGCTGCAGATGGAGGTTTCTCCACTGGTCAAGAGCGCCGAGCGTGTTTATGGTGACCCTGAGGACAGAGAACTTGACAGCAGAGAAGAGACTCAGGCTGTAGGTACCAACTCTACTCCACTCTGAGTGCTAACAGCTTCTGAAACATATATTCACTATTTGAAACTCTCTTGAGCTTTTTCAGAAGAATGAATTATTATGATACTTAATAAAGTCAACGGTATTTGACCCAGAAAATGCTTCATATGTTATTTTCTCTTTAGCCTTTAACATTTTGCAGACAGATTTCGGTTACCTGTTATGGAGTATTTGTGGTATTTCTACTGTTACTCAAGCAATGGATCCGAGTACTTCTCCCACCAGTGCTCTGTGTGTATTTGTACCTGGAAGGTGTGTTGAGCATCCAGCCTCTGGTCCGTGTGGTTGTGTAGTATTCTCACGTGTGTGCGTGTCTCAGTCAGACGGACACCACGGTGTACCGGGCGGTGCTGTCCCACCCGCTCGCTCTCTGCGAGATTGACTCCATCCAGCTGAAGAACACCGGAGCTCGGTTCTACAGGCAGTCGGAGATCCACGTCAAGTCCGTCTGCCTCTCAGAGTTCCCGGCGCTCAGGTACGAAGCACCTGACACGACCTCACGCAACAGCCCCCAAGGGGCAAATATCAGTGGACGAGAGAATGTTCATCACTCATGTGCAGGAGGAGTGATCCAAATAAACCTTAAAACCTGGATTCCTGAGACCAAAAAAACAAAAGAACATAACATAATATAACCCTTAACGATAAGTCCTGAATAGTTTGTTCGCCAATAGTGACGCATCAGATGTCTATTTTATTCATGCATGTCTCCATCTCTATGGTCCTCACTCAATAGACAAGCTGTGAAATGCCAAAAATAATGATCTCTACAATCCAGAAAATAGTCAAATTATGAATTCAAAGTTTCATGTTTTGGTGTCCCTGTTTCAGGCGGGAGGAGCCGCTGTGCGTGAACAACATCCACTTCAAACGAGGAGCGCCGTGGTCACATGACTTTGTCCAGGTGTGTGGTGTCGTCTAAAGACGTGAAATCTACGCCAAAGACCCGGGAGGGGGGGTCAGCCAGCGGCTCTCCAGCACCATGCACCACGCATAATCCACCGATCTCCCAGTCACGACGCCACCCGTTGTTCACTTTTATATCTTATACTTTTGATGTAACATTTGTTGTTTGTAGTTTACATCTTTGCCTTTTCCTGCAGCTTCTTTGCAAGGGTTGAAAAATAAATAAATACACTTTTTTCCAACGGTGGCGATTGAAGTTACAGTGAATTACTTTTAACTGGTCCCGAACCAGTGTGAGTTTAGTCCTGATCCTCTGTGTAGACCAGTATCAGGTTCGTCCTGATCCTCTGTGTAGACCAGTATCAGGTTCGTCCTGATCCTCTGTGTGAACCAGTATCAGGTTCGTCCTGATCCTCTGTGTAGACCAGTATCAGGTTCGTCCTGATCCTCTGTGTGAACCAGTATCAGGTTCGTCCTGATCCTCTGTGTAGACCAGTATCAGGTTCGTCCTGATCCTCTGTGTGAACCAGTATCAGGTTAGTCCTGATACGCTATATGAACCAGTCTTAGGTGAATCCTGATCCTCCATGACCTCCATGCGTGAGTCTCTGTGGCACACTGCTTAGAGCAGCCAGATCGGTGTTTCTGGGCGACTGTGGCGCATGGAGTAGAGGAGCTGCACCGGGAACCGCAAGGTTGGCAGTTCGAACCCTGGCTGCTTCATGTCCCATTGTGCGGGATGGCTTAAATGCAGAGAACTATGTGCACTATAATACTTTTTCTTCTAATAAACTCAGAGACACTTCCACTCTGGTCCACAGGTGGCGCCAGAATCAACACTACATGGAACCTCTTGTAGCAACTTCCTCTCTAACTAAGTGAGAGTCACTGGAGGAATAAAATGTGACAGCTGTATAAACCCAGTGTTGAGATGTCTGACAGGAAGTAGACAGTAGCAGAAAACAAAAAAACACCTTTTCACTGCACACAAAGAGCTTTATAGAGAAATCTTGGCCCCATGAAAATACTTCTTAAAAACCTCTCCCCCTTTAGTCGCCTCTGAATTGAACAATAACAGGACAAATAAACCAATTCACAGTTTACATGTGTGTATGAAATACTCAAATAGGTACAAACATTTAAAATAAACACGGTCTATACGGTGTAAAATATATCGGCAAAGATGAAGTTTGAGGATTGGCTCCAGATGGCATCAAGTCACGGTGCAATCAGATAAACCAAATAAATATGAAAGTAAAATGGGGGAAATTAAATCTTAAAATCTCAAAAAAACAAATATTGCCCTTCTTATGAAGACGAGCCGATTTAAAAGCACACATTCAATCAGTCAGAGCTATAAAATGTTGTAAATTAAACAAATTCAAAAAATTGTGTAATTTGTGTAATTTGTTTTATCATCAACTATAAAAAAGATAAAAAACAAATTCATCCGTATCACTGAATCTGATTTAATGCCATAAAATATTAAAATTTCAGCCCGGCCGTCTGTCCTCGGTGTTGCGTTGCGACTTAAGTAGGATTTAATTCAGATTTTACTACTACTAATTTATTAAATGCTGGACGCGGTTTATCTGCAAGTATCCATCTTTAATCGGACAGATGTTATTCTCTGATAGCACACACACACCATACGAAGCCTTTTATTGGTTCAAATATCTGTTATGTGGATGTTTTACTTTAAATGAGTAAACGTGTCGGGTCCCGCTGTCTCCACGATTTTGAGGCAGATTTCAGAGCTTGGCGTTGGGCTTGAGATGGTGACACTTGACACGTGACACGGCGTCACGTGACATGTGACACGTGACACGTTGGTGCTGCCTCGCCGTGGACAATGGAGGGACTGGGGTCACAGTTTGGGGGTGTCGGTGGGAGCTAGCGGCGCTCTGCCCCGCTGGAACCGAGGTGGTCGATCCACGTCGACATCACTTCCTGCAGGGCGACGTTGAAGCTTTGGTTAGGACTCTTCATCATCATCATCCTCATCCTCACCATCACACACTGACTGCAACACGAGGCCAACTCACGTTTCTCCTTTCACACAGATAAATAATTAAACAAACAAACGACCCGGGTGTAATTTATCACGCGGGACATAATTCGTTATTTACTTTTGTTTATTGCATTAGTTTCGTAAACGTAAAAACGACGTCTGAGGAAGATTTGACCTTCAACCAAAAACTCCGGTCTGTGATTGGCCGAGGGGCAGTTTTTGGTTACGGTTTGGAGGGCGGGCGGGTTTGAAGGGGGGGTGGACGGACATGCTGCCAAAGGGAAGGGGAGACGGCGGGGGGACGCCGGATTAATAACACCGTATATTGCAGGTTTTTTTTACATTCCCTAAATTTCCGATCTCTAATCCTCATGTGACAAGAACACAGCTGCTATCACGAACAACAACACACACACACACACACACTCCATTTATTCAAGTCCTTCAAATTAAAATAACAGATTACATTTAAAATAAAATAAAGTTGAAGAAAATTGAATAACTTCAGAAAATAAAAAATTTAAATTATATTTAAGAACAAAGAAAACATGCATTTGCCGTAGTGTCTCCCTATGAAGCCGGGTTAGTAAGGGATGTGCAAGCTGCCCATGCACCCACGACCCCCCTCCCGGTGCCCAGGTGATGTACTTACTTGTAGCGCGAGTGGTGACCCCCGTGTGTTAGCCGCAGCACCGTGCCCCTCTACCTCAAATAATCCCTCTCACTGCCGTAGTCCGTTAAGGAGCCCGCCACATCGGCAAAGTCCTCCAGGACCAGGCTGGTGGAGTCCTCACCGGCGGGCATATCGGGCTCCGACGCCCAGGGGTCCTGGTGGGCCCGGGGTGGGTCCGATGAGGGGTTCCTTGGTCCCTGAGGGTGGGGCTGAAACTGGGCCATGTCGGACACCTGGTAGGCTGGCGCCGGGTCTCCGGCCTCCATGTGCTCCTTGCCGATGCCGCCCTCGCTGCCGATGCCGCCCTCGCTGCCGCTGCCGCTGCCCTGTGAGGAGGGGGCCAGCACGTGGTAGAGGCTGGGCAGGCGAATGTCCAGCAGCATGCCGCTCTTGATGTAGAGCTTGCTGTTGAGGTTGTAGAGCTTCTCTGCGATGTCGTAGCCCAGCATGACAGAGAAGACGCGGGCGACGTAGCGGTCCTTAGAGATGGCCTGGTACAGGCGCCGGCGCCGCCACGAGACGTAGCGGGAGTCCTCCTCCGCCGTCAAGGTCACCTGAGTGCAAGCAGGTTGTTAGCTTAGCTTAGCGTACGGGGAGTTTGGTTTGATGAAGTACGTTTTTTATTCATTACACCGAAGACACGCTAGCAGTGAAGAAGAGTCTATCAACTTTAAATGTATTTAAAGGGCTCAGAAAATAACAATAACGACAGAATTCACGCTACAGCGGAACGATGATAATCATCAGATAAAGATCATGTGATCATTTGTACCTGGAACTTTCCCTCCTCGGTCGGCCTGAGGGACTCCCACTCCGGGGAGTCGAGGAACTGGTGGCGGTGGATGTAATGCAGGAACTGGCCCTCCAAAGATACACTGATCCTAAAGGGGGGAGAGAGGGAGAGAGGGGGAGAGAGAGAGGGGGAGAGAGGGAGGAGGGATTAAGACGTGACAAGGAGAGCTGGAGGTGACTTTGTGAGTAGCACGGACATTTCTGCCGGGGAGACGTGGACAATCTGAAGAATATCGAGTTACTCGAACCCTTAAAACCAGCTGATGACTGATGGGGGTCGGGGGGGGATTCGCCGTTTAGGGCTTTGGGACCAACAACGTTCAGAATCAGAATCTGGTTATTTGCCGAGGTTTTGTTGCAGGTCTTTTTTTTATTTCCAAAAGCTCTTTCAAAGAAAATTCTATAGAAAATAGTAAATCTCTATCTGAAGTTGTATTTTTAGACCACGGTATTTTTACTTTTGCCCCCCCGCTATACATGAGACACCTTCCAGATGAATTGAAAACTGCATTTCTTTAATTGGGACATTCCTCCCTCAGAGGGAAGCTTTATTTTAAAAAAAGAATGACTTCCTCAGGCCGAGATAATCCATCAAGCTTCCACTGGATTACGTCTGAAGTTTCTGTTTTATCCTCGTTCCAGTGAGAGTTGAATCAGAGCTGCTTAATGTCAATCTGCTGACATTTACTGAAAGAAACGCAAGTTGTTCTGTACAAACTATTAAACTACATGTAAAGTAGGGCTGCTGACAAAGGCTGAACCAATGACTTTTAATTAAAGTCTAATTAGTCCCTATAAAGCGGTGGTGCTACATTAATCATTTAATGCATCATTGGGAATCAAGCTTATTTTAATCAACAATATTACATCTTGATTAATTTGTTAATCAAGCTGCTACTATTTAACAATTATCAAACAAATGCTGTTAAGTAGAAAACACAACATCTGCCCCTGACGGAAGCAAGAGAATTGTTCCCTGGGGGAGAGATTAATTGGTGGTCCAGATCAGGATAAACATAAGCGCTGAAAACAACAACAATTGTGTGCCATAGTTATTGAAATTCTGTCGGAAAACCCGGGATTTCAGTGTTTACCGTTATTTGACCTGGACAATCCTGGAAAAACGCGACATCTGGTCGGCGACCTGTTGGATCTCAGAGGCCTTGCTAAGATCGCACACAGAGGGAGAGGAGACGGGACCACCATATCTCAGTTTGGCTTTAAGTCAACAATCTGAATGCTATCAAACTAAAAATAGTCGTTGATTTCACGACACTAATCTTTAATCATTGGCTTTTTGGTTGTGTGTCTTTTTAATATATTTGGCTCGTAGGCGCTGAGCCACAAAACGGCTCGGCCGACATTTAATCTCACAATGAATCTGAGAGGAGCACAATGGTATCGTTTGACCGGCTGGCGGAGCGGTGAGTCACGGACAGAAATACTCCGTTTACAACATCTCTCTCGCGTTGGGCTCCAGGGCCGTGGAAGCGAAGGCCGCTGCACTTTGAGGGATGTTTGGACAAAGAGGACGCGTTTCCTGTGACGGGTTACACGCTGCCAGCAACGCGACACGTTGACACGAAGAGGAGGATTAAAGCGATGAATAGTGTTGACTTAAGTGACACAAGGGTCCACAAAATGTGATAAATAGACTATGTTTGGGTAAGAAGTTACATGACATGAACATGTGTACTATAACGTAAAATACTAAAGTCTCTGTCTGTCTCAAAAAATGTTAAATTAAATGTTAAATTTGTTACTGTTTTATCTTATACATCTAAAATACTCCCAATGATAATATAATCACAAATAATCAAATGAAATAAAATCAGAAAAATGTGTCACTGTCCGCTTGTTTCTCGGTATGCTGTGACATCACAGCTGGCCGTGGCAATTTGACTTGAGCGATCAATGTTTTCTTAACATTCTCAAATGAAATGACCACGTGTCATGTGACAGGAGTTGATGAACCCACAGACGAAACAAGCTGTCCTCCTGCAAACAACAGCCTGACGCCACGAGACACCGGCCGATGAGCTCAGTCGTGCCTTTAACACAGCAGAGGCCGGCGCAGAAAGCTAGTAGTGATACTAGTAGCGCTAATTAGTGACCCCTGCTTACTAACAGACACATTTAATTCCATTCAGAAGCAACCGTGGCGGATTCCAATAATGTGCTAGTCCTCCAAGTAAGGTAATGACCAAGTATGTGGGGGGGAGGTAGCTCGTAGCTCGCTAGCTAAGTGTGAGGAGACCAAAGCCCGAGCCACCAGAGAGGAAATATGGGGCCTTAGACGCGACTCGTTTTAATGCGTTAACGAGGTTCAGTCACGGTCACAAAACCAACCAAGTACAAGTTGAATTTGAGAAGCATCTTCTAACCGAAAGGTTTACATATCCGATCTACTGAAGTGTCCTGTTGCATCGTTGTGTACAGACAGATGTGCACATGACACACACACACACACACACACACACACACACACACCTCCCAGACAGCAGGAAGGAGAGCTGGTCGATGGGCGTCTTGCCCTCCACGGCGTACGTCTCTCCCGCCTTCAGCTCCACGACCTTGTTCTCAAAGGCGCCGGCGATCCCTTTGAAGACCTGGACGGGCACGCCCAGCGGCAGGTACACCGCCCGGTAGAGGCAGGTGAGCTCCTCGCCGCGGAGCCCCTCCCGGCGCAGCCGCCACAGCAGGTGGCCGATCTGGGCCAGGCAGGCCAGCAGCAGCAGCAGGTTCCAGGTGAAGGCGTCGGCGCTGCACACCGTCATCCAGCCCCACAGAGCCAGGCAGGCGTGGGCGGGGACCAGGAAGCCGAAGATGAAGAGGCACCCGTAGGGGCCGCTGCCCCCCATGTAGCCCAGGATCAGCATGGTGTGGCCCAGGTGGTAGAGGCCTCCCTCCGTGCTGTTGCTCCAGCCGTCGCAGAGGGGCGGAGAGAACAAGCGCTCCAGCAGGGTCGAGTTGTCCGCGCTCATGTTTGCCTTTGAGTGCACACCCCCCCCCCTCTGAGAAAAATAGGTGTTTACCCCGGTGCTGTCTCAGCACGTAACAGCAGAATGTCACAAGCGGACGTTGGTTCCCTTCTTCAGGGTGGAGAGGTTCTCTCGACTCTGAAAGCAGCTGGAACGGGTTCCTCGTTGTTCTCTCGGTCTGTTCCCCCTCGCCCGCGGCCCCACACTGCGGACCAGGCAGCTGGCGGAGCGAGGACCGGGAGGGGTGGGCGTCCACAGAGCCCTAGAAGGATAACCATGTTTGGAATTGAAACCCAAGGAGGAGAGAGCGGTGGACAGAAAGCAGGCCTGCTACTTAACATAACAGAGAGAGAGAGTGGGGGGGGGGGGCAGGGAAACAAATTGAGGACAGGGACCACCACAAATATCTACTGTCCACTTACCATAAGAAAAAAGAGTTCCTTCCTTGACTAAGTACCTCGGGGGTCCGTGTTAGCGTCAGGAGAGCAGCTGGGCCGGAGCATATTTAGAGACTGAAATGAGCAGGTCAGATTTCAGGCATGAACTAAATATATGAACCAGTCCGTTTGGTCCTGATCCTTCACGTGAACCAGCTTCTGTTTAGTCCTGATCTTCTATATGAACCAGTCTGTTTTGTCCTAATCCTCCATCTGAACCAGTCTGTTTGGTTCATATAGAAGATCAGGACTAGTCTGTTTAGTCCTGATCCTCCATATGACCTCCAGCATACCAGAACATCAGAGCAGATGCTCCATTTCTACATAGTTCTTAATGCTTGGGCGACCAGACGACATCATGCAGGTTCACAAGAACCTTAGAGATCAGTTTACCATGGACAGACCCAGATCCCTTTGGACCTGGAGTAGAGCGGGAGGGAGGAGGGGAGGTCCGCTCCAAACATCTCCAGGAGCAGAGCTTCTCCTTCCTGGAGACGTAGTCCTGGACCGTCTGGATGGAAGCGTGGGAGAAGCAGAAAGGAGGGGGGCCGACAGACCAAGAAGCAGTAAAAAAAAAAAAGGGTTTTCTAAAGGGACCCTGGTGATAAGAGACCTCTAGTCCACAGGGGGGGACAGAATAAGCCCAAGGTCAAAGTTCATAGTGACTTTAAATAGATTTAACTGGCAGCGTGACGCGGGTCGCATGTAAAGAGAGACGTCTTTAAATAACTTAAGGCTGGTTTGGCTCGTAGCACTTTACAAAGTAGTAAAATACTTCAAAATTAAATGTTTATGAAATTAAACGTGATCACATAAAAAAATAAAATAAAGCAAACCGCAGTGACTTGCGTTCCTATGATAGAAATGTGAGGATATTAAAGTAAAACATGGAGGTATACGTAGTGACTGTGAAGGACCAATGAAAGTCTGATTTCTGACCCTTTGGAAGAGAAGCAGATGAAATCATTTTGGAAATGAGGTTCCAACAGATTAAGCGTCTGGACAAATTGTTTTACTGCAACAGATTTATAGTTGTGGTGCTTTTGAACATCTGTACTCCAGATGCTGGTCAACATTCAGGTGCCCATTTGGAGGTCAAAGTGAACTGGTGTTGAGGTCCAGTGTAAACAAGAACCTGCCAGTTGGTTACGAACTCCAGCAGAACTGGTGCGGCCAACACGCTCGTACGAGGTTTGTGGCGTCCAGCGACAGCAACACGGCGGAGGGAAATCGCAGATATGCCAAGCATCAGCTTCACGGGGCAGGAGCTATTTTTAAGCCTAAGTGCATACCAGGGACAGCAACTGTGGCTAGCAAGAGACTTCAGTATGACCGGCTATAAAATAAAGCGCAGTCTTATTGCATAGGACTTTTATTCAACAAAACATGATATTCACACATTTCTCAAAATTCTGCAAACTTTTAAAAAACAATTTCACAGAAAAGGACAGTCATCCCATAAGAGCATCGTAACATTTCCCTGCTGGCCGCGGTATAAATAAGAGGGAGGGAGGAGAAGGGATCACCGGGAGGGACATCTTGCAAAGCAACACACTGCAGGAGAGAATAAAAAACATAATTATAAAAAAAAAAAAAAAAAAAAAGCATAAACCCAGGAGACCGTGTGCCAATTAATAAAACAGAGCAAAGATCAAATGGAACATGTTGATTTACAGAGGTACCTAAAAATACTTTCCCACGTACGGCCTAAAGATTTCTGCTTTTTACGAGCACTAGTGAACATTCAGGCGATGCCAGGCGGCCAGTGGAGCCGCTGAAATGTGCACAGATACGTTGCATGCGTAGTCACGCAGGCCCGTTAACCGCTAGCTACCCTCCACCCCCACCTCATTACATGGTGTTCTGGTCCGCTGCTGAACGAGATCCAATCAGCAATAGCCAAGAGATGCATTTGACCCAGCAAGAGGAAAATGAGGTAATAAAACTAAATGGGGAATTACAAATGACTTCATTACTGTGAATATTTAAGGTTAAATTGATTAACTTTGGCGTGTGGAGGGCTCAGTAAAGGGCGGATTCCCTTTCACACACCAGGGGGAGTCGATACAGGCCGGCCTTTAGTAGTCAGGACGAATTAGGCAGCTGTGCGTCACCCATAGAGGAAAGCAAACGGGAGCTTCTGGTTCCATCCCTAGCTTTCCTTTTGTAAAGACCAGATTCAATAGTCAAGACATGGAATGGGCAGGATTTCTTCCTAATGGGCATTCCGCATGATCAGACTTCCACTGCCCAGTTCGACACAAAATGAAGGTTGGATTACTGGTTAGAAGGCTGCCTCCAGGAAATCACTAGTATCCAAACATAAAAAAGGAGGTTATTGAAGGCGACTGTTCTTTATTTGCGTTGTTCTTACTGCTGCGAATATTTCAATGCCATGAAAAGACATGAAAGTTACTTTAAAAAAAGTCACTTTCTGTATGATCTAGTTCTGCACCACTTTTAATTTGACGTCACGTCATTAAAACGCTGTGCACCGTTTAAGGTGGTAGCTCCAGTGATCCCTCAGGGTTGCAAACGACCCAGTACATGAAATTATACTTGCAAACAAGCTGTTGGGGAAAAAACAAACAAGTCAATACTTACCAAACACATAGAAAGGCCGATGTTAGATCTTGAACCCGAGCGCCCGCATGCAGTCTTTGTGCGCCTCGATCAGGACCGCGCAGCTTTCCTCGCCCTTCTCAATGATGCTGGAGGAAAAAAAAAAAACAAGCATGATGCCTCAAGAAATATTTTCCCTTTGAGGTAAAATAAAGAGGTCGTCTCTGAACGGTTACTTACCAAGCATCCCTGACTTTCTTGGTCTCGGGACATGCACAGCATGGTTTGAGCGGCTTCTTCTGCTGGGTGGCGTCAGCAGCAGGCTCCACGCAGGCAGCAGACACGGTCGACATCTTCAGACTGATTGAAACGGGCTTCATGAGAAACAAATTCACCTCAAGTTTCCCGAATCAAAGTGGACTCGTTTCTGAGAGGGGATCGCAAAGTCAGGCTTCTCAAAGGTGAGTAGTTTTCGTTTTCTTAATTACGGCTGCAACTATTATCAATTTAATAATTTATCGAAAGTGATGGAGGCTCAGTTTCACAGCCGGTGAAATCACAAAAAGACAGTGAGACACTCAGCCGGGACGACTGAATGTTCCGTAAAGCAATTATTCCAACATTCGTGAGAATATTGAATTGAATTAAGATTCACTTGAGTTCAAAGTGATTAAACAAGTTACAATGTCCACATCTCAAACTGATCTTGCAGTTGCAGATGATTTGAGGAGTGTTTTTTGCGTTCTGGGTCAGCTCGCATATATTATAACGTTACACAACGCGGAAGGGGGCCGGACTGACGTAACGTTGTCTTCAATGACGGGACAAACTCACTCTCACGCGGCATGCAGACCCTCACACTTCCAATTCATCGAGCGGTTCACGTTAGGAAGTGAGAGACGGGGGACAGAAGCCCCATGCGCGTCGGTGTGTTGTGCTTCTGCTAGCGTTAGCTAACAATTGCGTAATACGCACGTCAGCTAGCATAAAGTTAGCTAACGACGGCGAACGCAAACGCTAGTTATCAATGTCATAGAAGTTGAATTAGTCAAACAGAACGCGTGGTTTACAAGTTAAAACACCGGCTGGGAAACGCAGCGGGTGATCTACGTTATGTAACTTACTTGAGTTGAGGCCAGCGGCAAGGTAAGAGTGGCTTCACCTTCACAAGTAAACCAACACGGATGGAGAGGGGCTCACGTGTTCAGGCTTTATGCAAATTCATGTGGCTACGAGAGGCAGCGGAGGATTCTGGGAAATGGAGTGTTTACTGTCATTGGCGGGAAACCACCCAGACTAGCAACAAGAGACATGTCGAACTGCTCGGAAAAAATGAGACTAGAGCACCCATGCGTGTACAGTGAGTTTATTAAATGTCTGTTTTGTATTTCTAAGGAAATTGTGTGTTTCTATCGAGCATTTTGTTTTTGACCTTGAACAACTCAATGCCCACTAAGCTAAAACTGGATTGGTTAGCTAAACTAGCATAGCTCAACTAGGTTAGCTTACTGACATGTACGTTTTTATGCGTCAAACTCTTAAATCAAAATCTATTGACAGCTCTGGAATTTACATTTTCAAATTGGCAACATTAATATTAGTGTTAGCTTACTTCAAAGTTATTTATCATTATATTGGTTAAACAAAATCCAGCTAGCAAAAACCTTGAATTGAAAATGTGTGGTGGTAATATGATTAAAAATAAACAAGGTATCAGCAATTTTATTATTATTATGCGCGCTACCAGGGATAAACACAAACGTAAAGTTAAACAAATAAGACAAAATAATATTTAAAAGACACAATTTATGAAGGAATCAAATAAAATGCCTTATCAAATACAACATATAACGTTATACTTCGAGTATTACCTTACTTATGAGTTAGTTGCCCCAAGAGACACTTAATTTCCATAGGAATTTGCAGGAAGACACAATGTTGTTCAGATTTATATTTGCCAATTGTAAAGTTGGTCATCAAAATATAAAAACAGACTGACTGTACTGAAATTATTTTTTTTCTTAGAGTTGAAAATATGAGTGGCAAGCATTTTACTAATTTTAACAAACTTTACTGCTCATTATTATTTATATATATATATATATATATACATATATACATAATTATTATTTGATAGGTGACGCAATTAAAAAAGGTGTTGATGCCTCAACTTGCCTTTTATGGACTAAAAACAAAACAAAAAATATCCCGTCCTAAATGTTTCTGATGCATTTATTCAGATGCTCTCACTCATAAGATACAATACGATGAAAATTAATTGTTCTGCCTCGAAAAAATGACGAAGCTTCTGCTACTGCACCATTATTCATGTCTCGTAATATAAATATTCAGCTAAACCTGTCTTAATCTGCCAGATGAGCGGAGAGATGCCACAAACTAGTGCATGATTCTTAATTTAATTTAATATTTGTATCTTATTATATTGTATATAATGTGAATCTTTTTATTCTATTTTCTTCCCTGTAAATGCTGCTGTGATACCAAAATTTCCCTCTTGAGGGATCAATAAAGTATCAATCTATCTATCTATCTATTATCAAACATCTGTCAAACCTCTTTGTCCAATTCTCTTGCAGCAAGTGTGATTTAACATTCAGGACATCGGCCTCGTCAGCACTATTATCTTCCCCAAGGCAATCAAAGTGGGGATTTTGTGCTGCGCAGTGACATCGTCACAATCAGCTCATGATGGAGGAGGCCGGCACTGCGACGACTTTGGACGTGAGTTGAAGAACACTGTCTTGTTCAACTCATTTTTAACTGTGTTTTAACTTCAATGTCTTAGTTGGTTGATAAGTACTATTTCTTGTGTAACGACAAAAGCACAAAGCTATTGATATTTTAGCTTCCACTTATATTTAGCCTTGGAAAGGTTTTTTATATCACAGTGAAGTTTTCCATTTGTGTAAATTTTCCACTTTGTACTAGACAAATCAATACACTAGGATGATACAATCAATGCGATAGGGCTGCAACCTAATCACTGTTTATTACATATTATTTTCACTATTTCAATTTCTCTCAAACAAACAATTCCAACAAAATTCCTTTAAATTGAGAAAGGCAAAAGCCCTCACATTCAAGAAGAAAATGCTTTTAAACACATAATTATTTCCGCACTTCAGTGTTGTCTCTTTCTGTAAAATCTATAAACATCTATAAGTCCAATTGATTGCACTTTGCACAGATCATAAAAAATAAAGACTGATGTTAGTCTAAATGTGCATCAGCCAGCAGAATATTGCTCTTTTCTACCCTCTCACCCACCTCGGCAGATATTAAATTATGTGCTGTGAAGTAAAGCCGCTGGTGGGAAGAATGTTCACTCCAGTGGCCGGGGTGTTTCGTGATATGAAAAATGTTTATTTTCTGTCCTCCAATACGGGAGACCTGTGTTTTCATATGTCTGCTGGCTCCACTGTACGTCAGCACAGCTAAGCAGTGCGTAAGCAGAAGCACGAGTCACTTACTCTGGTTGGAGGGCCAGCTGTGTGCTAGATAAATGAGCAAGTAAGCATATTATTCACTTTGCTTCGTGTGTTAGACGTGCTCCTCCATTTGAAAATGTGCTTTCCTGCAGCCTTTAGCTGTGTTCTCCACAGAGTCCATATTATGTGGCACAGATGCGAGTGATATTGAAATGCCCTTGAGATGAACCTATCTGACGGATGCCTTTGATTTGGTGTTTCCTTTAGAAATCTGCCCCCTGAAGGAGGAGAGGTGTAAGGGATAAGTCCTTCTAATCTTCCTGTTTTCAGCAGGCTCTGGGAAAGAAGAAGAAGTGTAAGCACACTTTGTCTTTCTTTAACAGTAGTTTCTCTGCAGCAAATTAGGGCTCGGCAGTATAGCGGTTCAAACGGTACACCGGTATAAGACCTCCGTACGGTATCTCTCACGTACCGTTCATACCGGTGTTACGCCGCCAACTGACGTTCGGCAGGCAGCAGAATTTATTTTTTATTTATTTCTACACGTCATCGCGGCGCGCCCAGCGAACGGAGCTCCTTGTCTTACGTGTGTTGAGATTGAGTCGTGGTTATAACTTTATAACGACTACGAATAACCCACAACAATCTCTTTAACACCACAACACAACAGCTTGTGACACATAAACATGCAAAAGAGCGATACAGGTGGAACAACGAGAGACCAGAGATGCACCAACACAACTTGGGCCCAAGAGAGGAGTCTGTTTTTGGTTTTGGAAAATCCGCCGAAAGTTACGTTAGATCAGAAAACGATTTATTGCAAAGTCTGTCGAGCCTCTCACTAGCAAGCTAACGAGCCATTAAGCTAACTCGCCGGCCAGTTCCGAGCGAGTTGGCCAGAGAGCGGCAAACAGCTGTTTGGGTAGGCGGCGGTCCTTTTCGGAGTCAATGAATTAAGGTGTTTACTTGAGAAAGCAATACGTCACATACCGGGATACCATCAGAATCTTTCCAAATACCGTAATATGGATTTTTGGCCACACCGTGCAGCCCTACAGCAAACAAGTATTCAGTAATGTAAAGTATATTCCAATTTACTGTCGTATATTGGAGCTATAGACTGTATATAGAGGTGGAGTCGTCATCGTGACGTCCCCATTAGCTTGACGTTAATGGCGCATCTTGTAACAACAATCATTTACTAAATGAACATCATGCTGTATTGAAGAAGACTTGAAACTAGAGACCGAGACCATACATTTTTACTATGTTTAATGATGGAATACATCAAGAGAGAGTCATTTTCTCATTAACTTCCTTACAACCAGAGGAGTCTCCCCCTGGTGGATATTAGAGAGAATGCGAGGGAAGCATCTGCTGCACTCGGCAGGACCGGAGGAACAGAGAACTCACATGTACGTCACATACCAACACACAACCCAATGGGCTGTTTGGGTTTCAGTGTCGGTTCACACTGTTAAAATGACTTACGTCGTGTGAGTAATGACACAAGTCCAGAAGGAAGTATAGCGTGACGTTTCCTTGAACCACAACGTATTAACCAAATAAATCTCTATAAACAGATTCTGCGTTTGTGCGCATGTCCGACTGACTGCGGGGGGGGGGGGGGGGCAGATAACATCCTCTCGGGCCGACCGTCGAAGGGGACGGGGTTGCAGTCGCTCGCTCTCTGTCTGCTGGTGGGCAAAAACCGCCGTGCGCGGTGAGTGGGCAACTGTAAATGTGAAAACAAAATGCTTGGTGGTCATATTTTTCGAGGAAGAAAGGAAAATATTCATTCTGTGGTAGATGATAGTTTTGACCTCAAACTATTTTCCAAGCAGCTTTATCCTGTTTTGGAAGACATACTTCTGAAAACCATACGACTGCAGCTATGCCATATAGAAGTGGGGTCTATTTTCATACCCGCCTCTAGTGTTTTCTTTATGTCTCCACTAACCAGCAGAAATATGCTTGATTAAAACAAAAATAATCTCAGTATTCCTCACATTATTAGACACATCTCGTGCACTAAGCTGCCACCGCCATGACCCCTCAGTTAATCCTTCCGTGCTGCCACATTCGTTCTGGGATTTACATTTTTTTTTGACGTCCCAAGCGTTGCAGCAATCCCATTGCAGCTTCCGTTTGGTCTTTTTGTTACATTTTGTGAATCGTGCAAATTAACAACACGGAGGAGCTGACTCAGAGCTGCGAGCACATGTGCAGCAGCGTCCGGTAGCACGGCACCGTGTTTCATTACACCCCCCGGCTGCCAGAGATGGCCCGTCCCGAACTCGTCCCTGCACTCGTCCCTGCACTCGCTGCCAGATGTCGAGTTGGCGTGACGATAACCGCGATGCCCACACGCACGCAAGCCGTTGTCTTCGGTATTAATGTGAGCTGGACCTTACCCTCTTGACATGGCTTGATTCATGTGGGGATGAGACACAGATACTGAATAGTTGATGAGCTGGGGAGCAAAAGAAAAGGAGCGGAGAGGCGGTGTGGGGGCAGGAGCACAGGAAGGGAGGGAGGGAGCAGGAGAGGGAGCCAGCGAGCGGGCGAGCGAGCAGGCGCGTATCCACTTGCTTCGCTCCACGCAGCTCCAATAAGCCCTGAGGTTTTGGAGTCCTTGATGGAAAATTACCTTGTGACCAAGAGGGAAGGTCAGCACCGGCATCCTCAGACTCCACTTGTCCTCAGCAGCAGCTGCAGCAGCAGCAGCCGGGGGAGGATGGCCTGCGCGTTCGGCTGATCGGAGGGGCGACCGAAGTCGGGTCATGGAGAAAGTAAAAGGTCCCGCCGCCAGATGCACCACGGCCACTTGTGGATGGCGAGCCCTGCTTCTCCCGCAGCTGAACCGGCAGTCGCTGTACGTGTACGGCAGCGAGATGGCCGTGGAGCAGGAGTGCAGGCGGCAGCTGCAGAGCGGAGTCTTTGTCATCCATCCGTTCAGCCTCATGAGGTATTTAATAAATCTGATAGATTCAGGTCAGTCCTGTGGGGACACCAACGCCACTTTTAGTCTCACCGTCTCTTTAAAAGTTCAGCGGTTTCCGCGAGTTTCTACCTGTCTGTCTTTGCTTTGTTTTGCTCCGGGAAATAAGAAGATTATCTTGTTTTGTTAATGCAGATTAGAGCCTAAAAGGTTAGCGGAGTAATTGATTAGTCTTGTCGATAGAAACAATCACCTGCAACTATTATTACAACTGATCCAAAAAAAACTAAACATTTGTTAGTTCCAGCTTCTCAATTTGAGAGAGTTGCGGTTACTTCTTCACAGTTTGGTGAATATTTTTAGGTTTTGCGATGTCTTTTAATCGATAAATCCTCAGCGTGTTGCAGCCCCACTCCGTACAACGTGCTTGTTGCATGAACAATAATTAGCTATAGTCATCAGTTAATTCTGATTATGGTTCGTTGCCCTTTTGCAAATGTAAAAAACTGAAAAAAGGGACCCAGTGTAATTTGTATAAAATACAAGACTACGAAGTAAACCCTAAATATGAAAAACCTGAAAGGACAATTAATAGCTGATAATCGGTAAAGGACAATGAAAAACTGAGCGATCATTTAAGATGAAACAGGAGGATTAAAAAGGAAAAAAACAATGGATCCAATCTTCTTAAGGCATCTGGTTTTGCATTATTGATGCGGTATTGTTATTATTAGCTTGTAAGGTGATCGGAGCGAGTGAAAACAGAGAGGGGATGAAACCCTCGGGGATCAGAGAGCAGAGTCATTCCAGCCCGGCTGAGGAGACCTGCGGTTACCTTGTCACAATATTCAGTGCGCATAAATCAGCTCTGCCTGCAGCGGACTGTCTTAACGAGCTCCGTCTTTCCCGCCACAATCCAAAGACCAAAAACCAGTTCCTAATCTCCCCTGCAGTGTCACACACACACACACACATATTTCATCCGTCTGCTTTCCTCTCCCGCAGGAGTTACTACATCATGTGCATGATGGCCATCACGTTCCTCAACCTCATCGGGATCCCAATGGAGATCGCCTTCCTGGACGGGAACAGCGGGCTGGCCTGGGAGGGGTTCAACGTGTTTTCTGACACGCTGTTCCTGATCGACGTGGCCCTGAACTTCCGCATGGGTATCATAACCGAGGACAGCGAGGTGAGAGGGGCTCCGCTCTATTTCGGGAGAAGGTAATCCCACGTACAATTCCATCTCTGTCCTCATCTGTAATCTACTCGATACACGAAGGGCTAGATTAACAAACCCCCCCCCACCCCTCCACCCCTCCACCCCTCCGACGCCCTCCTCTTCGGCTGCAGGATATTGGCCAAACTGGCACATGCTGTTTGATTCTATAACAGGGATTATGACGTGTGGCGTAGATGAGAAGTATAACGTTTCCAATTGACTGTCATGCCCGTTCGTACCTTGTGACCTCTATCCTGTAGTGTGTGTTTGCTGTGTAGTCTGCTACAAGCTGTAAATCCATGAGATGAAATAGAACTTTATTCATCCCCAAGGAATTAATAGAAAACATTTTTAAGTGTGGAAAAACAAAAAATAGCAATAAGACAAAACAATAGATACAATAGTAAAAATATAGCCTCACCAGTGCAGAATAGAAACTAGAATGAAATAAAGTAAAAAAGTATTGCTTAGCAGCATGACATTGGAGGACAGTGAAAACGTGTGTTACACATTGTATCTTTAGAGTCATCTTGAGTATTATTTCCTGCATGATCTTGATCTTCGTCTCCCTCCCAATTTCGGAGTTTTAGGTTGAGGTTGAGCGCGGTTAATTATACATCCTGGTCCGCTCTCCTTCGCAGGAAGCTATTCTGGACATCAAGCGGATCCGAGTCAGCTACCTGAGGACGTGGTTCATACCCGACGTCATCGCCGCCTTCCCCATCGGTTACATCCTGCTGTTTGCGGTAATAACGAGCAGAGAAATGTGCCGCCGCGCTTTGCATCCTCACACAATCATGCACGTTGTTCACGGCAGGACACGTCTGCATTAATTAATTAAATACTTAATTGATTGCAGTCTGGGTTCATTATATTTAATAATTATTTTTCAGAAAATAATAAAATGATTAATTTTCCCCTCAGTAATGGCTTTGTTTGGTGTTATTTTCCTCAATGTATTAATGTCATGAAACTGGGATTGTGGTCTCGTACCCAATAATAGAACATTTTGACCTCATCATAATGACAGAAAATGAAGCTGCGACAGGGTTTGTCAGTCCATAAAAAATGAACCAACTATGAACAAATAATTGAAAACGTGGTGCATTAATCTGTGTTTCTTTAGATTTGAGATACTGGCAGGGTAATGAATTATAATCCAGGTAGATAATATATATAAACATTTAATTATATGTTGCAGAGGGAACTGGATTAAATGTTAATCCTTCGCTCGCAGCAGTATAGTTAGTTTGTATTATTTCCCTCGATTTAAGTGTTTTATATCACTGTATTCACAAACAGTTCTGCACTCTGTCTTTAGTTATTAGTTGTTTGAATTAATAATATAATAACTGAATAACAGGTTCATAAATTATACAGGTATATGTATATATATACACATACACATTTAAAACGCGTCATAGCTTGTTTTCTCAAGTGTATGTATCTTATGGAACTGTGATTTTGGTTTTGTGTTTTTATAATGATCATTTAATTCTTATGACTACTAGTCATACTTTGAGTAGCAGGAGATTTTCACTACATGATGAACAAGCTGTGGAGAGAGAAGTGTGCTGCGTTATGATGATTATGCACTTTGTTTTACTTTGTTTGTTCATCATGATTTATAAATTAGGAAGTTATGTAACGCTCAGATTCAACGTCACTGTCTAGGATAAATTCTGCAAAATGCAGTTTGGTATCCAACCACAAGTAATATTCATATGTATTTAGGGGATAATTAAAATAAAACCATTAAGGGAACATTAAGGTAAGGGAGTAATATAGGTACGACATATGGAGTAATAATATAAACAATAGCAACACATTAATAAAAACATCTGTATTTGTAGGACTTGCATTACAGCAACGACGACAACCCCTCCAAGACCAACAAGATGATGCGGATCCTGATGTTCGTGCGGATCCTCAGCTTGATCCGCTTGGCTCGGGTGTCCCGACTCGTCAGGTTCTTCAACGAGGTGGAGAAAGTGAGTTCAACTTCCCCTCTTTTTGTCTCTCCTCTAGCTGCGGCTACTTCAACAAACCATAAGCAAAACTCAGCGTATGTTGGAACTAAGCCTTGATGTGGCATGATGTACGTGTGTAACCGCACGCCGGCTGCAGGGAATAAAATGTTTTTCAGTTGCAGCGGCGGAACAGTCTGGCTTTGTTAAGAGGTGGTTTTTATTTGTTTTTTGCACGCGTTAATCTGTTTACTGTACTAATCCCCAAAAGGCCACAGCGACTTTTGATCCTCCCCACGCTCAGATAATCTCGGCTCGCTCGCCCGTCTCACGTCGGTGCCAGGTCTCGTTTGGTCTCGTTTGGTCTCGTTTGGTCTCGTTTGGTCTCCCAGGTTCTGGTTCGCCCCCTTTTGCATCAGAGCGCTTCGTCTTCTCTTCCTCGGTTCGGTCTTTCTTTTGGTCCTAAAATTGGGATCTTGTTTGACGCCTCAAAACTCTTCACAGGGGATTGAATTTTCTTTAACCAGGTTTGAGTTTGAGTTGAGTCAGTTCTCGTTTACGACGGCAACCTGGCCAAAGACGCTGAATAAATAATTTCTGTCATTTCAACTGCTCGCACTTTTAATTCACCTGCATGTTTATAATATTTAATGTGGTTTGTTGCATTTGTTGTTTGTCGTTCTTGTTTTTCCAGTGGGAGATTAGAGATAGAGTTACTGTAACTTATTACTTCATACACCTTCATCTTTTCGAGTGAGATCACGTGGCCCCCGTCCCTGTATCTGATCCTGCGATAAGGTAAACCTTTTATCAGTCCTGCAGTGGGGAAGTTCATGTCTCCACGTGTTCTCTTCCAGGTGTCCAATGCCAACCTGGAGGTGGTCCGCCTCTTCTTCCGCATCCTGTCTCTCTTCATGATGATCTTCCTGCTGTGCCACTGGAACGGCTGCATCCAGTACTTTGTGCCCATGCTGGAGGAGTTTCCCACCGACTGCTGGGTCCGAAAGGAGAACCTGATGGTGAGACGGATTCATCTTTGATGGAAGTATAAAGCGTTTCCATTTTGTGTAGCTTTCTACTTCTACTGCACTACACCTCAGAGGTACATGTTGTACTCTTAACCCGAGGACATGTCACAGGACAATGAGTCCTTTCACTGAATGCTTTTACCGTCGCGGGTTGTCAACGAGGTTTTGTGAATGTTGAAAATGAGTCATTAACTTCTTTAGTGATTTGAGCAGTTGCTCAAATGGCTCAAGGGATATTTGAACATTTTGTGGTAATTCAAACATTCATAAAACATTCTGTAGTTGAAATCCATGTGAATATTTGTTGCCGTTTTCAGCCCCAGATCCACAGTACGTCTCATTAATTGTGTATTTTCTTTTTCCCAGAATGCAACGGTGAGCGTGAAGTACTCCTGGGGAGTTTTCCGAGCCCTGTCCCAGATGATCGCCCTCTCGTATGGATCCATGGACGCGCCAACAAGTGAGGATTGTTTTCTTTGTCCGCCCCCATAATAAGCACAGGTGTCACCCTCTCCACCCTTTCACACTGGCGTCGGTGTCTTGTCCTCCAGATTACGTGGAAATGTGGATCGTCATGGTCAGCATGGTGTCCGGCTGTCTGATGTACACCGTCCTCGTGGCCAACGCCACCACCATGATCGCCAACACCGACCCGGCCGCTAAGGAGTACAAGAGCAAGGTAGGAGAATAAGAATTAAGAAATAAGAAGACAGGATTAAGGATCACTCTATCATGTTTGTGTTCCTCTCATGTCGACAGGGAGAGAATTACTCTTGTAATATTTTTTGTTTATTCAGTATCTCACTATTATACATTATGGCTTGTTTGTTTATTGCCCTGCTGCATATTTATTCAAAATTGTGTCCAAAAAATGGGATCACAATGAATGGAGATGCTAAAACATTCCCTTCTTTTGTTTTCCAGCTGTTGTGTGTTGTAGCTTGTTGTTATTTTTCTGTTTTGTACGTTATGCTACTTAAACATGACACTTTCATCACAAGTGCTCTACAATGATTGCAAATAGGCCACACAAATGTACGAAAATTATCATCGAAAGTGAAGTTTTCTAACTGATGATTTTAGTTTTAACCCTTAATTTTAAGAATAAAAACCAACACTTATTCTAAAAGGTGATTTCTGACAGATCAAAATGCCATTAAGTGTAATTGAATGGACCTGTATCACGTACGAGCCTAAACATATATATATAAATATATAAATAATACCGAGACATAAAATCATTGCAGTGTTTAGTGTTTTAACTGGAAACAACAAACTCAAAGATGCAAAGATGTAAACATGAACCTCTCATGACAGTTTTAAACCGCGTCACAGACGCGTGTGTAGACACGCAGCTTGAGTTGATTCCAGCGCTGTAATGCCGTGTGTCATGTACGTCTGTGACCTCTGACCTCCCACAGATGAGCCGTCTGGAGCACTACATGACCTTCATGAAGCTCCCGCCGGAGCTGCAGCTTCGCATCACCAACTACTACCAGGCGCGCTACGGGGGGAAGTGGTTCCAAGAGAAGGACGTCATGGAGACGGTGTCCTCCGCGCTCAAAGAGGTACAGCTTGGACCTCGATCCGGGTGCTCTGGTGGTTTCTCTTCATGAATTGTTTGCATAACAATCATATATATTTCTATTCGGCCTCCAGCAAATCCTGATGGTGATGTGCAGCCGGCTGCTGAGGAAAGTGCCAATGTTTCAGACAAGAGACGAGAACTTCATCAACGCCGTCCTCTTCAAGCTGGAGTACGAGGTTTTCCTGGAGGGGGACGCCATCGTCCGACAGAACGTCCCCGGCGACCGCATGTTCTTCATTGACCACGGCCAGGTGCTGATGGAGGCCGACTCCTACGAGAGGGAGCTGTGTGACGGAGACTTCTTCGGGGGTGAGTTGGATCCCGAGGCGGATCGAGGAGCATCTGGATTGAGACGTTTTAGAGAACCCACAGGGTGCCTGGGTGTCTTTTTCACTTTTTTATACAAAGTTTCAACCCGATCTTATGTTAATGCCTCTAGATAAGTTTAAGTGCACAACATATTTATACTCTCCAACCGGACTGCTTTGGTAAAACAGTAATTTTACCTCTGAAAGGAGACAGAGGGGATGCTGATGTACTGCTGCCTCCATCTGTTAGTCATTTTGTGTTATTGTGTGACCCTGGTGTCAATACGAGTCCCACAATAACACAAACAAGCAGATGATGGTGTTCTTTCACTTTTTGTGAATGGAGTCTGGTGCGTTTAAAGACGTCGGAGAAAACTGCTTCAGTTCCCATCAGAAAGGCTCTTTCAGGTTCTTCACTTTACTGATTGATACTGTTTTAAGTTCTAAAATATGTCCACAGCAGATCACTGGTCACTTTCTCCTGCGCTTGTTCTTCTGTCAACTTCCACTGTAGTAGAATACTGACAGTGGAGAACAACCACACTGAAAAACATCACCACTATCCCTTTAACTCAGGAAGCCGTCTCAGTAACATCTGTTTAACCTGAAGCAAAAGCACAATCAGTGCACAACAATGCTGTTTAAGTGTTGCATAATGAATCTAATGTATGGAGAGTTAAAACATTCTGAGCCCCCGTTGCGTTTGTTAAACACCTTTGTGTACATTATGAATTAGGAAACCTTTTATTGAGCAGTATCACATTGAGTGTTGTACTTTCAAATATATGTCGACTGGTATGTTCAGGATTATATAATACTAATAATGTGCTTTTTTAAAGGACTTTAGTTTTGTTCTTTTGTATCCACTTTATATCCACATATCTTTTTTCTTCTATAATACAATGGAGGTGAATGGAATGGCAACTCAAAGCAAATAAAATACACAGTAACATCTTTCTTTCATAAATAGTGTTTCTATAATCAACTATTTTTTCGGGTTATAGTCAGGTAAAAATATTTTTTGTTGAAGTGTTGACAGAGGTTTTGGCTTCTGTCTCTTCTGAGGAAATTCTACCAGACTCCATTTAAAAAATGGTTGACTTTTAATCCTCCGAGCTCGCTGTCAGCAGTTCTCACAGAAACAGTCCAATGAAAACAGCTGAGCGCTCGTTGTGTGGATTACCTACAGTAACGGGGAAAATGTTTCTAGGAAAATCTCTTGCTGTTGTCATTTTACTTGAGCTGGGGTGGAGGGGGGCGGGCTACATTTCAACATCTGGATAATTCAAAGCTATCTGCGTGTTGAGATATCACGAGAGGTTGGTGGTTTGATGAGACGTGGGTACAAAATTAAGCTTAAAGGACTTGTGGACATTTAATATGTTAATTACTTATAACGAGATGTATTTGACATTTTCTGAGAAATGAAAGAGAGGCACCCGTGGATTTTGATTTTTGTCAGATTTAGTGTGATTTTCAGCGTTTGTTGCTTTTTCACATTGCTCACAAGTTTACATAAATAAGCAGGAAACATTCAATTTTTTTTAAAACACTGACAAACCAATGTGGAAAAAAATCTATCGCTTCCAATTGGTGGGGGATTTATTTAATTCTCCGGCTTTAAGTGGGAGCGGGTCCTAATCTCCGTTGGCAGCGAACCTCGGCGGCGTTCAGAACTAAGAGGGCCTTCCCGAAAACAACTGGGCCGAGTTATTTAATTTGGGATTAATTGTCTGATCTCATCCCCGTCACGAGGGTCGGCTCGCTCATTAACCGCGCTCCTGTTGTTCCCCCCGGTGTGCACAACAGAGACGTGCGTGCTGACCAAAGGGAAACATCTGGCCACGGTGAAGGCGCTGACCGACAGCCAGTGCTTCTCTCTGTCCTGGGACGACTTCCACGAGGTGCTGGACGGCTTCCCGGATGTCAAGAAGGACTTGGAGACGATGGTGGAGCTGGACACTGAGGGGGGACTCGTGTAAGACCGGTGCTTTGGACCTTTCTTTTTTTTTTTTTTTTCACCCTAAGGCGAAAAAGGGTGACACAGATGTCTCCTGGACATTTTGTGTGATCGCGTGAGAGACAGCGGCCGGTTCCTCGCGTGGGCGCGAGATAGACGGTTGCGACCTGAGCGATGAGCATTCCGTCAGCTGTACATAAAATAAACGGAGACCAGGACAGTAGAGAAGAGGTCAAACGTTTGATCTATGCCTCCTTGTGGATGCTGCGATTCGGCCGGACTTGGAAAGTCTCGGACATTTTGGTTTCTTACCAGTTTTATTTTTGTAGTTTTGACTGAGCAAGAAACGCAACCATGTTTGCTTAACTTATTTAAACCAAGGCAAGCTTTAAAGTTCTAACAACAAACACATTTTTGAAGGTTTCGGGGCATTTCTCTGCCTTATTTGCTAGTGAAAGTGGAGAGAAGGTTTAGGTGGAATAACTCGCTGCTCAGGTTATTTGTGGTATGCATCGCTGTCACTCGGCTAATGGGTTGCCCCAGTTAATACATTTCAACAGGGCGGATGGACCCAGTTTGTACCCACGACTAGTGAGCTGCTGCTATATTACATTTATTTTTTTTAAACATATTTACAAATCCGTTGTTTCGGTACCACGGACAGCGTCATTTGGTTCACAGCCTCCAGGTCACGTTGCACGCTGCATTCTGTGTAGTGACCAGCAGGGGGCGACTCCTCTGCTCCCATAGACGTCTATGAGAAAATTACTTGATTTATTCTCTCAGTAAATATTGTAGAGTTTATGATCTCAATCTCTAGTCTTATTCAATACAGCATGATTTTCATTTAGCAAAAAAAACACAATTTAAATGATGTGTGATATAGATTATCTGTATTTGATGAGTTCTGCACGCTGAAATCCCTTCCCTTATACAAGTTCAATCGTAGTCCATAACCTTGATTTAGTTTACATAGTCACGCTTAGTCCCTTAAAAACACAATTGAGACTGCTATCTGACCCTGGACCAGTGGAAACTAAGGAGGCTTTACTGGCTTACTTGGGTTGATTCGATGTTTGCTTGAACTCCAGTTCCACAAAGCGCTTTGTTGGGTGGAGACCATGGAAGTTGTTCTATAACTAGCTCTACTTTGTGAGGCTGCACTCCCCAAACTCGTTGGGGTTCACCCTCTGTTGAGATGTTCCAGCCTAGATTGTGGATGCTTAAGTGAAACCCAAATAACATACTGGGATTTTGCTCTAGAACAAGGGTGTCAAACTTTGGGCCTTGAGTTTGACACCTGTGCTTTAGGGGAAAGCTGAAAAAAAATCATGTCCGTCATCTTTCTTTTTCTCTAAAATTACATTTATTTGGAAGTAGTATTAAACAAGACAGGTTAATGCCACCATGAAAGCAAACAAAAAGGTAAAGCCGAGGCTGTGATGTAGGAAACATCTGCGCGAGGACTGCCGGTTGTTTCCTCGTCTCATCCGAACACGCACACGGTGCCCGAGGCCAGACGGTGCTTGTACTCGTAGAGGTAGTAGGAGGCCGGGGGGAAGTTGCACTTCATCTCCATCCTGCCCGGCACCACGTGGACCGCCACGCCGGACCCCAGCCCCTCCTGCAGCTTGCTCAGCATGCGCGAGGCCAGGTAGCGCCGCGCCCTGCCCGGGTCTTCCTCGATGGAGGCGTACACCTCCGGGGGCGGGTTGGGGATCTTCCACTCCAGGTCCACGATGAGCTGGTGGATGCGGCTCTTGTCCAGCGACGTGGGCGTGTCGCGGTAGCACGCCACCACGTGGGGGACGGGCGGCTCGGACGCCACGGAGATTAAATTGGTAGACTGCTGTGGCTGCGGAGGCGGCGGCGCGACTTCCTTTGTCTCCTCCTCCTCCTCCTCCTCCTCCCCGTCCTTCTCGTCCTCCATGGGTCCCACGGCCGGGTGGAGCATCACCGCCCAGCGCAGCCAGTCGTAGTTCCTCTCCAGGGTCTTCAGGATGCTCGCCGCCGCCTCTTCGGGCGGGGAGCGGTTCTGCACGGCCTCTTGGAGCTGCTCCCGCACATCCCCCTCCGCCTGCTCCAGGAAGTAGCCCAGGCAGCGCCCCCCCTGGTTCTTCATCTTCCTGTAGAGGGCGCCCATGCGGTCTGACCAGGTCTTCATCAGCAGGGCCTGGTCCCTGCCCGTCAGAGACGCCTGCGTGAAGAGGCACAGCAGACCGGTGCCCAGCACAAAGTTAATCTGTGGAGGGTAAACGGGAGGAAAAAGACGAAGGTCAGAAATAGCTCATGACGTGTGTTTCAGCCTGCAGGAAGAACCAGATGGTCAGTTTTGCCACATGAATGATTTTCAAATTTAAAGATGGCCTTTGTAACTTTTTCTTTGCCTTTTTTGACCAACTAATTCCAAAACTTTGGAGCGCCTGGAACTAAAAGTCCATAAGTCCATAGCAAATAGCTATTTGCATCTAAAGCACCAGATAAATTGGATAAAGCCAAATACATTTAATTGATGATTCCTGTATTCAAAGTATTGACATCTGTTAAGTGATTTGTGGTGTTATTGTTCTGTGTTTGCATCCAACCAGCTAATAAAGTAACATTTTATTTACGCTATTCTCCCCCTCTGTTAAACGACTTGGATGGTTTCGGGCCAAACGATGGCCGTATATAGTGCAGTAGTACGGAGGTCAAAGGTCGGTTCAGTTGGTGACATTTGACTCCTCATAGACTCGGAAAATACATTACTATGAAGCTTTTTTGGAGAGTCACAAACTTCTACCCAGGGAATAGAACTGGAACCGGTCCTGGTCCTCCAGTTCTGCCGAGTGAAGCCAAAGTGAGTTAAAGCTGCATTCTCTGTAGTGACCCAGCAGGGGGCGACTCCTCTGCTCCCATAGACGTCTATGAGGAAATGACTCTACTTCTCTGTAGTGACCAGCAGGGGGCGACTCCTCTGCTCCCATAGACGTCTATGAGGAAATGACTCTACTTCTCTGTAGTGACCAGCAGGGGGCGACTCCTCTGGTCCCATAGACGTCTATGAGGAAATGACTCTACTTCTCTGTAGTGACCAGCAGGGGGCGACTCCTCTGCTCCCATAGACGTCTATGAGGAAATGACTCTACTTCTCTGTAGTGACCAGCAGGGGGCGACTCCTCTGGTCCCATAGACGTCTATGAGGAAATGACTCTACTTCTCTGTAGTGACCAGCAGGGGGCGACTCCTCTGGTCCCATAGACGTCTATGAGGAAATGACTCTACTTCTCTGTAGTGACCAGCAGGGGGCGACTCCTCTGCTCCCATAGACGTCTATGAGGAAATGACTCTACTTCTCTGTAGTGACCAGCAGGGGGCGACTCCTCTGCTCCCATAGACGTCTATGAGAAAATGACTCTACTTCTCTCTTGATTTATTCCCTCAGTAAACATTGTAAACATGAGTTTATGGTCTCAGTCTCTAGTCTTCTTCAGTACAGCATGATGTTCATTTAGTGATTTAGTGAATTATGCTCCATTTAGAGTCAAACAGACCATAAAGCAGGGGATGCTTTAGGGCGGGGCTACATGCTGATTGACAGGTCTACCATACGTATATCTTCAGTCCAAATATGTTCACTTAAGAGATCATCTTTAAAGATATTTTGATTCTATTAGAGGTACTATACCTCAAACTCAAGCTTTATTGTTGTAATTTACGACACTTTATTGTCTTCTGCATTTTTGTCCCCTGTGAGACGCACTGCAGCCCCCCCAACAGTAAACACAGGTCACAGCTCTGAGCAAGGTCCTCCAGGGTCAGCGAGTTACAGAGGAATCTGAAAATGCGCTTACTTTGATTTTCATCGTCTCATACGTGGGTTTCTGCGTCTCTCGGGCTGTGTTATCACTCAGTTTACTCATGATAACGTCCTCAAGGTTAAAGACACGCGGCGGCGGGTCCTTTGCTCAACCAGGTCACAAGACCCAGAATCAACCATTCAACAACTTCACATGTTTTTGCGAGACTCCGGGCCTGTTTAGTGTCACTTTGCGGTCACTTTTGATCCTTGCGCTCGTTACGTGAGTTTAGTTTGAGCCATTTTGTTGAGGTCACTTTGTATTTATTTGTGTCTCTTTGCGGACACTTGGTCCTATAATCATTTTACATAACAAGCAGAACCGTGAATTCTGCAGCATCTATTAAGGTCCATTTATTCACATGTGCGTATTGCTCAAGGGCACCGGGGCAGATGGAGTGACGGAAATTGACCACCCGGTCACTGGATTTAACACATGAAATAAAAGAGAAGCTCCATTCTGACCGTATGCACGTGCGCTCCCAACGCGTGACACTTAAGTCCCAGTTATGTAACGACGGCGCACAAAATACAGGCTTTAAAAGTTAAAAGCAAATTGAAGTTTTAAGACCTGAGCCGCTCCCTTTGGAGCATTAAGATGGATCCGCAGCAGGAGCCAAAAGGGGAATTCGCCAACTCAGCACACAGAGAAAGACAACAGAAGGTCACGGTTAAATATTCAGTTCATTCTCAAACCAAGAAGATGGACCCCCCCCCCACGGGACCTCCATCTTATGTACAATCTATCTGCGTTTTAATTCTGTACAGCTGTTTTCCTCTGCTTCTCTTTTTCTCCTACGACGCGTCCCTCAGGGATTTAGTTTATTTTCATCACGTTTGATCAACTGACGTCTGATGTTTTCCTCTCGTTCGTCAGATGCTCTCCTGCTAGAAAAACAATACGTTTCTCCAAATGTCCTTTTTTACTATGCGTTTTAATCCCTGTGTGTACGTGCATGTGTGTGCGCGTGCGTCAGATTGCGTGCGTCATCGCAGGCTTCCTGCAGGAGTGTGTGTCCTTGTATAACGAGTTGTGAAATGAAACTTTTAATGACCCCCTGCAGGGGGACACGTTGAACACAGAGACCCTTCCCCATCCCCCCCCCTCTCACCTTGACGCAGAACTCCCGGAGCTCCCAGCGCTTGGGCTTGCGGTTGAGGATGAGCTCCTCCAGCAGCGTTGGCTGGTCGGTCAGCGCCGACACCCCCATCAGGCGGCTGTAGAGCGCCGTCAGCTGCCTCTCCAGCCGGTGGTCCTGCGCGTACTGCAGGAACACCTCCGTCTCCTTCTTGGTGAAGTCGGACTGGGCCCTCACCTGAGACCGGGCGAGGAGGGGGGGCACGTTATTATACATCTTTTTCCCTTTTTCCTGTCTCTTTGTGGTCATGTTGTGTATTTTGTCTCCTCACTGAGGAAGAGTCTTCTTTCCGTTACTGCTCTTTCCTGCACAGAACGTGGTGATCTTCACCAAACCAGACGGGACTGAGCCCAGTTTACTTAATGCAGCTAAACTGACTAAAGGATTATTTTTTTCAAATTAAAATACTTGCCAATATAAGAGATGAACTGTCTGCATCACGAAGCCCGTTTAAGATATTTGCACATTTAGAAATAATTAAAGAGGAAATAAAAAGCATTAGCTTGTTAATACTGATGGTGGAACTAAACAGATGCTTCGGCCGCATATCCACATTTACATAACACGCTTAGGATGATGGGTTCAGTCCATTGGCAGTGTGCTTGTGCCTATTCAAGGTCATCGCTGCCTCAAGAGCTCCGGGCCGCGTTGGATTTAAAAGAGTTCTTCGCTTCCTCTCCTTCACCCTTTGTTTCTCGTCCAAACTTCCTGAGAAGCAACAAGTAAATCTCTTGAGTCTTTTTGAGGATGGATATACGCGTCAAAGTAGCGACGGAAATTGTGATCCCTGAAAAGTCCGAAGGAGCGAGTTCCTCACACTGCTGACCATCTGTCCTGAGCAGCGTGTTGGATCTCCACCAGTCACGAGAGTATATGTATATATATAAATTAACCTTCACAATAAAAACCCCCTCACAGAGCTGCTGTTAACACGACCCTCCACAATAAAAGCAGCAGCCTCCTCACCGCGGTGCCCAGCTGGTAGTACACCACGGCCAGGTCGTCCTCCAGCCGGTGGACCTCCTGGTCGTCCAGCAGGCCGTGACCCGACGCCCCCAGCTCCTGATCGATGTGGTCCAGGTTCTTCCGGGCCGACTCGCTCTCCTCCGCCGTGGCGCTACCCCCCAGGTAGGAGCAGATGCCCTGCACCACGACCCTGGAAGGACAGCAGGCAAGTTCTTAACACAGTGAAGTATCTTGGTCCACTTAGAACCTTTTGTTTTTTAGCGGTGGTATCTCACCTCACAGTCTGCATGTAGCCCACTGGCTCCAGAACCTTCCCAAACATCGCCATGACTACACAGCTGACGAATATGAAAGCATTAGAGTATGAATAAATAACTTAGTTAACCCCACCTCAATGACCGGTGTAAAAAAACATTTTGCCAAGTTTTTTAAAATGGAAATTTGACCCATTCAGATTTGAGCTTTTCATCTGAACCCACCTTGTTGAGAGCGCTTCTTGTTCTGACCTTCACTGTTTATCCGGTATTTATACCACCAGGTGATCTGATAAGAGTTCTCCTTGAGTGGAGGGTGTATAATCAGTGAACTGCGTGGAATTAAGTAGTATACCTAGTAGGAGCTTCAGCTTCATCTGTTTACAGTGTACTTAGTACTTAGAAATACTTTTTTTCACTGTTTTCACAATGCAAATTTGTCATTGCAGTATTTCAGATGTGTTTTTTAATGTAACCTTTAATGATGGCCTATCAATCCTAAATACTAAAGCAACTAGGAGGGCACTCAGAGAGCACCCACCTCCAATCCCCCTTATTAAAATCAAGGAAAGGGGATTGATTGATTGATTGATTGATTTGTAGTTCTGCGTCTCTTTAATGGTTTTATAGTAGTTTTCTGTCTTTCTGTCGGTAAACAATTTCACTTTCATTTGACTTTCCTGTAGTTGTGTCACGGTGCTGTTGGTGTTGTCTAACGGAAGGGCCAGAACGTCACATCTGACCTCTGTTAAACTTCTGCCACCGGGGCTCTTTATTATTAATTCACAGGAGACCAGCTGATCGTTTTTCAAATGAACAACACCGATACTTGTTTTAAAAGGGACATCTATATTGGCTTTTACAAATTTAACGTACTTAAATGATTCGTAAATGATTTTTAATTTTATAAATATGTGACTGCAATATGTACGATATGTATGACCAGGTTGTGTAAAATAAAGTGGGAATTTTAAACTGAGCGTTAGGGGGCGCTAACGAGCCTATCGGTTTATTCAGACTAAAACCCACGAAGAAGAAGATGCCGAAGCTTCCGGTCGGAGCCGTTGAATACAAAACGCGGCAAAATCGAAATTAGTTTTACATCTGTAAACAAACGGTGGAGCAATTTTAGCGCTTGTGTTTACATTCTGCTTTTTCAGTGTTTAGTTAAACTCTTATCCGAAATGGACCCGACGGCCCGGTTCTTCGCCGCGCTCAAAAAGACGGCGGTGACTTTAGAGTCAGAAAGCGTGAAGCTCCGGCACGCTTTTGACAACCGCAACAACAACGACGAAGACGGCGGTGAGTCGAACGTTAACGACACCGAGTGACCGGGGAACCGCGACGTTGAGCTGCCGGTGACCACGTATTAATAATTTAGCTGTTTTGACTAATTAATCGTCTTCGGTTTCAGACGCCGAGGCGCGCGCCCTGCGAGCGTTCCACGAAGTGAGCTGTGACGTCAGGGACCTGAAGGTACGCTGCTCGCCAAACTCCGGTTAGAAAAGTGGCGTTTTTAAAGGTGTTGAAACGGCGCAATGAGACTGTGACGCAACGTTTGTGCCAGTTGGTAGAAACAAACTGACCTTCTTTTTTTTTAAAACGGCACTTTGTAAAATGGTTTACACACGGCTTTAATGATTACAAAAAGCGTTTACTTAATGTAAGTGTGCCTATTCATATGAGACACAAAGCTGTCCGATTTTAACGGGAGTTTGGCGTGAGGGCTTTAGCACTCACTCAACACTATACAACCCATCTTAACATATTATTAATTTTACTATACATAACGTGTAAGCTCTTTAGTGAACGCCTTCTTCACAATGAATGATTAATAAATCTTAGTGGAGGCAAGATGAAGCATTGAAGTATCCTCACAGAAGCTTTCCATCCAATGGTGTCACACACGGGCCGAAGCTTCATGGTGCTTCGTTTGCTCTACTGCGCCACCAAGTGGACAATAAATGAAATGACACCATGGCTGTGAAGTACTGAATCGGATAAATGAATGATGTTTGTGATGCGTGATACATAACTTATGAACGTGTTAATATGGTGTCTGTCTTGATGACACAATGGCGGGGTCAAAAGGGAAAGTGGAAACGCATTGGGGAGAGGGTTGTGATGTGAAAAGTAAAAAAAAAAGAAAATAGCATCCAAGGATCGAACCGTCAACCTTGTGGCTTTCTCCACCCATTGAGCCACGGCCAAATACGTATGGACTTCATGGTTTGTGACTGTGCTTATGTTACAACATGTAACACGTGAAACATTTCATTCATTTTTATTTAAAAATAGCAATTTGTCCACAGGGCTTCAGGCGGTTTCTTTTCTTGAGAGTATTTCACCTGCTTTAGAGACGCCTTTCACGGGGAGCAGATGAAGCTGGAGAACAAAGTGACAGCAAGATTATACAAGTTAGGATACACCTTTTTTATGTTCTTATGTTCTCCAAACGTCCAGGGTTTGGTCCACCTTGGTTGTTCTCCTTGTTCTCATGCAGGGCTCTATAATGCCTCAGCATAGATGAGCTGTTATTGTTGTATCCAAGCTCCCTTTAACACAACAGACACTTCACCTTTTAAAATACCAGAAATAAGAGGAAAGCTATTAGAACAAGGAATACACTGTCTGATTTATTTACAGTATATTACACTAGTTATTAATAACATATTACTATGTGCACACCTTATTATGAGAGATCAGCTCAAAATGTTCCCAGACAGGAGAAAATCTCCTCTTTCCTGCTGGTTCCATCATAGAAAAAAGAAGCTTGAGTAGTTTGTAAACAAACGCGCAATAAAGTCCGAAGTAGCCGTCCAGACCCATGAACCACGTCCTGAATCAGTCACGTGGTGCGGCTGGTTCGCGAGGCTTCCAACGTCATCACATACATCACCAACACGCGCTTCATAAATAGCTTCGACGTCTACGTCACATCACTAATAAATCCCCCATAAAGTGTACAAAGTAGTTTTAATGCATTATGTGTGGAACTGTGTCTTTTTATTCATTATGACACATTTTATCCCACACGCCATGAATCTGTGGGCCTGTTAACATTCTAAAAGAAGAGTGGTGGTGGTCACACAGGGGCAGATCCAGGGTCAGATTGCTCAGCAGAGAGCCCAGGACAACGAGCTGGACCGCTTCATTAAAGTCGCTCGAGTGATGGAGCAGAGGCTCGCCAAGGACATCCAGGCGCTGAAGGGACACTGGGAGAAATACGGCTACCAAGCTCCTCAAGACACCCGGAGGCCGACCAGTAAGCTGTGACTGTAGCTGCTGTTGGTGGGGGTCTTTCAGTGGTGACATCGTGCACTCAGATGTGTTTCCATTGTGACTTCGCCACCCCTCCCCATGCAGAGACTGAAGATGAAGCAGCGGCTGAAATGGAGACTGAATCCACAAATGAGGGTGTAAACCAGGAAGAGGACGGAGGCAGTCGCTCCTCCTCCTCGTCGCCTCGTCCCTCGCCGGGACCTCCTTCCCTCGCCGACCCACTGCGGACCCCTCAGCTCTCCGACTTCGGCCTCTCCGAGGTGGAGATGAAGAGAGCTCTGGCAGGGGTGGAGTGGTGCTCCGAGGCCCCGCTCATGCCCGAGCTGAGCCTCCGTCACCCCTCGCTCAGCACGCCCGCGCCGCCGCCCATGCCCTTGACCCCCAAGCGTGCCCTGAGGATGGACGACGACGAGCTGCAGGCGCCTCAGATGTCTGACTTTGGCCTTTCCGAGCACACCATGTGTCTGAACAACGACTTCACCATGGACCTGTTAAGGAAGAACGTCGAAAAGCTCCAAAGGTAGAATATATAATACAAGATCTCTGCTGACGGTTCTGTTATTGCTGCTTCATGAGGGTCCACTTCTTTAACAGACCACATCTAGAGATGCCGGTAGCACCAGTGAGCGCTCTGACGGAGGCTCGGCACACTAAAGGTAGGCTGGTGTTTTAATTTAAATCACCTTATCTTTTTTTATTCCACCATCTGCTTTTTCATTTGTTCCCTGGTGTCTTTTAACATTCTTCTGAGCTCTTATTTCTCCACTGACTTCTCTAAACAACTCGTCATCTCCCCAACAAACCCCCGGTCGGATGAACCGTTTACTAATACCTCATAAAACCTGGTACAACAAGTACATGTATACATTAAATAGGTCATGTATTGCTGTAATAACAATTGCACAAAGCTCTACTTTTCTGTGCTCACTATTGTTTCCTTGTAATGACTAAATTCTAAAAACCTAAATTACAGCTGAGGAGAACACTGAGGGCCAATGACTCCACCTTCTACAAAACGCCCAAATCACCCTGTGAGAAATGAGCGCAGCCAATGTAATTAAACTCGTTTTATGTTACTGTTCTTTGTGTCTCCAGTGCAAAACTTGGTGTCTCCGGAGCCGCCCGTGTTTCTCACCCCGGGGTTCAAGGTCAGCAGGACCGACGCTCCCCGCTCGCCCCCCGCCCGGAGCGGCAACTTGCCCGCCAGCCCAGAGGTCCCTGTGTTTGAGACCCCGTACATGAACCCGATGGCCGCCTCCAGAAAGGTAGACCAGTTTAAAGTGTGTGTGTGTGTGTGTGTGTGTGTGTGTGTGTGTGTGTGTGTGTGGGGGGGGGGGGGCGGCATTGCATTCATGATGCACAAAAACCTCCAGCTCCTAATCTTTGTTCCTGCGGTCCACAGAGCGCTCGTCAGCCGGAGCCCGTCGACGCGCGAGCCGACGGCGGCCCTCCGTCGCCTCGTAGCAAGCGGCGCTGGGAGTACGACGTGCCGGACGTCTCTATCGCCGGCGCCGAGGACAATCCGATGCCGGCGATGCCGAACCTGGAGTCCGCTTTGGGGAACTCGTTGCAAACTGTGAGAAGAAAGCATCTTTTCTCCCAGATTAGTGGAACTCAAGCAGAGGCCCGCGGGCCGGAAAAGGCCCAGCTGCCGTTTGCTACTTGCCTGGGTGATAAAACCATGATGTGACCTTCCAACAGGTCTCTGGGTTGTCCCACAACATCTTACATACGGGGGAGGAGGGCGCTACAAGGCCTGGTGCACATTTTAAATACACCATTTTTCTTATGTCATAATGATGAAGTTGTCATCATTTATTTACCAGCATGCTGTATCTCACGGATACTTTTCTCTTTACCCAATTATGGAAAAAGTCTCTTTAATGTTTTGCCTGTTACACCTGCAGAGAAGTACCAAGCTGCTGAAGAAGTCTTTGGCCCGTACCGAGTCGACGGAGGAGTCCGCCGCGCAGGACTTCAGCCCGGGGACTCCTCGCCTCAGGGTGGACTACCAGGAGCCCAGCACCCCGGAGATGCCCGACCTCAGCTCTGTCACTCAGGACATCTGTAAAGTGAGCCCGGCGCCTTCTCAGCTGCTTCTTTAAGTTCTTTGGATGGAGATCCACCTCCAAACTTTGGTTTTAACTCATCACTTTATACGTTGTGGTTAGAATCAAAAACAACAGTTGTGATTTGTGTTTTTTGTTTTGGAGCTTCTGACCCAGGCGCAGCTGAAGAGGCCTTGCACGGCGGTGGTGAATCCAACCGTCAGGCCAAAAAAGGACCACGTTAGGTAAAATGACTCGGCGCTTCCTCCGCCCGAGGGTTGAAGATTAACATTAAATGTAGTATCATTGTGTATGTTAATGTATTTTGGGGGTTTAGAGTTTGCCTCGTCTGTCCTTTTTCTATTCATAATATTAATTTCCTTCCATCTTGGTGCTTTATTCACGCCATCCATTCCTGTGCTTATTAAACCGTGATCTTCATTTCACCGCGTCTCTCTTCCCAGAGCTGCCAGGTTGTCTGAGGTGTCGGAGAGCGAGTTCCAGAGTCTACCCAGGTACCTGAAGCAGATGACTCTGCCCAACCTCAACCAGGCCGTCCACCACATCAACAAGTTCACAGAAGACGCTGCAGGTCGGTCTCCACCGGTCAAAGCTAATTCTTTAGCTTCTTGTCTAAATATCTGGTTCAAGTGTTGGAAAGCGTGAGGATTCAGCACTAATCAGATATAAGACGGATGCATCAGAATCAGATTTTGGGTTTTCCATAATTGTTAGTTATTAACAATATAATCATTTTATTATTATGTAAAAACACCCCTCCAGCAGGAGGGCAGACAGAGTTTCGGATGGAGGACCTGAGGAGGATTTGCTTCACCGGAACCAAGACCCCCGTCTACATCCTGTGCCTGACGGAGCTGAGGAGGCTGGAGCACGCGGGCGGAGAGAGGAGCACCTCCGTGTACAAGCTGCGCTGAAGCTCTTTAGCTCACAGCTGTTCTGCCAACACAGCTGGTAATAATTTAAGCAGATTGTACATAGTTCTGATGCACTGCGCTGGTCTGTATATGATAGTGTTAATAAATATATGTTGTATTAAAGTATATTCAAATTTGTTCTCAATAAAGTTTAACCGTACAAACTTTAACGTATTAATTGAATTAATAAGCCGCCTTCCAGTGACTCTTAAACATCTGTCACATAAATTCAGAACTTTCCCGGCAGTGATTATATATATATATATATATATATTTTACGGATATAAAGACCTCATGTTGGAGAAAATGCTCCAATTCCGAATCAATTAAGAAATGTACCTTTTGACTGTTATACTGCTGTGATCAATCAAGTATTGTATACTTTTAATACAAATCATTTATTTTTGGATATCTTGTATGGCTATTCTGATATTTTGAAAGTGACTTAATATACTAAATGTAGAAGAGCAAAAAATAACAATATTCATTAGTATTCATTAGTATATGTCCCAAGTACAACTTTGAGGTAATTGAGTAACTAGTTACATTTGACTTCAAGTCGTGGAATATAAATTTTCATTTCATTCTGTTTTCATTCCGCATTTTGCGTTTGCACGTAAATAATGAGAACAAGATTAAATATTTTTTCACTACATTTACTAGAACAACATTATTGTATTTTATTAACCTCACTGTCGTTGTGACCGCATACACCTTTTTGTTGTTATTTCCTACTCTAGCTTCGGGTAATCGCATCGTTTCAGTGACGTCATCCGATGACCAGCCAATCAGAATCGTAAACGCGCCGATGACGCCGCAGTGTTTTTCTCTCCTCCGCCCGCCTCCAGCCGGCCGCCATTTTGGGAGTCAAAACCCAGCAGCGCACGGACAGCAGCGGCGCTCTTTTTTTTAAATTTTTATTTTATTTTTTTAAACTATGGTTCACACGTGCGTGGTGGCCGGCTGCAGGAACCGCAGGACCCCCGGGACCCCGCTGTCGTTCTACCGGTTCCCGCGGGACCCCGAGCGGAAGCGGCGCTGGATCGCCGCCGTGAACCGACGCGGCTGGGAACCGAACGACGGCAGCCGGCTGTGCAGCACTCACTTCCTCTCCGGTACGAGCGGTACACTCACACGGGGCGTTTATGCTCGAGTCACGTGTACAGCCTCGGATGCGACAAAAGCACATGTTTATAAATGGATACGAAATAATAAGCCACCATCTATTCAACGATGGGCCCCTTCAGCAGTTTCATTCCTCTTCCTCAAATGACTGAGACAATTAAAGGTCTCTTGTTTCAGCTGTTTCCTTCCTCCTGAAGCAGCAGGAAGGCACCGCTGCGAATCACAATAAATGAGACTTGTTGTGGGCTCCCCGGACCCTGAACGCCTTCCGTCTTCTCTTTGTCCACTCGCAGGTAAACAGGTGAAGAACCCACGTTCCCCGGACTACGTTCCCTCCGTGTTCTCGTCCCCGGGCAACCTGGAGGTGGCGGACAAGCAGGAGGCCCGCGTGGAGGCGGCCAACGCCTTGCTGTTCCTGCAGGGCCAGGGCCGGTTCGCCGCGGGGGAGCAGGGCCACGGAGGGGGGAGCCCGGAGGAGGCGGAGCCGGCCGCCGCCGCCGGGGAAAGTGGGTCGTCCTCGTCCTCCTCCTCCTCCCTCAGCAGCGACGAAGACAACGAATCCATGGGCGACGGCAAGAGGGGGCGGTTTGCCCACGCGGCCGACATGGCGGTCCACCTGGACGACGCCCTCCTGGCCCTGAAGAAGGAGAACCAGGCCCTCAGGGAGTCCGTGGACAGGATGTCCCTCTCCGAGAACTCCTTGAGGAACGACGCGGAGAAGGTGAAGTTCTACACCGGCCTGCCAAACTTCTTCGTCCTGGAGACGGTCATGTGGCTGCTCGCGCCGCACATGGACGGGATGAAGGCCGCCAAGCTCTCCAAGTTCCAGCAGCTGCTGCTGACGCTCATGCGCCTGCGCCTGGACCTGCGCAACCGGGACCTGGCCTACCGCTTCGGCGTGAAGGTCGGCACGGTGACCAGGACGGTGCACCAGATGGTCACCATCATGTCCTCCAGCCTGGTGCCCACGGCCGTCTTCTGGCCCTCCAGGGCCGAGCTCCGCAAGAACCTGCCGGCGGCGCTGCGCGCCTCCCACCCGGACTGCGCCGTCATTGTGGACTGTTTCAAGGTGCCCTTCGAGGAGCCGGTCTCCCAGGGCAACCAGGAGCAGCATCGGCAGCGGGTAGGGCCCCCCCCCGGCGCACTCGGGGGGGGCGGCGCGAGTCCCAACGTGTTAAAGTACCTGATTGGCGTGGCGCCCCAGGGCGTCGTCACCTTCGTGTCCCGCGGCGTGCTGGGAGACGTCAGCGACAAGTCCCTGGCGGAGGGCTGCGGCTTCCTGTGCAAGCTCCTCCCCGGGGACGTGGTGCTGGCCGGCCGCGACCTCGACATCGACGACTCCGTGGCCGCCAGGGGGGCCCTGTTCAAAACGGCCGCCGCCCCCGCGGAGGCGGCCGGCGTGCAGAGGCACGTGGAGCGGGTGATCTCCATGGTGAAGCACCGGTACGCCATGCTGACGGGCCCCGTGGAGAGCCCCTTCACCGCCGTCTGCGAGCGCGCCTCCAACCTCTCCACCTTCGATAAGGTGGTGCAGGTGGCCTGTGCCTTAAACAACCTGTGCATCTCTGCCGCTCCGCTGGAGTGAGCGCGCCCAGGACGCCGCTCCGTGCCGGTCGCGCCAGTCCCCTTCACCGCTTTGGACCTTGTGACCTTTAACCCCCACCTTATCTGGACGGGTCCACAAACCACTTTGCTAAGGCGCAACAACTTATGCACAACGTACGATTGATGATGTCAATATTTACCACAAAGACGCTTCTTCCCTTTAGTTTTATTCCAGTTAAGTGATATTTCCCCTTAAATTGGTTTAAGCGTTGTCGTTGCACACAAAGCACGTCCCGGTGCATCTTGGGAAATATCTCCACGTGACCCGGCTGGTGGTTGTGCTGCTCAGCCGGTGCCTTAGTTTTGTAAAGCTGGTTCTGCTGTGATCCACCGTGTGTCCTGCACATATTTGTTTTGGCATCACATGGTGTGATGCTAAGCTAAGTGTCCACAAACCGACCGGTTCACTAGGTTCTAGTTGAGGGTCCTACGGAGGCTCATTCACGCTGATGACCAAAGAGCGGTTCAGAACCATGACTATTCTTTCCTAATGTGAACTCCTTGTTTTAATCGTGATATTGAGATATTATCCTGTTATTTTGAAATAGCTATTAACTTACAATATCAAGACATTAACTCATTATATATCAAGATATTAACTTGTAATGAGATGTTATATTAAGATGTAATATTGAGATAATATCTTGTTGTTTTTAAATATTTTATCTTTATAATGACTTACAGGTTCCTCTTCAGTCACATTAGGCACTAATGGGCTTCCGTAGATGAAATATCACCCTGTCAATCAGTAAAACACCTCATCAACTATTGTGTATCAATTCCAAACAATGTCAAATAAATACCCGGGTAGGATTTATTGTTAGATGTGTTTGGAGGGTTTAGGTTTAAATCTGGCATCAAAGAAATGAACCCTGGTGGTTCGGTTCTAGTTCTAGTGGGCCTTTCTCATGTGCTCGTCACCTTGTTGTTGCTTTTCATTTTCATCTTTCGTCCATCTATTCTGAAGCCTTTTGCTCTCTGATTTCTGAAGAGTTCTCGTTGGTCTAACAGACGCAGAGACATCTGTTGTTGGATGACTGAGTAGTGAGCAGATAACGGAGAGAAATCTGCACGTGTTCCGGAAAACGAGAAGATTTCTTGTCAGAAATCAGATTAAAGCAAAGCTGCTTGAGTCTCTTTGGGTTTTTCTCCAGGACTTTATTTGAGATGATTCTTCTACAAAGCAGCGTTCTCTGTTAACACCCACTTCAAAAATTTGCAAAACCCAATGTTTATCTCACACTTTACATTGTCATGCTGTTTACGGTCGCGTATCCTTTAGTTTGTCATCTTCATTCGTCCCCTTTGAAGTTAAATTTTTTTTTGTAATATTCTTTGGCTTCAGTGGATTTGTTCTATATTCTATAACATTAAATCCCAAAATAAAATAAAAATCATCCTTATTATTACAACTGCTGCGAGTGAGTCGCAATTGTCAAATAAACGATCTTTGGCACAATGCATTTTGTTACACATACAATTAGTATATTTTTTTATTTTATGTTTCTAACATATCCGCAGCTGCTTACATAGAGCGAATCACAAAGAAGAAACAGTCTTCTGCTCGATGCGTTTATATTCCACTATTCAAAATTATATTTAAAAACAAAAACACACACACCGCCGTTACAGCAGCCGCAAAGTCCTCAGCGCGCCTCGCTTCGTTCCATAGACGATCTTCGTCTTCCCGCGGCGCTGACGTGTGTCGCCCCGTCACGTGACCCCTCCCAGGAATGCGAACAATGCAGCGGAGTGTCCGACTTCTTCTGCTGCTGCTGCCGCTGCTTCTTCTTCTTCTTCTTCTTCTGCCGCCGCTGCCCGGAGTCCGAGGGGAGAAAATGGAGGCTCGTTTCTTCTCGCTTAACCGCTTCCTTCGTCCTCCTCGCGCCTCGAGCCCTTTTCCCGCCCACGCGACGACGCTTTCCAAGTAAAAAACGCAACTTTTGTCCTTTTTTAAACCGGAGTTCTCGCTTCTTCATGGTAAGTGTGGACTTTTTTTTAGGAGGAGGGGGGGGGGGCGCGGTGTTAAGGGGAGTGGTGGTCTGAACTTCATTTCCACGACTTGTTGCCGAGCAGAATGTTGTGCTAACGGGATTTCTTCACGGTTAACGGGACGCGGGGCTCCGGTGTGAGGAATGTTCCGCTGCTGCAGAGACATTTTGGGGAGGACCCCCCTCTCCCTCCCCCTCCCTCCCCCTCTCAGGGGGGGGGGGTTACGACCGCTTTCACGTAGAACCGCACCGACACCATTTTGTAACGTTAAAGAAAGGAACACTCTCCCCGTCACGCCGGTGACACGAAGAAGCGCACGTTTCAAGGCCGTGTACCCGCGGGGCGCCGTGTCGGTGCGGCAGCGCCGGGTAACGGCCCGCGGGCCACACGTTGAGGCGCTGTCGCCGTTTCGCGTGTTGCGTTCACTGTCCGTGTTGTGACGTTACGTGTCCGCGACACGCCGCTAACGTTAGTGGGTCTGAACGACGCGTGAAGTAACTTCATGGTGGACTCTCACACGCAGCACGCGGCTGGAAGGTGTACAAGTACCACGGTGTGTGTACATTTAAAGGTTGTACCGTGTTCTCTTTGAGCCCCGCGTACTCTGGCACTGATGCAACCATGTGTTCCATTCAGGTGTACTACTACTACTACTACTACTACTACAAATACTACTGCTCCCCTCACGGGCTCTAACGTGGTTTAATAATTCGTATTGGTCACCTGACGTTATATGAACTAACAGTGTTATTGGCTGTGATTGATCTGACGTCACCTGTACGTCTAACCTGGGATGTTTTGATTGCTGTGGTTCACTGTGAATATAACTACTCGTGTGCATCACATGGATGTGGTTTGACTTTATCTCTTTTAACTGCAGTGAGTTTGACTGTTGAGTCCTGAGCAGAAACATGGTTGATCTTTATTAACTAGTAAAAAACTTTTTTTTATTTTATTTTTTTATTCACGAGGACACCAAGTGGTGTCCGTCTATAACCAAATAAACTAGACACACCGAAAACATTTTGAAGCTTTAAAATCTGCTATTAATAATTCACCAACGAGATGCACGAGATTCAAGGCTTTGTTGATCGAATGAAACGTCTAGTTTGTTTTTTGGGGCCTTGTGTCCGCTGGAGGAACTGCGCTCATTTACAACCAACGAGCTCATGTTCGTCTGCAGGATTTTGCCAAAAGTGGAGCAGCGTTTAATGTTTTGAGTGATGTAGATAATATGCAGTGTGCTTGTGATTGCTTAAATGTCACACGTGTCAAATATCTTAACAGAATTGTTGAGTTAAACTTCCAGAGGGGGTCAGAGGATAGCGTGGAGGTCAGATTTTTAAAAGCCCCCCCTCCCCCCCCAGACATGCATCACCCACATGTTTGTTTTTTGGGTGTATTTTGGTCGGGCCGTCCCGTGATGAGTGCGGTCGTAGTCACTTGGGGAATGGAATGCTCCCCGGTCGCCGAAGCATCACAGGAATGGAAGCCGGAGATGATTGGGCAATGTTTACCCCCCCCCCCCCGATAAGTTAAAAAAGGTTTTATCTGTACAAACAGTGGGGGCTCTGTGCTTCTTGGAAACAGCCCAGAGGGATGAAGCCTGCCGGGGGGGCATGATCCTGGTAATAACACTTTACCGCATGCTTTGGATTTGTTATTATATTACTACTTACTTTGTAAATAAATGCAAGATCATGTGGAATAATCCAAATGTTGTTTACTGTTTAGTTAACTTGCTTTTCCTTCTTTGACGTTACAAAGACCAGAATCCTCACTCGAGGTCTTTCCCCTCACTTTAAATGTTAACACCCAACCATTTATAGTTTATCTGACTTAGTTTGTCATGGTGTTTTGGTTCATGTCAGATTAGCGTATCTCTACAGACAATAAACATCTGTGAGCTTCAGCTATGAATAAGAAGACGTTCACAGCTAAAAACCACTTTAAAACCCTCGCCGTCAGAAACGTTCTTGTCGTTAAAAATGGACCCCTGAACTAAAGTGAGCTGGTCAGTGATCTTTTCCTGCCGAGCGGCTTCTACTCCTTCACTCTTTAAAGGTCCCCGTGGAGTTCGCTCACAAAACATTGAAATTTCTGCATTTCCGGTGCCCCTCCCCCCCCAAATTAACTCCTCCCACTTTGGACCTCCTCACCGAGGCAACATGAAATGCTTGACCCTGATTGGCCGGCAGCTTTCCGTCTAGGCGGTGGACCGTTTTTGGGGGCGTGGCCGCGTGAGCGCCGACAGGTGTCCCGCGGACGGGGAAAGGCAATTATTTTAATGTGCGCCGATAATTGTGGCTCAAACCGTCTTGTGAATTTCTGCTGAATACAAACCGATTAAATAAAAGTTGATTGCTTAACAAAAATGGTTGAAACGGCAGATAAAGACCTTTTGTAATGCAAAAAATCCGCCGAAAGAATGTGTCTCCCACGACATGAGTGTCGACAAAAGCGGATTGTGCAATCGCTGCTGTGCCTTGGTTGGGGGGGGGGGGGGGTTAATATGCAATGACACCGAATCCGTCTTCAGTGTTTTTTTACCGCATGATGTCTTGTCACATTCTGCATGCGTGTGCTAAAGATCATGCTCATATTTTGGCATGAAAATGAAGGAAAGGTTTATTCCAAAAGCGTACTTGGTACACAGTGCGTTTTACTTAAATAAACAAAAAAAGAACATGCAAATCTAAAATATGAGTGAACCATCTGGACAAAGGGCATCTTCGGGGTATTTTTCTCCCCCTCGCTTTGATTTTCCCCGTTTTGTAAAAGTCTCTGAAGAAACAACCTTGACCCAAACTACAGAGAAGTTTTCTGCAGAATAACAAAGTTACAGTGACATAAATCAGAGCAAAGAACAAAACGCATCAATGATCGGAGGAAACCTTGATATCACAAGATGGATCCAATGTAAATAGTCCACATATTGGCGGTCTGTCTGTCCTGAAGGAATATCAACAACGTGCTTTTTCTAATGTTCTGCTGTTCCTCTTGGTTCTCCTCCCCAAACGGTCACTGTTCATTAGGACTCTTTGTTTTTACTACAATTCAACGTTTGATTTAATTTCCTTTTGGTGCTCTTTTGCAGCGCTGGAACTTGTTACTAATATTGAAGGAATTAAAGATGTTGGAAATTTTTTATAAAAGACGAATGTTTTCTAGAGTAAAGTAAGTAAATGATTGACAGAAACATTTGTGATTCATCAAACTTTGTAGCCCCTGTATTATCGTAACGCCGATACCTTCCTCCTCAGGCGACCAGCAGCGTTGTGCTTTGGCTCCGCGGCGTCCTCGCCACCGGCTGCATTTCCTGGAACAAGCTGGAACCCCGAGCCCCGAGGAGCCCCGCCACGGAGCGCCTGTAGCCGCCCACCTTCTTCCAGCTCGCCATCCTCGCCATCACAACGGGAGGCACGCAGGGGCGACCCCTTCCCCCGCCCCCCCCGCTTCGCCCCTTAGTGTCGGCCATCCCCAGAAGGACATTTTGGGGTCACTGCCTGTGCGTTTTCCCCTCCCCCCCGCGACCCCGTAGAGTAGCCATGAGGCCCAAGACGTTCCCCGCGGCGCCGTACATGGGCAACACGCGCCAGAGGCTGCAGGAGATCAAGGAGGGTCTGAAGCAGCCGGCCAAGCTGGTGAGCCAGGCGCTGCAAGGCGCCGGCTCTCGGGCCGCCGCCGCCGCCACCGCGGCCGCCAGAGGCGCCGACTGCAAGACCGGGAAGGACGCCGCCAGCCGGCAGCAGCAACAGCTCCGCCCCCCCCAGAAGTTCAACAACCACCAGAATGCACTGCTGGAGATCCGCAAGTCCCTCAAGCCCTACGAGGTCAACCGGCAGATGCTGCAGGATCTGGTCAACGCCGGCTGTGACCAGGTGTGTGCGCGCGCATGTGTGTGTGTGTGTGCATATAATTTATATATATATATATATATATATATAATCTACATGCAGTGTATAGAGATGTCGGAGGTTAGACGGATGTTCTCCCACACTTTCACTGAGACGCTGAGGACGTATCGGAGGTGTTTGTGTTGAGTAACTTCTCACTCAGGAATTATTTTTATGAGAAGCAGTCGAGAGTTCTGCACGCCGTCACATGCAATAACAGAAAAGTCAGCGCCGCCGTGGTTACGTAACGCCTGAAATGTTGAAATATCAGGTGGATTTGCCAAGTGGGCTGTTGTGGCGTTCCCTTCCTCTTCCCTCTGCTTGAGGAATGCGAGGAGGGAGGAGAGTGTCCTCGGGAAGTGAGAGCCTCCCCTCAGACCAGAAGGTCTTTTTTTATTTTATTAATCAGAAGATCAAAGGTCACATTTTGAATTATTTAAATTATTTTTCTAATAAATGATTTGAAACAATTTGAAGTTTAGATTTGAGGGGCTTTTATGGTCTGTGTTGCCCGATGTGTTCAAGGACCGTCTGACAAATGGAACGCCTGTTTCCTCGTCTCCCAATGGCGGCCGGTCAAGAGCGGGCGGAGTTGAACCAAACAGGAAGTGAACATTCAATGGCAGCAGGGTGGAACAGTTCCTCCTCCTCCTGTCCGTCTGACCCAGATACACTCTGGTGCTATTTAATTATTTCTTTAAATACAAATCCAGTGGTTGAATATTAAAGTCTGTTTACAAAGTTACCGTCTCCTTTAAACTCAACTTTATTTACACGGCATCGCTCATACAACCGCGCAGAGAGATTCAAACGAAAGCGACTAAAAAGAGACTAAAGAATCTTAAGGGAGTAAAAATTACAACAAAATGATGTGTGTGTGTAATAAAGATGAGATTAAAGGAGACGGTGACTTTGCAATGCAGGTTTTTGCATATATAAACATACACATCCATTAACATACGTGAATATTGATGACAACACAGTCATGAATATTATATTTAATATCCATAATTAAATCCCAGGCTTTCTACTGCACGTGCAGGAACGCGGTGCACGCTCTGCGTTGCCGTAGCGGCGAGGAAGCACTGCGTGCGTCAGGGTTTGGGCGCGTGATTGATCTCTTGTCGTCTGTTACAGAGACGGACACATTAGGTTTGGGGTTTCCGTCCCTCTGCTCCTGCTCGTCCTCCACATGGCTTACGTTTCCTTCTGTTCTGCCTTTTTTTTTAAACTCTTAAGTCAAGGAGACATCGAGTACCTCCTCTAATGAAAAACAAAAGGCTGCTTGTGCTCGTTACGCCGGAGCAGCTTGTGTGTCGACCCTTTGCAGGCCGGTCATTATGCGTCTGGGGCAACTGGGCGGCTTGTGGCCCGCGGCCGTTATAACGAGGAGACAAATGGCTTCTGGGTATTTTAGACGCACGCAGAGAGACAATGATGGGAGAAAAACTATCCAGAATGCAAATAGCCTGAATTCCTGCTTCCTGGGCTGGAGGAATGTGAGCGAGAAACATCTGTCGCCATGGCAGCCGGGGTCACCAGGCCCGCCTCCACCCAACACACACAAACACACCAGAGGAAGCGTGGGACGATTAAAAAAAACAGTGCTACTGTGTTTTGATGGTTCAATACTTCTCTCTGTTCTAATTTAACTTTCTATATTCAGAGCTGTTTTCCCCTCAAAATAGATTTTATTTATTTTTCAAAGCTGCAGATAAAGATCCGACCACAACAATGGTTCTCAAACCTTTCCTGTCACGACCAGCTTTGGAGGAACAAAAATGTCCATGACGCACCGCCCACAGAATAGAACCTTTATTGAAATTGAAATTTGTTAAATAACCCAGATTACTCTTTATTTGAGATAAAAACAAATAAAATGTACAGGACGTCTCTGCCGGCTGCACAGGAATGCAACACGCACACAGGAAAGTGCGTGCGTGCACGTGTGCGTGCACGATGGGAGGGGTCGACAGCAGGCATGTACATTTACACCTAATGTGGGCGCTCTGATGGACACACACACACACACACTCGTGTGTGGGCGCTCTGATGGACACACGCGCTCTGTTGTGTGTCAGAGGGCGTAGAACGCGTGATGTCGAGGCATTTCCTGCCTTGAAGCGTCCTCCTGTTTAACCAATAACCACCTTAAATAAAGACAAATATTGTTAAAAATAATATTACAATTTAGGTCCTACAGCCGCGATCGACTCGGCCGAAACAAGTGACCAGAATTTTGTGTTTAATGGAGTATAGTTCTATATATTTTTAGATATATATAAAATGGTCGTGATCAAAGTGTTGGTGTAGGCCGTATATTTCTGCAGTGACTCCCTGAAATGTCGTGTGGCTGATTGACGCCGTCAGCTCGGCTTTGGTTTCCCGTCGTCTTTCTACATCCTCTTTGTGTGAATCAGACCCGCAGTTGGTTCCGTCTTTCGAGCTCTGGTGAAGGAACACGAGGGCCGAAGGGAGCGATCGGTGTCTAATGAACGAAATGCCTCCTTCCCGCATTCCGTCTCCAGCGCGAATTACCCAGCAGCCCGATGAATAGGAAATACCAAAGTGGTGAACCGACATTTTTCACATAGGTGACCTACATAGCTGTGGGCTCTCTGCTCACCTGTTGGAGCCGGGGGGGGGTGGTTGAGGGGGGAGCAGAAGGGCGAATAAGAATGAGGAGGATTCATTCTTAAAGCCAACGCGTGGAAGCTTTTTTTTTTACTGGGGGTTTCTGAGGTGATCAAAACCTGCGGTGTGTAATATTTTTTGAAAGATGCACCAGATTCAACCTCCCAGAACACCGGAGAAACTGATTTGTGTGTTTGTGGAGTTCCCACCGGGTACTAGCCTTGCTATTGGTTTGTAAACGAGATTTAAATGGTCGTCTCTGAAGAGATGAACCGCTTTGATGAATACAGGTGGATGTCGGCTTCGTTTGGGACCAATAACTGTCCTGACCCGTGTGGTCTTTGTTGGTGCCTCACAGGAGATGGCGGTGCGAGCGCTGAAGCAGACGGGAAGCAGGAACATCGAAGCGGCCTTGGACTACATCAGTAAGATGAGTTACCTCGACCCGCGCAACGAGCTCATCGTCCGCGTCATCAAGCAGACGTCCCCGGGTACGAGAAGCTCTTCCTCCTCTCCACGTTCATCAAACATTTCATTATAGACAAGTTCCCCGGGCACTTCCGGTTTACTTCCTGTTTCTGCCAAGAACTTCCGGCGCAGGATGAGTCGTGGTGTAAAAATGGCTTTGGAATGGCAACATTCCACCGAAAATCTTGTTAAAAATGGTGTTTTGACCATTCCGCATCCAAGTAAGGTGACATCATGGGCGGACAGCATGTCGATATGGCCCAGCATCACAACATCCAAGATCTTTTCTTATTTTATTGATTTGAATTAATAACCTGAAAAGCTCCGAGGCGTTTCAGTACCTCCATTCCGACAAAGTGGGCTGTGTACTTTTACACGATATGGGCAGTTTAATTTACCTAAAAGCCGATGTTCAACCAAGCCAGTCCGTTAACTATTCAGCGCATAACGCCTGGGTTTTGGTTACCAAGACGGGAGATGTGGAGACTGCAGCTGTACCTGTAGCCATGCAGCCGCCGGGCTTTGGAAGGTACGTTAGCCCATCTTATGCTTGTATTAAGATGTTTGTATGTATCCGTGTGTTAATATATAACAGAACACGAAGAGTAATAAAAAGAAAGAGTAATCCCCTCTAGCCTGCCTGCACTAAAAGCATTTAACCCTTCAAAGTGCGCAGACCTGACATATCTATTAAGAGCTTCGGAATGGATAAAGGTATTAACTTACTTTTTTTTCTATGAAAAAGCTGATATTCGTCTGCGTAATAATTAGTAGACTGTGTTGACTTTGAATGATAAGCCTTCCGTATTTGAGTGCAAATCTATAGCATTTTACTCACTTGTAGATGGTGGATGGTCGAAACGTTCTCCTTCCGACCAAACATTCAGCAATCGCCACGAGTTGTTGCAACCGTGAAGCACAATATGTCCCGGAGCCGCGTCGGCGTGTAACACCATCCATAGTTTACTTTTTCTGCACGCTAACCAAAGACCGTAAAAGACGCTGACTCGCTAACCGGAAGTGCTTTGCAGACACAAGCGGAAGTCGTTGGCAGAGTGAAAGGCCAATGGCGGCTCGCCTGTTTCACTCAGGAAACTTGTCTATAAATAACACAGAATTAATATGACTTTGTAGGAAATACTTTAACCGGATATGATGTTTAATAACAAAAACAAGGAATAAATGGACAATTAAAGAATAGCTCTTTTCTTCTTTTTTTTAGGAAAGGCCGCCATGCCGAACCCGATGGACCACCGGCCCCCGCTAGAGGCTCCGGGCGAGGTGGGCGCGATGCCTCAGTACCACCAGATGGGGGCTCCCCTGTACGAGGGGGCCGGTGGCTACGGCCCCAAGGGCGAGCTGCCCAGACCGTACATGAGCGCTCCGCCCGTCATGAACTACATGATACCCCCGTCCGGTGCGCCACAGGGCCCCCCCATGGGTCGCCCCCCAAGCATGGGCTCCTACCCTCCGGGGATGGCCAGCCAGGGCAACCCGGCCGGCCCCATGTACGGGCCGGGGGCGCAGCAGAAGGGCTACGCCGGCGGCATGGAGCAGCACGGACCCATGATGAGCTACACCGTCCCCGGCCAGCCGCTGCAGCTCCAGCCGCAGCCACAGGGGGGCCCCGTCCCGGGCCCCCACTACGACTACGGCCACGCCCGGCCGCACATGATGGAGCCGGCGGGCTACGGCGTCAAGAGGACCGCCTCCTTCCAGAGCAAGATGGCGCCGTCCATGGTGCAGAGCGTTCCCGCAGGTGGGGGCTACCCGGCCAACCTGTACCTGCCCCCCCATTCCCACCCGCGGCAGGCCAGCCCCACCTCCCACCACGTCCACATCATGTCCCGCGGTGCGGGCCCCGAGTTCTCCGACATGCCCCAGGGCCTGATGACGCCCTCCAGGGCCAGCCTGAACCTGGACCTGTACGAGCACCACTGGGCGGGGCCTCCAGGCGTCGACGGCGCGCCTCAGGCCAGGCAGCCCCAGGGCCCCTTCCGGGGGGAGGTGCGTGCCCCCAGCAGAACCAACTCCTTCAACAGTCGCTCCGTGGGGCCCGCCGGCGTGCGGCCCGCGATGACCGCGCCGCCCGCAGTCGGCAAACAGGACCCGTCCCTGGGCCAGCCCAACACCATCACGGCGGTGACGTCCCCCCCCATCCAGCAGCCGGTCAAGAGCATCCGCGTGATGAGGCCGGAGCCCAAGACGGCCGTGGGCCCGTGCCACCCCAGCTGGATGACGGCGCAGGACGCGGCGGAGTCTCTGGCCTACATGCCGGAGGAGACCTACAGCCTGGAGCCCCCCCAGGAGCCCCGTTGCCCGCCGCCGCCCTACCCCAAGAACCTGCTGATGGAGGAAGGGGCCGCGGCCATATGCGCAGCCCAGGATGGCGGCGGGTCTTCCAGAAGCAGCCCCGGGAGCGGGAAGGCGGACGAGAGCCAGCAGGTGAAGGAGAAGACGAAGACGGGCAAAGGAGAGAAGGCCGTGAAGGACAAGAAGCAGATCCAGACGTCGCCGGTTCCCGTGAGGAAGAACGGTCGGGACGAGGAGAAGAGAGAGTCGCGCATCAAGACCTACTCGCCCTTCGCCTTCAAGTTCTACATGGAGCAGCACATCGAGAATGTGATGAAGACCCACCAGCAGAAACTGAACCGCAGGCTGCAGCTGGAGCAGGAGATGTCCAAGGTGAGAGGAGGCGATGCCTGTGATGTTTGAGTCTGGGATGAAGCTCTGCACGATGATGCCTGTGATGTTTGAGTCTGGGATGAAGCTCTGCACGATGATGCCTGTGATGTGCACGTAGTCCAGGCATCTCTTCACCAGCTAAACAAATAGAATTGTTGCTTCTCTTAGCGGATACGTTAGAAGTCTTCGCCAACCATCACGGCTCTCAGGCGCCCTCGTGTGGCTCACAAGTGTACAGCAGCTAGAAGGAAACAAACCTTTTGTTAAATGTTAACTCGCTGCTAGTGTTGCCACCGGAAGTTCGACAGACTTAAATTGTTTTCTGATCTGAACAAAATTTACGTTGTATTTTCCAAAACCAAAAACCCTCCAAACAGACTGGGCTACTCTGTTGGGCACAAGTTGCGTTGCAGCATCTCTGGTCTCTCGTTGTTCCTCCCGTATCGCTCTTTTCTGCGTTTTCATGTAGCAGCAGAGTTACTGCTTGTTGTCAGCTGTACCCAGCATGCAGTTCGGCGGGGTCATTTTTATAAATGTACAATTATTAGTGTTACAAATTCTGTATGTGTCACAAGATGTTAAAAGAGTCATGGTTATAACTTTATAACAATCTCAACACACGTAAGACAAGTAGCAGAAACAAATTCTGCCGCCCGCTGAAGAGCAACCTCAGTGGTTATGACGTAACACCGGTTTGAACGGTACGTGAGAAAGCGTTTGACCTAGTGGAACATTCCCTGGCAGTGGAGAACAGCCTCGGCCTCATGCGGTTTGATTACGTCAGTGCACAGTCAGCAAGTTCTCCCTTGTGTGCCTGCCTGAGCCATGACTTTGCCCTGCGACCCTTTTGACCTGCTTCAGTGTCAGGAGGTTCAGCTCACGATAACGTTCCCGTGTCACGTGTTCCGCTCAGGCCGGCCTGTCCGAAGCCGAGCAGAAGCAGATGAGGAAGATGCTGAACCAGAAGGAGTCCAACTACAACCGGCTACGCCGGGCAAAGATGGACAAGTCCATGTTTGTCAAAATTAAGACGCTGGGCATCGGGGCCTTCGGCGAGGTGTGCCTCACGCGCAAAGTGGACACGGGCGCGCTCTACGCCATGAAAACGCTGCGCAAGAAAGACGTCCTCAACCGCAACCAGGTGAGTTTGTACCGGTTAGGTGGAGAACTTGATGTGAGAGGGTAAAAGTTACGTTTTCACGGTCTGATTCGTGCTTCTGTTTGTATGTTTCTGGTACAAAGTGGAAAATAGGGGGGAGAATGCGGAAAATGTCTATTTAATCGCCAACTAGCGTGCTACAGATCACGTGTGATCCAAATGTGCTCCGCCCGGTGCAGGTGGCCCACGTGAAAGCGGAGCGCGACATCCTGGCGGAGGCCGACAACGAGTGGGTGGTGCGCCTCTACTACTCCTTCCAGGACCGCGACAGCCTCTACTTCGTCATGGACTACATCCCCGGCGGGGACATGATGAGCCTGCTCATCCGGATGGGCGTCTTCCCCGAGCACCTGGCGCGCTTCTACGTGGCGGAGCTGACGCTCGCCATCGAGAGCGTCCACAAGATGGGCTTCATCCACCGCGACATCAAGCCCGACAACATCCTCATCGACCTGGACGGGCACATCAAGCTGACTGACTTCGGCCTGTGCACGGGCTTCCGCTGGACGCACAACTCCAAGTACTACCAGAAAGGTGATGGACGTGTTAACACGCAGCTTGATAAGAGACTCTGAGTAAAAAATGCTCCTGGAAAAGCAAGAATAAAAGGGGAAAAGGGGGTCGGTGTTCCGCTAGGTTTCTGAACGATTTAGACGATTTGATATCATTGCACTCCATGCCAGCTAACCCAGACGGGTTTTCTAACTGCGTCGCCCCCCTCTTCTGCGTCCAGGGAGCCACGTCAGACAGGACAGCATGGAGCCCAGCGACTTCTGGGACGACGTGTCCAACTGTCGCTGCGGCGACCGGGTGACGATGGAGCAGAGCGCCAACCGGCAGCACCAGCGCTGCCTGGCCCACTCTCTGGTGGGGACGCCCAACTACATTGCGCCGGAGGTGCTGCTGCGCAAAGGTGGGCCGGCGTCTCAAATATACCTTTTTTTTTAAAAATCTATTTAACCGTCAAAGCGGCAGCACCTCTACAGGCCACTAGATGGCTGTGACTGTTCACCAACATAAAGAACCAGTGTGATAACTTTTACCCTTTTTACCTCCATGAGCCAGAGTTCATTGATACTCGTTTTTAGTTGTAACTGTTCTAGATAGAAAATAAGACATTACCCTTGATATTTCAGATTTACTTATTGTGAGATTACAGTAGAAAACGTGACCGTGTGATCACATTGGTGTGTGGTAAATGTGTGTGTGGTGTATTTGTGCTGCAGGTTACACCCAGCTGTGTGACTGGTGGAGCGTGGGAGTGATCCTCTTTGAGATGCTGGTGGGACAGCCGCCCTTCCTGGCCTCCACGCCCACCGAGACGCAGATCAAGGTCAGTGACCGACAAATGTCCCTGCTTTTCATTTACAAATGAAATGATTAATCAAAAGTATTAATATATATATTCTTGGGCTGCTCAGCGGTGCGAGTGGACACTTTCGGACTGGTTCCAGGGACCTTTTTAGCTCCTATTTCAGAGTAGGAACCCGCTGAGAACGAGAGGAACCATGCGTGAAGTGTTCAGTGATTAGTCCAACGCACGGCAGACGCCATTTAAAAGAAACCCCAGGCCAACCAAGTAGCACAACTGCTAACGTTAGTACAAAGGCTAGCATTAGCATACAAAGGCTAACCCGGTGACAGGATTAAGCTAACCCCGTAGCACTGCAGAAAAGACTCCACGTTTGTTGGTAATTGATTCTTATGTTACAAAAGAAGAGCTTTTGGTCCTAAAACGCCTGCTGTGACTTCAGAGTGAATCCAATGGGGAGGTGAACTTTGACCTGCAGCTGTGATGACCTCACGCGTCCTGTGTCTGCAGGTCATCAACTGGGAGAGCACGCTGCAGGTGCCCGCCCAGGTGAAGCTGAGCCCGGAGGCCGTCGACATCATCGGACACCTCTGCTGCTCGGCGGAGGATCGCCTCGGCGCCAACGGCGCCGGCGAGATCAAGGCCCACCCCTTCCTCGCCCAGATGGACTTCTCCAGCAACCCGCGGCAGCAGCCGGCGCCCTACCGGCCCAAGATCGCCCACCCGATGGACACGTCCAACTTCGACCCCGTGGAGGAGGAGGGCGGGCCCGGCGCGTCGAGCGACAGCGGCGACAGCACCCGGGCGCTGGACGCGCTCTGCTTGCCGCACGGGAAGCACCCGGAGCACGCCTTCTACGAGTTCACCTTCCGCAGGTTCTTCGACGACAACGGTTGCCCCTTCCGCTACCCGAAGCCGCTGGAGGCATGGGGGGGGGGGCGTCGCCCGACGAGCAGGAGGGACGGTGGGCCAGAAGGAGGAAAGAGGAGGAGGAGGAAAAGAAGGAGGATCAAGGTGGGAGGGGTTGGGAGCCTGGTGTACTGAATACCTAAAAAATGGGCCGGTGTGCTTCTTATCAAGGGGGTGAATTAGAAATGAATTAAATGACCCCACCCCCGCCCCCCCCCCCCCCACCACCGTCCCTAAAACTATTGCACCTCCACAAACCCCCTGAACCGGAACAAGAGACCTCCTGCCGAGGGTGACTATCGAGTGGGGAAGAGTGGAGCGTGTTACCGCGAGGGGGGAGAGAGGGTGGGGGGCAGGGGGGGTACCAAGTGAGATTCTGGCCTTCACGGCGTGGAACGGCAGGAGGAGGAGCCTGAACGGGCAACACGCCTCTTTTCACAGCAAAGACACTTTGCATGCAAACACTCACGTATTCATGGCGGGGGGGAGGGGTGATGGGGGGGGGGCAACAGACGTCTCTGCCGGCGTCCATATTTCAAGAAGCGGCTTTCTTTGTGGCGTGAGAGATGACTGTTGGCCGCATAAAAACCAAATAGCGGCGAATGACTTTCGGATCCGTGTTTCCTCGTGGAGTTCGGCGCGCCGCCATAAACAGGGGCACCGCTGGAGACGTTGGAATGTGCGTAAAAGGAGTGAAAACAATAAAGGAAGCGGAGAACCGCGTGTCTGTGAAGCGCTTCCTGTTCCCGACCAGTTACCACGGCGGCACCGATGAGCCCTGCAGAGGCGGGTTGGGATGCAGCTGGTTCTGGTCTCAGCCGGATGGAATCGTTCACCGAGCTCGACGTCGGCTCGAAGTCTCAAGAACCGCACGAACAATCCCAACGGCTTTTTCAGAACTCGCTTTGTTTCTGTGAAGAGAACCGAGTGAAACATTATTTAACAGGAACCGGAGCCTGAACCCCGCCGGGTCGGCTGGTGCTGAGTTGGTTTCTGACCGTTCAGAATCAAAGCTCCAACACACACACACACACACACACACACACACACACACACAATCCACCAAGATGCACAATTTTACAGCTATTTTGCAAAGATGAGTTGTAACTGAAGCGGCCTCCTCTGTGGCTTCTGGAGTCATGAACAAAGTTCTAATCGTATGATTATGTGCAATACAAAAACATAACATTATATCTAGTTTTCTAAACACTTAATATCGTTTTTTAAATGTTTTTTTCGTACTGAAATATACAAATATATTGGTTCATTTATATATATATATATTTTCTCTCCCAGTTGCAACATGCTGCTTATTATTTTGGTTAATATTATTTACATTATTATTATTATTGTTATTGTGTTAACCGTTTCATTTTATGTCTCCTTGTGTTGCTTTGTGAGTGTGTGCGGCTTTTTGAAAGTTTCGTGCCTTTTCTAATTGAATGTTGGGAGTTTGTTCGGTGGTGATGATGATGATGAAGATGAGTGTTTGCAGAACACGGACGGTTGAGACTCGCTCCCCCCCCCCCGGGCCGGGCTGGTCCCGGAGCGAGGGGCTTGGGAGGAGGAGGAGGAGGAGGAGGAAGAGGAAGGTCGGCTTGAGTCTCTATTTCACAAATGGTTCATTTGTTCATGTTTGGTACATTTTCTTTATTTAACCGAAATGACCCAAAGTGTGAGTGTCGCGTCACTTCCTGTCCCCACAGGAGCTTCTGTGTTGATCGAGTACTTCCTGCTTGTTGACAATCAATAACTCTGCGTCGAACTGATCCAACAGTATTCTTGAGTTTTTAAAGTTACATATATATTTTTTATTTTGCCTGACAATGTATTTTCTGTAAATGTGCCTTAGTGTCGCCATCGTCTTTTCACCGTTGTCTTTGAGCTGTTTTCATTGTTTCCGCCTCCACGCCGGCTTGGTTCTGTAACTCAGAACCAAGCCTCATAATGTAGGAATTCGGTTCAACGGTCAAGATGTTGTTGCGGTTCGATCACACAGGGGTCGATCATTTGTCAAGATTTCACCAATTAGCCGGTTTGATCCTCAGAAGCACCTTTTTTCCGATGTTTCATGGGACGATGTAGGATTTTGCCGTAGACCGCTATAAAACCACAATAAAATGATTGTGGTAAATTTCCAGAAGCTGTGTAGTTCACTATGAAAGAAGTTAATAACTCGTTTGAAAAAAACTAGACAGATTATCGTGAAAGAAAACCGACTTCTTGCATTGGTTCTTTAGAACGTTCACACCATAAACATGTTACAAGTACTCATGTAAGTTAAAGTAATTCCAATATGTTGGAATCAGAATCATTTTTCCCAAATGATCCTGACATGAAATGAGGTGACAGCCGGCTGAACGCCACGTGGTTTAATAAACAAATAGAATTAACGCACCGTATTTCAGGAAAAGTTGAACTGTTTCCCCGTCGCTCAGTGGCGAACTTCAGATTGAGGCGCACTGAGGTCACGTTGGGTTGAAATCAAAAGCTTTGAAAGAGAGCGACAATCTTCAACTGGCAGGATTTCTGCTCCACACTCGCTTGTTTATCCTCTTTTTACTTTTTGTATTTTTACTGCGAGGAGCCTCCTCGATGTACGATACAATTCTGTTGCTATTGAATTTATATTTATACAGATATACATATTTTTTCTATCTTTTTTCCCCCCGTGTGCTAGAAAAACAACCCTGTCCACGCAGTATTATAGATGATGTCATGTGGACAGCTGTCTCTCTTATTACATTTATGATGAACTGAGAATATGTATTAAAAATGCTTTCACAGTGTGTGTGAACTATGTATAAATTAAATTAACCAACTTGGACTGGTGCTTTTATTTCACCGCATCTACACGTCTTATATGTGATCTTCTTTATTTCTGTATCGTCACCAACACAATGTAAATTAATTAATTAATTCTACATTCCTTTAAACTAACACCCAAAAGTATTTTATTTTGAAATGAACAGAATTCCATTTACCATTTTCTTCTTTTCTTATTTCTGCTGTTTTAGAAGAATCTTCACAAAAGCAGCAAAACCACAGCAGTTAAAGACGTACTTTTAAGTAGCCGACTAAACGTACTCTACTCAAAATTCCTCCTATTTTAATGAAAGAAACATCTGATGTTGCAACTGGTTTCTTTTAAATACATTCATATTTTTTATGAACCCCTGTATCAAAAATATTTTTTACAGTAAATACTTTTCAGCCTGCTTAATACACACAAACAGGATAAAGCAAGTGGACACATTATGGTGAAAGTACTTAAGATAAAATGCAATATTTAGTTATGTATAATATAAATAAAATATAAAATACATTACCAAAAATATAAACTAATAAATATTTGTGTATATATATATATATATATATGAAACAAGTTGTATAAATGATCTGCAACGTAATAGAAAGTAATATGGCCAGATAAATTAATTGGAAAAAAATTGACAATATTTGTCAATATTTGAGTACATGTATGAGTACAAATAAAAAGGTATAGTCAAGTACAAGTACTTCAACATTGTATAAAGTACCGTCAAAGCAATTAAAACAAAAATGTTCTTAAAGGAAACTTATAAAATAAATACAAAATGTAAAAAGCTGACTTGAAATACCAAAGCGTTTAACCGGGTGAACCGCGGGGTTCGAACCTCCGCCGGGTGCCGCGCCGCCTTCCCACAATGCAGAGCGCGCGGCGCGTCATCGGAGAGGGACGGCGATGATGGCGGCGGTCGGTGCACCAGAAGTGATCACACAGCTGGAAAGCGCTGCCAAAGTTTTAATGGTGAGACGTTTCACGTGTTCTTTTTCGGCGGCGACGGCGGCGGGCGGGACGTCGGTGTTGACGCCGCGTGGCGGGAGTGTGACGACGGGGGGAGGGAGGGGGAGGGTGGGGTGTGCGGCCCGGGGGGGAGGGGGGGGGGGGGCGACTAACTCCCAAGTTTTCTGTAATGTGTTCAGATTTACCGGAGAGACGGTGTGTGAGCGCTGCGTGGCGTCCCGCTTCTCCCGGTCTCCTCACCCGGCAAATAAAACCCCAAATACCCCCCGGGTCTCCCCCCTCCGGGTCTCCCCCCCCCCGTTCCGTTCTTCTTGATAAATAACAACCGTTAAAATGACACCATCTAACCCGGGGTTCGGACGCTCTCGCCGCGGCTTCGGGGAGTTGGACCCCGCTCGGCCGGAGCGTCTCGGGGGGGCTGTCGCGTCACCCGGGTGCAGCTGTAGCTTCCTGAAGTAACTCCATCTTTACAGCCCCTCCCCCCACCCCAGCCTCCATCAGGGTAAACAACTGCCCCCCACTCGGCTACCAGCACGTGCACGAGTCTGTGGTGGATACGTCGGCTACCTTTAGCTACAGCCTCTTCCTTTCTGGCATCTTGGCCCCCCTCCCCTCCTACTTACTTCTTGATGCAGATCACCCCGCGTGGGGGGGGGGGGGGCGTCACGTGTTAGCCAGCAGGTGTGTTCCGGTCAGCAGTGGCTGTGGGTGTAGTGGATCATAATGGACACCGTGTCATTCGGGCTCCTCGTTGAGCTGCTTCACGTAAACAAAGGGGGTAAACAAAGGGGGGTAAACATTGTCTACAGGTGTATGTGTTGATGGTCATTGTCTACAGGTGTATGTGTTGATGGTCATTGTCTACAGGTGTATGTGTTGATGGTCATTGTCTACAGGTGTATGTGTTGATGGTCATTGTCTACAGGTGTATGTGTTGATGGTCATTGTCTACAGGTGTATGTGTTGATGGTCATTGCTGGAGTGGATCAATAACAGTTGAGCGGGCGAGCTCGTGGGTTCTGTTCATGCGTTGGGTCTTTATGTACAGTGGATGTGAACCGCGAGTTGTAAACAAACACAAAGCAATGGCTGTTTAATGGGCTGGCAGTTTGTGTGTACTAATGTATGCAGTGTACTTTAAGCACATTGTTTACGTTCAATCCATCTCTCATTGAATAAAATATCATTTTTGCTGAAGAAAGTCATCAAAATAAAGTGTAAATATATTTACAAATATAAGAAATGAGAAGGCAGAAAATGTTGTAAATAATGTAAAAAAAGGTTTTTTGTAAGCATGTTCTTGTTTCCAGGCTCCGCCGTCCATGGTCAGCACAGAACAGAGGCAGCATGCTGAACACATCTTCCTCTCCTTCAGGAAATCCAAGTCCCCCTTCGCCATCTGCAAGCACATCTTAGGTAACTACCGAGGTCCTTGAGGCAGCCGGCACGGCTGCTTTTTAACCTGCACAACTTTAAAAACAACTCCCTTTATTTCCATTGAAGTCTCACTCAATTGAACTGTGTTTTTTGGGGGGGATTTGCGCCTTTTTTTGCCTTTTGCATGTTTACCTTCTAATCTCGTACGTGACAGGCTGCATGTAGTTCTTATTCATGCTTTTCTCTAAATGTTCCCTCCCAGAGACCAGCAAGGTGGACTACGTGCTGTTCCAGGCAGCCACGGCCGTCATGGAGGCCGTGGTGCGGGAGTGGGTCCTGCTGGAGAAGAGCAGCATCGAGTCGCTCCGAGCGTTCCTCCTCACCTACGTCCTACAGAGACCCAAGTAAGGAAGTGTGATAGAAGTCTGTGTGACGTTTGGGAGGACCGTCGCATATCCTGCTGCTGGAGGCAACAATATACTGAAAACATCTTCTCTTGCTGTCAGACAGACCAATCATTTGTTTGAAGACGAATTCATTTGACCTCCCATGACAGTTCGTCAGGTAGTTTGTTTGTGTTATTGTGGGACTGTGGCGAAGCGGAACGAACCCCCTAAAACACCAAAGTCACACTTGAATCCCGAACTAGCAGTTTGAGGAAACCGTACAGCAGAAACTGTAGGAGGTTAAATGACTGTTTATGGATATATCGTTCGTTTAAAGTGATTATTTTAGGTGCCTAAAACATGTCCACAGCAGAACGTTACACGACTATCCCATAATACCCCCCTTCTCCCCCGCCCCCCTCTCTCCCCCCCAGTCTCCAGAAGTACGTGCGCGAGCAGATCCTGCTGGCCGTGGCCGTCATCGTGAAGAGGGGCTCACTGGACAAAAGCATCAGCTGTAAAAGCGTCTTCCACGAGGTCGGACAGCTCATCAGCAGCGGCAACGCCGCCGTGGTGAGAAGCATCTTCTCGTGGTCCTCCTGCAGGTCGAGGCTCAGCACCTCGTCCCTGTGGCTCCTTCTGCATTACCTTCATGTTACTGCTACTTTTACTTATTGTTTAAAATCCATTGCGACCAGAGAGAAAGGTTCAGCTTCCACACGCACTATAAAACAGAACATTACATCAAGAGGCGACGTTCAATAGAGACCGATTTTATCCCTCAATGCAAATAAAGTATTATTATTTGATTATTATCAATTAAATGCTGCTCAGAGAAACCCAACCACACGTCTCCCGTTGATCCAGCAGAGGGCGCCGCTTTATCTGCGTGAACCTACAGCCTGTGGAGCCCTGAGAGCAGATGAGGACCGATTAGACTAGTTTGCTTTCCTTCTTTTGATTAGCTCCTTTCTTATTTACTAACTCGCAGTCTCCTTCGTCACTTCACGTCACTCATTTACTGCTTCAAGCTCCTTAAAACCAAGATTGTGAGGGACGAGCGTAGCGACTGTTTGTTGATGATGTGGAGCCGCTTTTATCTGTTTTTATGGCCAGCGCTGTTCTTGAATCATTCGTTTTATGATGACCACTGCTTCCTGTGGTAACCGTGGATCATTCATCCGTGCATCCTGGTGCCCTTACAAGGAACGTCACTGTCTAAATTCCCCAAATGCATCAGGAGGAGAGGAGGGTAGAAAGAGGCGCCACGCGTATTCATATTCTATGGACCTCGCTTTAAGATGACGGACGTCCCCTGTAGTCAAATCCCTGTCAACGACTCGAGGCGCCTCCTCGCTCTCTTGGTGCACCTTCCCTGTGTGACCTCTGACCCCCTGTGCTGCAGCAAACGCTGGCGTGCTCCATCCTGACCGCCCTGCTCAGCGAGTTCTCCAGCTCCAGCAAGACCAGCAGCATCGGCCTCAGCATGGAGTTCCACGGCAGCTGCAAGCGCCTCTTCCAGGTTCGCTCGCCCCTCCTCCCGCTCGCGTGCTTTCAACGCGTCTTTTCCTCCATTAACCCGCCCCTCGACCCCCGCCCCCCCCCCCCCCAGGAGGACGGCCTGCGTCAGATCTTCATGTTGACCATGGAGGTGCTGCAGGAGTTCGGCCGCAGGGAGAACCTCAACGCCCAGATGTCGTCCGTCTTCCAGCGGTACCTGGCGCTGGCCAACCAGGTGCTCTGCTGGAACTTCCTGCCGCCCAATCATATCCTTTGTTGACGGGGGGAGGTGTTACTGCCCGGAGGGGGGGAGGGGGGGGGGGGCATCAGCCTGCCTGACCGACGTCCCGACACACGTGGGAATATTGTTTGTTATAGAATCCATTTTACAGAGTCATTCCTCCTAGTCGGGCTCATGACTGAAGCCTCAAACCTCGGGTACTCGCACTGTTTTCATGTTTGTCGTTTTCCACTAAATTGTTTGCATAAAGGATTAATATTTAATCACATTTCCGATCAAATAAATAGAATTAAAAACAGCATAAAAAGACGAGATAAAACTAAATGGAATGTTCAAAATGTACTTGATCGCTAATATTAATAGTTAACCTTAATTCTAAAACACAAACAAGTGCTTAATGTAGTGATGAAACAACAATCCCGTAAACGCGTGTGTGTGCGTGTGCGCGCAAACATGTGACACCCGGGAATGTGTGTGTGTGACCGTTTGCTTTGTAGTGGGAGGCTCTCGTCCGTATGATCTTTGCAGTTGGCTACAGCGTGTGCGTGTGCGTGTGCGTGTGCGTGTGTGTGTGTGTGCGTGTGAGCTCATTACAGCTAAAGTGCGAGCAGCCTGGCATCCCCTCGGCCTGTCTGGGGGGGGATCTGGAGTGGCGCTCTGCTGCCAGCCAGAGCAGTGTATCACTTTCAAAGAGGTGTCTGCGTGCGGCCCCCCGGCCCCCCGTGGCTGGTTGAGGCTCCCCTTGGTATGCCTGGCACCCTCCGTCCACGCCAGTGCTCACAGAGAGGCACTTTCAAGTCCCCTCTGAGCGTTTAGCTGCTCTGCGGCTGAAGGCGGGACGGTGAATGTTCTTATTGTCCGGCATCGATGAATGAAGGTGACCTCACGGTCTGACCTTTAACCTTTAGTATGTGTTTCGGGGGCGAGGGAGAGCTGCTGGTGGTTCTGTGGTGTCTCCACGACGACGGTCTAAAGGACGCGACACGCGATCCTCGGACGCTGGGTGTTGGCGCGTGAGGCCTCGCGAGCATGTGGTTGAAAACACGAGCGCGTTGATGAAGGCCGCCGGGGGGCCGGAGCGTGGGCGGGCGTCTCAACACGCCCGTGCGATGCCCGGCGCGCGCCGGTGCTTCATCTGCTTAATTACACGGCTGACAGCCGTCGCCACACACACACACACACACACACACATCGTTTCTCCTCAGCGTGTCGTCTGTATGAACCCCGGACGACACCGCGTCACTCCGCGCTCAGGGTCGCAATCTGTCCTTGTGGGGGGGGCGGCGGCGGTCTTGTGCTGTAAATGGCTGTCGGGAATGACAGATAGAACCCCCGACCCCCCTCCTTCGTCAGAAGTCAAATTCTTTGAGGAGAGAGGAAGATTTTCAGCGTTTTATTTTTAGCCGGTCGTAATAAAAGCGGCATTAACGTGTCGGAGCAACAATCAACTCCTCAATCAGGAGGTTATTCCGGTGCTGCGGAGGTCGGGGCTCCTCGCTCACATGTGCTGTTCTCAGGTCAGTTTATGGGGGGGGGCCTCGGGTTAACGCTGGGATGTGGAGGGGGGGGTAATATACATTATACATTGAGTTGATACATTTTCCTCTTCACTAGAGTGCAGGAATTCTCCCCCCAAAAAGAACTAAAGTGCAACTTACTTAAGTACTTTTTCCACGTTGACCTACTAAATATTGTACTTTATACTTTGTTACAGTCATCTGACGTTTTACTTTGTAGATTCATATTAAAACAAAGTAAATCACACATTCATGATTGTCTTGCTCAGGGGCACAAACCACCAACCTCGCGGTTCCCGGTGCACCTTCTACCCCAGATACCAACACACCGATGAGCATCTCGGTGGCATTATGTGCCTTATTACCCCCCCCCCCCCCCCCCATGCAGCGTGTGGTTGGAATGCGATGTGTCAATAAAACCACATCCAACTCGCCACCTTCATCCACAGCTTATCGCTCCCTGAGCACACTGGAGTAACTGATACATGTTCTAGATCTGATGCAGTAGTGTGAGGATTAATGACAACTGCTGTCTGAACAGATGGGGGGGGGGGCAGGAGAAGGGGGGGGGGGCGGGGGGGGGAGGTATTCCTGGACTGTTATTTCACATGGCGAGGCTGCAGGGGAGACTTAAAGCAGGATATGTCACCTAAACCCCAGCGCGCGGCGCCCGCCGGGCGGCCCGAGGTCCGGGGCGGGAGGATCAGCCCGTAATGAGACGGGGATACGGGAGGAGCTCGCTAAGCCGCGACCCAGCTCGGATCTGAGCCGCTGATCCGGGGGGGGGGGGGGGGGGGGGGGTCGAGGGTCAGAGTTCAGGCAAAGAAAGAAAAACACAATGTTGAACCCCAAAGAAATGCATTCACATATAATGGGACAGACTTGTTTTAGTGACCTACTAGTTAACATATAACATGAGGAAGAGCACATTTAGCACATGCAGTAGGGCGACGGCAGCGGGTGATTTAGAAACACCTCGGGCCCCCGGGGACACGTGAGTCACGGCACACGCGCCGCACATACATCCAGTGGTCCAAGTTGTAAATTCACTTGTCAACTCGAAGGCAAAACACGGAACCCGTTTGTTTGATGCCGTAGAACGTTCACGTTTTATTTTAAACCCAGAGAAACGCACACGGCCGACAGCTGAGTCCTTTCAGTGGGTCTCTGATCCACAGTCGGTCACGTGACCGTGGACAGGAAGCACAGTGGCGCTGGTCACGTGATTTGTGTTGAAGCCGCCGTTCTGAAACCGCGACGGCAGAAGCAACCGCATCAAAGGCTCCACGGTCCAAAAGGCGCAGCAGCTGTAGACGACGCGGCCAGCTGCCCCGGAACACGGAGCCCAGGCGAGGTCGAGCCCTGTCAATCAGCGTGACGCCCCGCCCTTAAGCGTCCCCTGCTTTATGGTCTGTTTGTCTCTAAATGGACCATAATTCACTAGATGAACATCATGTTGTGTTGAAGAAGACGTGAAACTAGAGACTGAGACCATAAACTCATGTTTACTATGTTTACTGAGGGATTAATCAAGAGAGAGAAGAGTCATTTCCTCATAGACGTCTATGGGAGCAGAGGAGTCGCCCCCCTGCTGGTCACTACTGAGAAGTAGAGTCATTCCTCATAGACGTCTATGGGAGCAGAGGAGTCGCCCCCTGCTGGTCACTACAGAGAAGTAGAGTCATTTCTCATAGACGTCTATGGGAGCAGAGGAGTCGCCCCCTGCTGGTCACTACAGAGAAGTAGAGTCATTTCCTCATAGACGTCTATGGGAGCAGAGGAGTCGCCCCCTGCTGGTCACTACAGAGAAGTAGAGTCATTTCCTCATAGACGTCTATGGGAGCAGAGGAGTCGCCCCCTGCTGGTCACTACAGAGAAGTAGAGTCATTTCCTCATAGACGTCTATGGGAGCAGAGGAGTCGCCCCCTGCTGGTCACTACAGAGAAGTAGAGTCATTTCCTCATAGACGTCTATGGGAGCAGAGGAGTCGCCCCCTGCTGGTCACTACAGAGAAGTAGAGTCATTTCCTCATAGACGTCTATGGGAGCAGAGGAGTCGCCCCCTGCTGGTCACCACAGAGAATCCAGCTTTAACTGGTGAAGCTCACTTTGAGGAACCAGCAGTTTCTGTGTTTTGATGAAAACCAGAATCTTGAATGTGTTTTAGAATTTGTGGATGAAGCCGTTCTGGTAAAATAAGGTATATTGAACTGAAATAACAGCAACTATAAAGAACATTTGGAGACCCAAACATTTTATTCTGATTTCATTCATGGAGCCTGACAGCAGACTTTTATTCCTGTTGTTTTTCTGGACATGCAACCAGAAAAATGTCTGTTTTTAAATAGTATATAACATATATAACCTCTATAGGAGACGTGTCGTCATCATTCCTGAGGCCGTTCGATCTCAAGGGGCGTTTGTAGCAGCTCGCTGGACCTCGGGCCTCTCGCTCCCTTAATGGATCAAGATGGACGTGAGACGGAAAGAAGTTGTGGAGGGAAACTGGATGAATAACTAAAATACTTCAGTAGTTTAAGCGTAAAACCCGTAGGCATGTTGGAAGTTACACCTCAGTGTCTCCGAGGGTCAGATGAGCGTCTTCTGCACTACTATTGACGAGGCCCGGAAGCCAATCATTGGACACGCACGCCGCCTTTTAGACCGGCTGCCGGAGGAATGCTTGACCTCTGCCGCCGTTTGGCTTTGATGGAACATTCCTCTGGAAGCTTCCTGATTCAGAAGAATATTTATTTGATTTACGTTTGATTCTCGTCACAAGTCTTTTACCCCCACAAGACGATAAAATCCTTCCGTTGTAATTAGATTGAAATTTAGAGGAACAAAACATTAAGACCAGTTCCAATAAAATGAGTGGAACTAAACTTGGTGCATAAACTGCGATGGGAAGTTATTGTAGTAAATATTATAAAATATAGTATCTAATATTTGCATGTGTGTTACGTTGTTTTTGGAGATCGTCGTTCGGATCAGGACTTATTTATTCATCATGTAAATCCTTCTGTCGGGACGAGTTAGATTCCTCGTTGGGGAGAGCGGTCAAAGTCTTTGCGTGTGACGGACACACGAGGGTCTCCTTGTTTTGGTCCCGGGGAGAGCGGCCGAGAGGAGGGAGGCGACGCGATTGGCTGAGGAGGCAGAGGGAGGGTCTCCTTGCAGCAAGGAGCCTCCAGGGGGAGGGAGGGAGAGATAGAGAGAGAGAGCACAAGGAAAAGGGGAGGTGAAGAAGAGGGTAGAGAGCGGAGCAAGGAGACGAGGACGGGAGGGAGGGAGAGACGCTTTCTTTGTGGCAGACGGGGGGGGGAGAGAACAAGGAGACAAAGGAAGGGGGCGATTCAGGGAGGGGGGGGATCAAATTAAACCCAGTGGGGTGAAGACAGGATTAATGAGAGGGAGCCAAACCAGAGACCCCCCGAAGACCCCCCACGGAGAGGGAGCGTAGTGTCCCCTCGTCGTCGTCCTCCTCAATGCTGCTGTTGGCCTTAACGGACGGCGGGTCACTGGGACGCCACTACATCGCCATGTTCGAGGCGGCGCAGAACGTCACGCTGAAGCCGACGGAGAGCTGGAGGGAGGCGCTGCTGGACACCCGCGTCATGGACCTCTTCTTCACCGTGAGTACCTCCTCCTCCTGCTCCACACCTCGCACCGCTCCTCCTGCTCCACCCTCAGCCCATGTCAGAGAGACGCAACGGAGGTCTGAGGGATCGACGCTCTAACGCGGCTTTTCATGGGAAAGGGGGACGACCCTTGATGAGCATCTGACCTTCGTCAGGAGGTCTCGTCTCCGGGAGTTTCATTTATGCCACGGAGACGGACGTCGTCTTCACCTCGTGTGTTTTGCCGCCTGTGAAGTTTTCTCTGGTTTACTGGGTAGTTGTTGTTGTTGTTGTTTGCTCCATACGTCCACATGCTGCTCCACCTCACAGCCTCCGTACGTCCACATGCCGCTCCACCTCACAGCCTCCATACGTCCACATGCCGCTCCGCCTCACGGCCTCCATACGTCCACATGCCCGCTCCACCTCACGGCGCCTCCGTACGTCCACATGCCCGCTCCACCTCACAGCCCTCCGTACGTCCACATGCCGGCTCCAACCCTCAACAGCCCTCCGTAACGTCCAAATGGCCCGCTCCGACTTCACGGTCCTCCGTAACGTCACACATGGCGGCTTCCACCTCAAGGACCTCTGGTACGTTCCACATGCCGCTCCACCTCACAGCCTCCATACGTCCACATGCTGCTCCACCTCACAGCCTCCATACGTCCACATGCCGCTCCACCTCACAGCCTCCGTACGTCCACATGCCGCTCCACCTCACAGCCTCCATACGTCCACAAGCCGCTCCGCCTCACAGCCTCCATACGTCCACAAGCCGCTCCGCCTCACAGCCTCCATACGTCCACAAGCTGCTCCACCTCACAGCCTCCATACGTCCACAAGCTGCTCCACCTCACGGCCTCCGTACGTCCACATGCCGCTCCACCTCACGGCCTCCGTACGTCCACATGCCGCTCCACCTCACAGCCGCCGTACGTCCACATGCCGCTCCACCTCACAGCCTCCATACGTCCACATGCCGCTCCACCTCACGGCCTCCATACGTCCACATGCCTTTCCATCTCACGGCCTCCGTACGTCCACATGCCTTTCCACCTCACGGCCTCCGTACGTCCACATGCCGCTCCACCTCACGGCCTCCGTACGTCCACATGCCGCTCCACCTCACGGCCTCCGTACGTCCACATGCCGCTCCACCTCACGGCCTCCGTACGTCCACATGCCGCTCCACCTCACGGCCTCCGTACGTCCACATGCCGCTCCACCTCACGGCCTCCGTACGTCCACATGCCGCTCCACCTCACGGCCTCCGTACGTCCACATGCCGCTCCACCTCACGGCCTCCGTACGTCCACATGCCGCTCCACCTCACGGCCTCCGTACGTCCACATGCCGCTCCACCTCACGGCCTCCGTACGTCCACATGCCGCTCCACCTCACAGCCGCCGCACGTCCACATGCCGCTCCACCTCACGGCCTCCGTACGTCCACATGCGCTCCACCTCACAGCCTCCATACGTCCACATGCCGCTCCACCTCACAGCCTCCGTACGTCCACATGCCGCTCCACCTCACAGCCTCCGTACGTCCACATGCCGCTCCACCTCACAGCCTCCGTACGTCCACATGCCGCTCCACCTCACAGCCTCCGTACGTCCACATGAATGGCAGCCTCCAGGTACGTCCACATGCCGCTCCACCTCACAGCCTCCGTACGTCCACATGCCGCTCCACCTCACAGCCTCCGTACGTCCACATGCCGCTCCACCTCACAGCCTCCGTACGTCCACATGCCGCTCCACCACTGAGAATATGCGTATATGAGTTAACCAGGAGGCAGTTTTCATCCACCAAGTCACCATAAAACACATAATATAACATGAGTTATTAATAAAAGAATATTAATAGAAACGACACGTGGAAAAAAATTGTAGACAAACGTTCATAAAACAACACGTGCAAAGTAATAAATGAGGGATAATCATGTCAATATAAACTACAGACAACATACTGCTGCATTGTTGGTAAAACATTCAGAGCAGAAGCACAAACAGGTTTGGCAGCGATGCGCGGCCTTGTTTTTAACGGGATGAAGGCGACTGCTGCTCGGTTTCAGCTCACGCAGAATCCTAAACCATGTTGAGCCCCACTAGTGAGGCTTTCTGGTTTTGGGGACTATTCTGTCTTTTTGTGTGTCGCCACCGATCAGGGATTTGATTGGCCGCTCGCAGCAGCAGCAGCAGCTCGTCGGGAATAAAATGTTTGTCATTTCTTGGGGGTCGGTTGGTCTTTGGAATCCTCAGGATGCGTTTTGTGTTGGTTTCAGTTTGCAGGCTGTGCGTCTCATCTCGCTGTGGTATTTCTAGTAGCTCAACTGTTTGTTATTGTAAGGCTGCTGTGGTCAGCTGTCTGTGTGTGTGTGTGTGTGTGTGTGTGTGTGTGTGTGTGTGTGTGTGTGTGTTAGAACATCTTCTTGGCGGAGCGTGTGTGGCATATCTGTCTCTGTGGGATTGTGTAAATGTGTGTGTGTTTATTCAGTTTAATGGGGTCTTCTGCCGCCTCAGCTGCCGCGTCTCCTCAGCCATGAGGGGTAACGGGGGGTGGGGGGGTACTCTGGGACACGCGCCATCGGGGTCATAGTCCACAGCAGACCAGTGGCGGGATTAGAGCCCGGCTCCAGGATTAGGGGCCCCTGTTAACAACCTCAGTAACCCCCCCATCACACACACACTGCACCCTGGGGGGGGGCTGCTTTCAGTCTCCCATTAACTGGCTCCTGGGTTCCGCGTATGTGACGTGCAGAATGTAAAAGCATTGAGTCGTTGCAGCAGCAGACGCAGTGGGTCAAGATTAAAGATGGAGGACTTGTAGATGTGAAAAGGACAACTTGACGGATTGAATTCAGAGAGACAAACCTGGAGACAGTTTGCAGACATTTGTGGACAAATGGTTCCCAGCGGATTGAGAAGGGAGGAAGACACAAAGAAAATGCGGAACACGATGCGCCGTTGTCGTTTGTTGCCGCGGGTTTCTCTTTCAGAGCAGCTTCAGTGATGTTTGCCCGCATACACACACACACAAACACACACACTCACCCCAGGTTGCATCTGGTTTATTTCACCAGTAAAAAGCTCAAACACATGTTTTGAATGCAGATGTTGTCACAAAGCAAGTTTATAGTTCTAATGAAAATGTTTAATGTTTTTAGTTGCACAGCGGCTAAAAGATAAACGAGATAAGAAGCAAATGAACGCTGTGTGCGTAATAACGTTGTGTAGTAACGCTGTGTGCGTAGTAACGCTGTGTAGTAACGCTGTGTAGTAAACCTGTGTGCGTAGAAACGTTGTGTGCGTAATAACATGTGTGCGTAGTAAGGCTGTGTGCGTAGTACCGCTGTGTGCGTAGTAAACGTTGCGTAGTAACGCTGTCTGCGTAGTACCGCTGTGTGCGTAGTAACGTTTGCGTAGTACCCCTGTGTGCGTAGTAACGCTGCGTAGTAACCTTTGCGTAGTCAACGCTGTGTCCGTAGTAACGCTGTGTGCGTAGTAACGGGTCCGTAGTAACGCTGTGTGCGTAGTAACGGTGCGTAGTAACGCTGTGTGCGTAGTAACGCTGTGTGCGTAGTAACGCTGTGTGCGTAGTAACGCTGTGTGCGTAGTAACGGTGCGTAGTAACGCTGTGTGCGTAGTAACGCTGTGTGCGTAGTAACGGTGCGTAGTAACGCTGTGTGCGTAGTAACGTTGCGTAGTAACGTTGCGTAGTAACGCTGCGTAGTAACGCTGTGTGCGTAGTAACGGTGCGTAGTAACGCTGTGTGCGTAGTAACGTTGCGTAGTAACGCTGTGTGCGTAGTTACGCTGTGTGCGTAGTAACGTTGCGTAGTAACGCTGTGTGCGTAGTTACGCTGTGTAGTAACGCTGTGTGCGTAGTTACGCTGTGTAGTAACGCTGTGTGCGTAGTAACGCTGTGTGCGTAGTAACGGTGCGTAGTAACGCTGTGTGCGTAGTAACGTTGCGTAGTAACGCTGTGTGCGTAGTAACGCTGTGTGCGTAGTAACGTTGCGTAGTAACGCTGTGTGCGTAGTAACGTTGCGTAGTAACGTTGCGTAGTAACGCTGTGTGCGTAGTTACGCTGTGTGCGTAGTTACGCTGTGTAGTAACGTGTGCGTAGTAAAGTTGCGTAGTAGCGCTGTGTGCGTAGTAACGTTGTGTAGTAACGTGTGCGTGGTTACGTTGCGTAACGCTGCGTGCGCCGTAACGTTGCGTAGTTACGCTGTGTGCGTAGTGACGTTGTGTAACACCAGCGCGCATTCGTTCCTCACAAAGACAGAGGAGCACAGGGAGTTCAGGGCCGATGAGGCGGCAGCAGAGACCTCGGCCTGAAGGCGAACAGTAACACAATCTGGGGGGACAATGAGTTGGAAGCAGACAAATGAGCCTCTGAGCCGCTCGAGGTAACAGACACCAGGCTTTGTTTCCTGCTATAAATAGCCTTCCTCTCTGTGGGTCCTCCTCTCCCTCACCTCCCGTCCCACCTGACGCCCCCCCCCCCCGTCAGCACAGCATCTTTTTTCATGAACTCCTTTTAATAATTGACTCCTGAAATGTGCTCAAAGCAATCAGATGGTTTGCTGATTTCACTTTGTCACAGTAATAAAAGATCAAGCACAAAACGTTTTCGAGTATCCGGGGATCAGATGATCAATACGGGAATCGGCCATCAGTATTTAACAGATTTGTTCCCTTTGGAAGTTATATCATCTACCGCACAGCATATTACAAACTTAACTCTGATATCCGACATGTCAAGTCAGCGTCATTTGTCTATTAAAACAGAAGAAATTATATAAAATCTCGAATTAAACAAATAGTATAATTCTAATAAGCGTGTTTAATCATTTTATAGAAACTATTAATACACATAACCATAATTGTACATTTCCTTAACTTTGACATTTAATGACTGAATAATTATTGTGCATTCAGAAAACATTTAACATCAAAGACGTCAAATCCATTGATGAATTATTCCATCGTCATCCGATCTGATGCACTAAATGTTCCATATCGTTGGACGCCGCTCTCCTTTTGCCCAACACACACGCGCACACACACACTGACGCGCACACACACACACACACACTGACGCGCTCGTTGTGTGTCTCTAACTATAGTCAGACTCAAGGCGACATTACTGGCATCACGTGGATCATTCGCTGCTGCAGCTGCTTCAGAGCTCGCGCTGCTCAATCCTTTGGCCCCCCCCCTCTCTCTTCCTCCTCCCCCCCTCCTCTTCCTCCTCCCCCGTCCTCTTCCTCTCACTTAGCTCTTCCAGAGGATGACTTCACGCTCGGAGGAGAGCAGCAGCGGCGGAGACAACAGCGGCTGCGCTACGTTAGAGTCTGAGATTCCATTCGCACCGAGGGGGGGGGGGTTGAGAGGGGGAGGGGGGGAGAGGGGTGAGAGGGGGGGGTGAATTTCCAGGCGAGAGTAAGAAGGAGGGAGGATTTGAGAGGAGGAAGAAGCAACAAGGAGGAGAGGAAGGCTGAAAGTTCGATCTGCTGTGCGATGGGGCCATGTGGAGCCGGTGAAGGAGGTCTCTCTGGGTCTGGGGGGTGACGGGGGGGGGGAGGACGGCGGTTTTAGCCCCACACGTGTCGCCGACAGGCTGTGATGAGTCACTGTTACCCCCCTCCGCCCCCCCCCCCCACAGCCCCTCAATTCCAGCAAAAAGCAGTCGCTCGGCGCGGAGGTGAGATTCCCTCTTTTGTGGGTTCCCTTTAGGCTGTCTGAAGAGAACGAACGAGGGGGGGGGGGGGCGAGTAAAAGCCTCTGCCACCTCTGGGGCTTTGTGGGGGACGCCATGGAGTACGAATCCTGACGGGTCTCAGCGGATCGGTGGACGCGGCGCTGCAGGAAGCCTCGGTGGTGGATTGCGTCTCGCTGTGTTTGGGGGCGTGGCCTGTTTCGCCCGTCACACACCTTGTCGTACAGGAATCCGGGGGGCTTTAAAAATTGCGTCAGACCGAGGCCTCGGACAACCGGTGGGTCGGCGCTGAGGTCGGGATCCGCTCCACCGGGTCTCACTAAACCGGCTGAGGAACCAGCAGCACGTTCAAATGTTTGGACCTTTCGAGCACTAAAGTGTAGAAAACCTTCCCGTAGACGCATCAGAAGTAAGTGAATTAGTCCTTTTGAATGATTCGAGAGCGTAACTGAACTAACATCACGTCACGTTTTAATGGTTAATCAGTTCAGACGCTTACGTGAGTCTCTGTGAAACAACAAAGGAAGACGATTGCTGTTCTGTTCTGTAAAACTCTTTTAAATGACTTTCTGCGGCCTGTTTTTAGGAACAGCTTGATTCAAGTAAAGGGCTCAATTATTTGCTTATGATTAAGAAAATACTACTGATGCCGGCGTGTTGCATAACGGAAGATAGTAAAATGGAATAAATCGACATTGTTTTTTTGTGCACGTTTATCAAAGAAATAAAAGCTTTCACTTAAAATTAGATAATATATATTAAAGGCTTGTGTGCTTTTATTTTATTGGACTCGCGTGATGATGCTTTAAGTTAAGTTAAAGTTAATACTAAATAGTAAATATATATTTAGTAATTTCATACAAGTTACATTGAGATTAAAACGAGAGCCAAACATCAGAAGGGATCAAGTTTATTTTCCAGGATGGCAGCAGTTTAATTATAAAATATAGGAATGTGTGTGTGTGTGTGTGTGTGTATAAATAGACGCAACCTTTTGTCAGGTGTGGCTGCTGGACGGGTCGCTGACCTCTGACCTCTCATGAGGGGTTGACACACTGACTCAGACCCTCGCATATCGCCTCGTTTCCTCTTCCTGCAAGAAGACGAGTCTGGAATGATTCTCCCCCGCATGTCACGGTCACGTGACCCGTAGCGTTTCTACCAAGCGGCCTGATGAATAAACGGAGAAGTGACGCGTGCTCTTCTTCTATGTCGCCCTGCAGGTGCACAGGAAGATCCGGGAGGACTCGGACATGGCCCAGGACTCCCTGCAGTGCCTGGCCCAGCTGGCCTCCATGCACGGGCCCATCTTCCCCGACGAGAGCGCCCAGGTGTCCTACCTGGCCCACCTGGTGGAGGGCCTGCTCAGCATGATCAACGGGTCAGTGGCGCTCTGGTTGCTTTGGTGTGAAGCTGTTGGTGGTGGATCCGATGTCGAGGACAAGAGGAACAGATGCTTTAGAAGCTCTGACCTTCTCTTTCCATCACGCCGCGACTGATAATCTGCAAAACCTTAAGTCCCCGCTCGGAGTAATTGAAACCCTCTCGTTGGAAGTTATTACTGTTGTGGAATATTTCAATGAAAGCTCGGTAGAAGAGAATGATTTGTCTGATAAAACAGGGTCTTGATGAATGATCAAAGTTGCAAAAAGTCCATTTATTGCTTAAGCAGGAGGTCAAACACACCGGCACGTATCACGGTGCTCTGTGGAAATGACGTCTCCGAGCAGTTAGAACGTTACTTTTATATTTTTTATACACATGTGAAGGACATTCTCAGTGCAAAGCAGGTTGAGATAAGAACCCAGGTGAAGCTGAGGGTAGCACACACACACACACACACACACACACAAGATCCTCCTCAGTGGCCGCTGCAAATCATAATGAATTGACACAAAGTAAAAACGTGGATCCGGAACTTTCGTACCGAATAAGATATGAACCAAGGCCGTGAACAGAAGTCCTTTGTTTTGAAGCGTCTATGAGCTCGAGTCGACCGGCCTCCCTTCTCAGGACGCAGCTGCAAAGCAACATTTTGTATCGTGCTGCTCTTTGCACTTTAGGGTCAAATACGGACGCTTGAGACACGGCTTTAGCACAAGACAATGTTATAACATATTTTACCAGTACATTACTCACCTGCCACACTGAGTCTTGCGTTCAAGAAACATCTGGGCATAGAAATCACATCAAGTCAAAGGGCAACACGTGAACGCAGTAACGGGTGGACTAATATTTTGTAGTAAAAGCTCCATTTCTGTCTTTCGTACATTCAAACCTAAGAAGCGGTGGCTCAAGTGTTTCTAAATTCAGAGACTCAAGCAGAGACGGAGGCGGCCGTGGGCTCTGATTCTAGCGTCTGCACACTGGACTGAAGAGGGCAACACGTGGACGTACAGGGAACCCGTGAGACAACCGAGTCTTAATGCAGACGTCCTTTTGAAATCTCTCCTGTTTCTATAGGAATATTATACTTCTAGTGAAACCTGCTAATTGGTGACTGGATTCTGGGTTTTATGTTAATCGATGTTAAGCCCGAGTCGGCCATCAAAAACATGTCATTTTATTTATATTCACATTATTATTTTTAAAAGTACCTTGAGAAGCAAAATCTTATTTTCAGCAAGTTATTCAGCCACAAAAAAGACATTGAAACAAAAAATAAATAATTTGTAGTGTCGCCAATACACGAGTCTGTTCAGAGTGAGAGTATCAGTCGCCATGGTGACGTCACTCTTTGGTTAGCGAGAGGAAGCAGCTTGAACACGTGAAGCTTTGGCTTAAAGAGTCACAATAACACGCCAGCGGTGTCTCTGTCCCGTCCCTCTGTCTGTCTCCCAACGTCTCCCTCTCTTCTTCTCTCCTCTTTTGCTCCGTCTGTAATCACCTATTCTTGGAGCTTTTTTCCAATTGCCTCATCGGAGAACCATGCCGGGGGGGGGGGGGGGGGGGTACGGGTTGAACAATTGTTCAATCTTTCACTAAGTTGGCTTAACTGGCCCGGTGGCCATTGGCTTTTTGGCCGAAGGCACGCACCAACCGCCAAGTCAAATTCCTCGTATGTCAACATGTTTTGCTGATTCCTGGTTGTGCTCCGTCTGATAGGCGTTGGTCTCACACGGGTAGAGAAGGTGACGGTGTCTAAATCAACGATTAAATGATAAGTGATTTATATCGTGTGGTAACATTTGATTCATGTTTTCTGCCTCTTGTGGCCAAGGCGAGTATTACAACAACACACTATATGAAATATAATAAACAATCGACTGCCAAAAACATTTTATATCAGTTAAAAGTTAAAACTAAGGGATTCTTACAAAAAGTTTGAAAACGGTATTAAAGCAGTTTGATCCTGGTGGTTAGAATTGTCCAGATGAAGAATTCAGATTAAAGCCGCTTCTCTCCAGTGAAGCGTTCATTAGCCTGATGTGATGTCACTGTTCCACCGATGGTGAGAGCGTGACCTCGGACGCAGCCGTGGAAACGTTCGGGTCACGTTGCCCACCAGCGTTGGTTCAAAGATCAGTTTTCACGGCTGCGTCCAAACCTCAGTCCCCCCGCGGTGACCCCAGCGGTGACCCCCAGCCCCACCCGACAGTGGAAGCGCTCCTGCCCCCGGACAGGAAGGAGCGGCGGCGTGAGCTCTTCCTGTGAAGAGAACGATCGCAGCGGCATCGCGTTGATCTCTCTCTCGTTCCCAGGATTGAGATCGAGGACTCCGAGGCGGTGGGACTCTCCAACATCATCTCCAACCTGATCACCATGTTCCCCAGGAGCACTCTGACGGCGCTGCCCAGCGACCTCTTCACCTCCTTCATCAACTGCCTCACGCTGCTCACCTGCTCCTTCGGACGCAGCGCCGCCCTGGAGGAGGTGGTGAGTCACAGCGCCTCGTTTTATATAGAATCTGGTCAAAGGAAAATGTCCCGTGTGAGATTTTAAAGAGGCCGGTGGAATAAAAGACTTTAATGAAGGATCAAACTGCCCACGTGGGTGAAATATTTCACTGCCACAGTGTGTTGGAAGCACCAGAAGCAGCCGATGTGAATGCTCTCTCTCCCTCTCCCCCAGCTGGACAAAGACGACATGGTCTACATGGAGGCCTACGACAAGCTGCTGGAGTCCTGGCTCACGCTCGTCCAGGACGAGGAGCACTTTCCTCGAGGCTGCTTCGTGCAGCCGGCCATCCAGGTCTTCAACTCGTACATCCAGTGTCACCTGGCGGCTCCCGACGGCACCCGGAACCTGGTGAGGAGCACTAGACGCTGACCGGAGGTCAATGACGCGCTTTAGTCGATAGTCCAACTCCCTCTATTCAGCTTTTTAAGTGTATGTAGATATTACTGATAGTGTTGTTCTTTATATATATATAGAAAATATGTATGTAAACATATTTAAAAAGAAAATATCAAATTTCTTTAAATATATCTGATTTTCTTTTCAAATATTTTTTACATACATATTTTTGAATGAACTTTTTATTATTATATTAATTAATAATATCGTGATGCCCCCCCCCCCCCCCACCAGTCGGTGAACGGCGTCTCGTCCCACGAAGAGGAGGAGATCAACGAGCTGCAGGAGGACGACCGGGAGCTGTTCTCAGACCAGCTGTCCAGCGTCGGCATGCTGGGCCGCGTGGCGGCGGACCACTGCATCCCTCTGCTCAGCAGGTGACCACGCGTGTGTTGGTGCACCGCCGGTACACAGGCGGCTTGAGCTTCTTTGCTGGAATAAGTGGTGTGTGTGCGCTGGTGTTCCTCACGCTGTCGCTCGTCCTGCAGCCTGCTGGAGGAGCGAGTGACGCGGCTCCACGGTCAGCTGCAGAGGACCCAGCAGCACCTCGTGGCCTCGTCCGACCCCGGGTCAGTGGACCGCAAAGTGCTGGACGACCTCTATGAGGACATCCACTGGCTCATACTGGTCTCAGGTCAGCAGCGTCTTTTGTCCTTGTTTCTCTTTGATTTTAAAATCCATCCATCCGCAATCGGTGTTCCCTGTATGTCTTGGTTTTAACTCCCTCCCCTGTTATTGTACATCAGTCATTTGAGATATATATATATACATATTACATATGTATATATATATATATATATATATATATATATGGTATATTACATTACCTGCAGTATAGTAACATAACAAGTATCTTTCTGATTTCAGGTCGTTTACACAAACACAGTAAAGGGACCTTTACTCTATATTTAGAATATTATTATTAGGAGATTTTTTATATCACAACCTATTTTTTTAAATATAAATAATGACTCACGTGGTTTAAGTCATACAAACAGCAATATAATGTTTAAACTTTTTTATTTATATATTTATTTATTGTCTCCCCGGTGCAGTTTTTTCCACTTAAGCGACTTTATTTGTGGGCTTCAGCCTGCTCTTAAACATTCATCCAAACTGTTCTTTTCTATTGTGGTTTGTTTAAATTCTGATTAAATCGCAAAAATCTGTTAAAAAAAACGTTTTTTTCCTTTTTTGACTGAATGTGATCAACGCAGGCTGTAACATGAGAGTAAACATTAAACAATCTTAAAACACTTTAAAATGAAAAGAGAACAAATTGAAGGACACGAACGCTGCAGGTGGTTGAGGTGGTCCCCGTCAGAAGACCCTTAAACATCTGTCTGTCCTGCAGGGTATCTGCTGGCCGACGACTCGCAGGGCGAGACCCCCCTCATCCCCTCCGAGGTGATGGAGTTCTCCATCAAGCACACCGCCGAAGTGGACATCAACACCACGCTGCAGGTCCTGGGCTCGCCGGGCGAGAAGGCCTCGTCCATACCGGGCTGCAACCGCACCGACGCCGCCATCAGGTAGCGCCCTCCGTCCCTCGCGTGGACACACGTTGGTTATTAGAGGCATTGGAGGCTCCACTCTCCGCCCCCCCCAGGTTGCTGTCGGCGGTGCTGCGGACCTCGGAGGTGGAGTCCAGGGCGACGAGGGCGAGTCTGACGGAGCTGCTGAGCCCGCAGATGGGGAAGGACATCATGTGGTTCCTGAGGCGGTGGACCAAGACGTACCTGCTGCTGGACGAGAAGCTCTACGAGCAGGTAGAAAGCCCCGGCCGGGCCCCCGCACGCCATCGCACGCGCACGCCAACCGCCCCCGGGCCCTCCTGACGGGCGCGTCTCTCCCTCAGATCAGCATGCCGCTGAGCGCGGCGTTCGGCGCGGACACGGAGGGAGCCCAGTGGATTGTGGGATACCTCCTGGAGAAGGTGATCAACAACCTGTCGGTGTGGAGCTCGGAGCCCGAGCTGGCCAACGACACGGTGGAGCTGCTGGTGACGCTGGTGGAGAAGAGGGAGAGGTGAGGGCTTCATGACCTCATGACCTCCATCAGGCAGAAGATGCTTCTTCTCCATCAAGTTCTTCTCGATACGACCGGCTCCTTTTTGATGTGACTGTCAGTGACGGAAGCTCCGCCTCCTCCCTTCAGGGCCAACATGGTGGTGCAGTGTGAGAGCTGGTGGAACTTGGCCAAACAGTTCGCCAGCCGCAGCCCGCCGCTCCACCTGCTGTCCAGCTCCGTCCAGAGGACGCTGATGAAGGCGCTGGTGCTCGGAGGCTTCGCCCACATGGACGCCGACGCCAAGCAGCAGTACTGGGCCGAGGTAACATCGATGATGTGTTTGCGTTCAGTCAGTTGGTCCCAACAGAATAGTTGGAAATACTTCTCCGCTGTCTTCTCAGGTTTTTATCTTTATATTCACTGAGGTTTCACTTTTTATCAATATTTAAATATCAATCACTGTCTTCCAGTCAAATATTTGTTATACAAATAAGCCTGAAAAAAGATAAATCAAAGACGCTCAAATACTCGAGCATTCATTAAGTTATTATCTTTATCACACGACAGACAAAACTATTAATCTTTAATTTCATAAAATTGTCAGGGATAAAAGTGATCCATCCATCCATCCATCTTCAACCGCTTATCCGGGGTCGGGTCGCGGGGGCAACAGCTCCAGCAGGGGACCCCAAACTTCCCTTTCCCGGGCCACATCTACCAGCTCTGACTGGGGGATCCCAAGGCGTTCCCAGGCCAGTGCAGAGATATAATCTCTCCACCTAGTCCTGGGTCTTCCCCGGGGCCTCTTCCCAGCTGGCCGTGCCTGAAACACCTCCCTAGGGAGGCGCCCAGGGGGCATCCTCACCAGATGCCCAAACCACCTCAACTGGCTCCTTTCGACGCAAAGGAGCAGCGGCTCTACTCCGAGCTCCTCGCGAATGGCTGAGCTTCTCACCCTATCCCTAAGGGAGACGCCAGCCACTCTCCTGAGGAAACCCATTTCGGCCGCTTGTACCCGTGACCTAGTTCTTTCGGTCATGACCCATCCTTCATGACCATAGGTGAGGGTAGGAACGAAGATTGACCGGTAGATCGAGAGCTTTGCCTTCCGGCTCAGCTCTCTTTTCGTCACAACGGTGCGGTAAAGCGAGTGCAATACCGCCCCCGCTGCTCCGATTCTCCGGCCAAACTCACACTCCATCTTCCCCTCACTCGTGAACAAGACCCCGAGGTACTTGAACTCCTTCACTTGGGGTAAGGACACATTCCCTACCTGGAGTAGGCAATCCATCGGTTTCCTGCTGAGAACCATGGCCTCAGATTTAGAGGTGCTAATCCTCATCCCGACCGCTTCACACTCGACTGCGAAACGCTCCAGTGAGAGTTGGAGGTCACAGACGGAAGATGCCATCAGGACCACATCATCTGCAAAAAGCAGCGATGAGATCCGCAGCCCCCCGAACTGTAGACCCTCCTCCCCCCGACTACGCCTCGATATCCTGTCCATGAAGACCACAAACAAGATTGGTGACAAGGCGCAGCCCTGGCGAAGGCCAACCCCCACCGGAAACGCCTTCGACTTACTGCCGAGCACCCGAACACAGCTCTCGCTTTGGGCGTACAAGGATTGGATGGCCCCAAGCAAGGACCCCCTCACCCCGTACTCCCGCAGCACCTCCCACAGTATCTCTCGGGGGACCCGGTCATACGCCTTCTCCAAGTCCACAAAACACATGTAGACTGGTTGAGCATACTCCCAAGCCCCCTCTATGATCCTGGAAAGAGTGAAGAGCTGGTCCGTTGTTCCACGACCAGGACGAAAACCGCATTGTTCCTCTTCAATCCTTGGTTCGACTATCGGCCGAACCCTCCTTTCCAGCACCCTTAGAGTAGACTTTACCCGGGAGGCTGAGTAGTGTGATACCCCTGTAATTGGCACACACTCTCTGGTCCCCCTTTTTAAAGAGGGGTACCACCACCCCGATCTGCCACTCTTTTGGCACTGTCCCAGACTTCCACGCAATGTTGAAGAGGCGTGTCATCCAAGACAACCCCCCAACACCCATTGCTTTTAGCATCTCTGGACGGATCTCATCAATCCCCGGGGCTTTGCCACTGCGGAGTTGTTTGACTACCTCAGTGACTTCCACCAGGCTAATTGACGATGATCCCTCCTCCGCCTCCAGCTCCGCCTCCACCAAAGAGGGCGTAGTAGTTGGATTCAGGAGTTCCTCAAAGTGTTCCTTCCACCGCCCGATAACCTCCTCAGTCGCGGTCAACAGGGTCCCATCCTTACTGTACACAGCTTGGATGGTTCCCCGTTTCCCCCTCCTGAGGTGCCGGATGGTCTTCCAAAAACACTTTGGTGCCGACCGAAAGTCCTTCTCCATAGTTACCCCGAACTCCTCCCATACTCGCTGCTTTGCCTCCATCACGGCAGAGGCTGCTGCCCTTCGAGCCTGTCGGTACACTGCAACTGCCTCTGGAGTCCCACCGGATATCATAACCCGGAAGGCCTCCTTCTTCAGTCGGACGGCTTCCCTGACCACCGGTGTCCACCACGGAGTTCGAGGGTTACCGCCCCTTGATGCACCTAAGACCTTGAGGCCACAACTCACCGCCGCGGCTTCAGCAATGGAGGTTTTGAACATAGACCACTCTGGTTCAATGTCCCCTACCTCCACAGGAATGTGAGAGAAGCTCCGCCGGAGGTGTGAGTTGAAAATCTTTTGGACCGGGGCCTCCTCCAGACGTTCCCAGTTCACCCTCACTACACGCTTGGGTTTACCGGGTCTGTCCCGAGTCTTCCCCCATCCTCTGACCCAGCTCACAACCAGATGGTGATCAGTTGACAGCTCTGCCCCTCTCTTTACCCGAGTGTCCAGAACATGCGGCCTCAGATCAGACGATACGATTACAAAATCGATCATTGATCTTTGGCCTAGGGTGCTCTGGTACCACGTACACTTATGAACATCCTTATGTTCGAACATGGTGTTTGTTATGGACAATCCGTGACTAGCACAGAAGTCCAGTAACAAACACCCGCTCGGGTTCAGATCAGGGAGGCCATTCCTCCCAATCACGCCTCTCCAGTTATCTCCATCGTCGCCCACGTGCGCATTGAAGTCTCCCAGTAGGACTATGGAGTCCCCTACAGGAGCCCCATGCAGGACTCCATTCAGGGTCTCCCAAAAAGCCGAATACTCTGAGCTGCTGTTTAGATGCATTATGCACAGACAACCAGTCCAGAAGTTTTCCCCCCCACCACCCGAAAGCGTAAGGAAGACGACCCTTTTGTCACTGAGGTAAACTCCAATGTAGCAGCACTCAGCCCGGAGACTTATGAGTATCCCCACACCCGCCCTAGCGCCTCACACCATGAGCCCACTCCGGAGTAGAAATAGAGTCCACCCCCTATCCAGGAGTTTGGTTCCCAGAGCCCGAGGCTGTGCGTAGAGGTAAGCCCCACCAGATCCAACTGATAACGCTCCACCTCCCGCACAAGCTCCCGGCTCCTTCCCCCCCAGAGAGATTACGTTCCACGTCCCCAGAGCCAGCATCTGCCGCCCAGGTCTGTTCCGTCTAGACCCCCCACTGTCACTGCCACCCTTGTAGCAGCGCACCCGACCCCATCGGTTTCCTCCACAGGTGGTGAGCCCATGGGGAGTAGAGTGTTGGGCTGCCGCGTCACTCCTTCGGGCTGTGCCCGGCCGGGCTCCGCGGTAAACCCGGCCACCAGACGCTCGCTGTCGGGCCCTCCATCTGGGCCTGGCTCCAAATGGGGGCCCCGGGCTTCCTCCGGGCCGGGTAACTCCTTCCCTCTTCCGTTTTTTCATGGGGGTTTTGAACCATTCTTAGTCTGGCCCCTCGCCTGAGACCACTTTGCCAAGGGTAACCCTACCAGGAGCACAAGGCTCCCGACAACACAGCCCTCAGGTTCATAGGGACACACAAACCTCTCCACCACGATAAGGTGACGGTTCCCAGAGAGGGAACCGTCACCTTCAGATAAAAGTGAAGGAACCGTTATTTAAATGCATTTCTTGATCTAAACTTTTCTGACTTTCCATGACAATTTTCCACCAAAGACTTTTTGAAGATCATTTTTCCAACAGAACTTTTTTTTTCCCAAACATTTTTTTAAACTTTTCGTCTCTTGACATTTTATATATTTTAAGACATTTCTTGACAAATAAGCCTAAAAAAAAGATAAATCAACGACACTCTCAGATACTCGTTAAATTAGATATCACATATAATAAAGATATATTTGTATTTTATCTTCAATGAGGACGGAACAAACAATTATCTGAAAGGAACAAGGACCTGGTGAGTCGAGACCAGACGTATTAAAGACTGCCGACGATACGGAGACTGGCTTTTTTAAGGGTCTATGGGAACTAAAAATATATTTAATGGGTTTAAGATTTGGAAAAACTGCAACGTTGTTATAAATAAGTGAAGCAAAACACTGACAACAAAGACTTTTCCTTTATAAATAAACAAAAGACCGCAGAAAACTCTTTAAGAAAATAACTATAAAGAAATTAAATCACAGATTTGTAATTGAAAACGCTGATCTACTGAAAAAAACTATGAAGTTCATCTTTGGACTCGTTCAGCTCAGAATCGATGGACCAACCGGACCACCAACGGGTCAATACGTCCTCGTGATGCAGCAAGGCTCCTTCCACAGAACTACAGTTACTTTAGTACATTTTCTCCCCTGCTGGACAATAAAACATTGAAATGTGATGATTGACTCCCATAGAGTTTTGATCTGGTGCCCTTAACCCCTCCTCCCCGGTCCCTCTGCCCCCCCCCCCAGGTGCTCCACCCGCTCCAGCAGCGCTTCCTCAACCTCATCAACCAGGACAACTTCGCCCAGATCAGCCAGGAGGAGGCGGTGAAGCGGGAGATCGTCGCCACGCTGGAGGCGCTGTGCGGCATCGCCGAGGCAACGCAGATCGACAACGTGGCCTCGCTCTTCTCCTTCCTCATGGACTTCCTGTCCAGCTGCATCGGCCTCATGGAGGTGGGGGCGGGGCCGTGTTTGAGTGCCTCTCCACCCGTCAGCGGGACGTCCGTCTGACCTCTGCTGTTGTCGTTGTTGTTGTTCAGGTCTACAGCAACACGCCGGAGACCATCAACCTCATCATCGAGGTGTTTGTGGAAGTGGCTCACAAGCAGATCTGCTACCTGGGAGAGGTGATGTTCCACCTCCATGTACTCCTGTTAACGACCCACTGACTTGACGTTAAGGGTTAAAATGAATGAATTCGGCCCTTTTGCACATTCTACGCGCTGAACGTGCACTTCTGCTCTTCTTCGTGGTCCCCGTCCTCCGCCCTGCGGCTGCAGACCAAGTCCATGAAGCTGTACGAGGCGTGCCTCACGCTGCTGCAGGTCTACTCCAAGAACAACCAGTGCCGGAAGAGGAGCGACGCGGCGGCGGAGGAGGACCAGTACCAGGACCTGCTGCTCATCATGGAGCTGCTCACCAACCTGCTCTCCAAGGAGTTCATCGACTTCAGCGACACCGGTGGGTTCAGAGAGGCCTCGCAGGCGATCGACAGATCTTCTCATTTCATTCCACGTGAGCGCGTGTTCACACGGCGCCCTCTGCTGGGAGGAGGAAGGAATGTGGCTCTTGTTTAGTTTCGCTTCATCACATTCTCACTTCGTCGTTTGCATTTTAGTGTCATGTGTGGTTTCCGGCGTCGGACCTTCGCTAAGAGGAAGCGTTTCTTTCAGACGAGGTGTTTCGTAACCAGGACCAGGGAACGCCGGCCTCCGGTCGGACGGTGTCGGCGGCGGACGTGGTCCTCTACGGCGTCAACATTGTCCTCCCGCTCATGTCCCAGGACCTGCTGAAGGTGGTGATCCTCCAGACAGATGCTCTCGTGCAGCAGTAGATCATTTGGCTGGTGCATGAATAGATGAATTTGATTGAATGCGATACAACTTTATTCACCACACGTGGCGATGTTATTTTGGGGCTACACCTAATGTGGTTTTGTTCCCGTCTGTCCCAGTTCCCCTCGTTGTGCAACCAGTACTACAAGCTCATCACCTTCATCTGCGAGATCTTTCCAGAGAAGATCCCTCAGCTGCCTGAAGACCTCTTCAAGAGCCTCATGTTCTCCCTGGAGCTCGGGATGACCTCGTATCCTCCCACGCCGTTTATTAATCCAAAGATCTGGTTTTGAACTGCTCGGGGACACGCCCCCTTTCTTCCACAGGGGGAATCGGCACAAAGCCAAAGGTCATCGCAATTATTTTTCTAATTCTAACTTTGTGTTTGAGATGTTTGTGCTGCACTTTGATACCAGAGGAGCCGGTTGTAACGTGCATCAAAGCCGCTGGCGCCTCTTTTAAATGGCGTGTGTTGAAGTAGTGAGGTGCTGTGGACGTCTGTGCCCCTTGACCTCTGCGTTCAGGATGAGTTCTGAGATCAGCCAGCTGTGTCTGGAGGCTTTGTCTCCGCTGGCCGAGCAGTGCGCCAAAACCCAGGAGAAGGACACGCCCCTCTTTGTCGCCACCCGTCACTTCCTTAAGGTGAAGCTCACGATGACCTGAACAATAATAATATTATTATTATTTATTACCGGAATGATGCGAGCTTTTGTTTAATTAACACCCGTCACTTGTGCAGCTGGTGTTCGACATGTTGGTGCTGCAGAAACACAACACGGAGATGACGGTGGCAGCGGGAGAAGCTCTCTACACCCTCGTGTGCCTCCATCAGGTGAACTCACATCGTCCTTCAGTCCATAAAACTCACACGATGACGTTTTATTAAAAGTTGTTCCTCTGGAATATTTTCCCCAAGAGCATAACGTTGTTCTCTCATGTTAATGTAGCAAAGAATTAGTAAAATAATGAGAGAATAAATAATAAATGAATATATTTCAGTCATATGTACACTTTCTTCTCTTTTAGGTGGTATATATCATTTTTTATTAAGTTTGTTTTTAGGGCTGAACAATAACAAAACTCATTCGTGGCAAAACTTCAAATCAGATATTTGGCGTGCAGGCATTTGATGCCTTTTAGGTCCGAGGATCACAGGAAATGTTTTAAAGCCGCTCTGATGACTGCGAGCTGATAGTGTTTGCCCCCCCGTCAGGCGGAGTACTCGGAGCTGGTGGAGGCGCTGCTCTCCTCGCAGAGGGACGCCGTCATCTACCAGCGGCTCGCCGACGCCTTCAACCAGCTGACGGCCAGCAGCACGCCGCCCACCATGGACCGCAAGCAGAAGGTCGCCTTCCTCAAGAGCCTGGAGGAGTTCGTGGCCAACGTGGGCGGCTTGCTGTGCGTGAAATAACCACTGGACCCCCCCCCCCCACCCTATGAACTCTGGGTAAAGAGTCAGCTGGAGGAAGGACCCATCTCGTGCTTTCACCTCTGATTTCTGTTTTGGTTTTTTGATCCCGCCCCTCCAGTCCCGTGTGATTGACAGATGTGGTGATGACGGTGTGTGTGTGTGTGTGTAACTATGGCGACTGGACTGCAGAGCAGACGGACTCGGTCGCTGACAGACAGACTCGATGGAGGCTGTCGTCCTCCATCACCTCATGTACCTGGAGGCTACACACACACACACACACACCGACACACACACACAGCGACTTTGATGGTAAAACAAAGTTTCTGTTGTTCAAAAATGGCCAGAAACATTTTCTTTTTCCAGCGAGCGTTTTTGTTGTTGAAACAAAAGGGGCCATTTTTTTTATTGCAAGATTGTCACGGCAACCGCAGACTAACATACACATTTCATTTCTACACACACACGGCGCCCCGATCCTTCCCAGAGTGCCTTTGTTTTGATGATTGTTCTGTGTGTGCAGGTTTTTTATATTTAGTTTTCTCATTTATTAACTGACAACAAAAGCTGCCTGACGTTGGCCGAGGATACAGCGGATGTGGGCGCGCGCGCACACACACACACACACACACACACACACACACACACACACACACGTGCAGTGACACGCTGCACAGGAGGACGTTCGCTTTCCTTTCATCGCCAACAGACAAACAGACTCTAAAAAGCTTCTTTAAAGGTGTAATATATTAAATGTTTCCACATCTGAAACCACAAAAAACGTCTGTTTCAAAGACACAACAGACACAGCGGAACTGTTTTTATTAGAGAAGAAGAGATGAGCGACTTCCTCGGTTTGATGTTTATTTTTTATTATTTGCTCCTGCATTTTGGATCGTAGTATTATTAATCTCCTCCGGGACTCAAGGAGGCTCCACGACGCAGCGCTGAGGTTTCGCTGTTTTTTTTTTTCCTGCTGTGTTTTTCTTACAGCGGCACAGTTTTAACTTTTCACCACAAACACGCGCGCACACACACTCTCTGTAGTCGGAGCAGAGAGTGTGTGGAGCTGACGGACAGCAATAATAAACCAAATAAAAGGAGCAGAGCCACTTTGTTGCAGCGTTTACGGCACTAAACTGGTTGTTTGTTAATGAAGTGTAAAAGTGTACATAAACTTATTGTATAAAATGAGTGTGGCCTCTTGACTCTTTTTTTTGTTTTATCTCGGGGCAAATTAATTTTTTTATTTTGAATCTAAAAATGTCTATGTCAGAGGAAATACTAATACTACAGAAAACATGTTTATAACTTATTTCCCATAGTGACATGAAAGCAAAATACTTCAGTGAAGTAAAAGGCTTTTTGGTTTAGTTTTTATTGGCTGGTCCAAATGAAAAGTTAAGCAACATCGGCGTGTGGATGGTTGTGCGTGACGTGCAGCCCTGTGATTGGCTGGTGATCAACGATGAAGGATGGACCCCGCCCCTCCCCCCCGCGACGCCGTGCGCAGGATAAGCGGTTTGACGGTGGATCGATGGATGGAGACCGAAGAGAGCGAAGCCAGTGTTTCGTCCCTCGGCAGCTTCCGTACTTTGTGAACCTACGTCATCATTTCGCGACGAGTCGCACGTTCACAACACAGCGGCGCCGAAGAGTCGCGCGGACTTGTTTCTCCTCGCGTACGTTCGCTTTCATACAAGTTAATAACGTGTTCGCGTCGGTTGAGGGAAGGATTTTTTATTTGTATTTTGGAATTCAATATTGGACTGTGTAAGATCTAAAGTAATCAGTTTAACATTAAGTTCAGAGCTTACAAGATTTTCCTGAATTGATCATTATAATAATGATTCGTGTATTTTCTTTGAGCCAATTTACTACAAACCGACTTTTTTTTTATTTGATTACATGACGAATCTTTGAATTCAAGCAGAAAAATGTAATATTTAGTGATCAACAGATCAGCATTTTACTAATGTTTGGGTAGAATGTATGAATGAATGTATAAATATGTTAATTCTGTGTGATAATTGATCATAAATTATGTTGGACACTGAAATGTCAACTAAAGTGAAAATGTTTAAAAGCAGCTGAATAAGTGTATAAAACCAGAGCCGTGTTTTCTGTGTTCTTTTACAGTTCCACACGTTACCTGCAGAGTGAAGAAACCTGCAAGAGCACCAGAGAGAAAGAGTCATTGATCGACTTGTTATCGGCAATCATTCGAAATCTTTCATGCTTCAGCCATGAGCGAGAGCAGCGACGACGACGCCCCGGCGCTGTCGGCTCACGCCCTCGCCGCCCTGCAGGAGTTCTACAACGAGACCAGCGACGCGCCGCCCGCCCCCCAGTTCGCTGTGGGAGCAGTGGAGGAGGACTGGGTGAGGTGACTGGGAGGGGTCACAGGCCGAGGTCACTGGGTTTACTGACTGGGCAGTCAGGGCACAGGGGGGGGGGGGCTTTCATGACGGATCTCATTGGCAGATAGAAGCTGATTATTTTACCAGTTTGTTTGTTTGTGTCCCCCCAGCGGATGAGTCAGTTCTGGTACAGCGACGAGACGGCGACCCGGTTAGCCGAGGAGCTCGTACGAGAGGCCGGAGAGGGAGGCAGGTAAAACCACGCGCGACCACACGCACACAGACACACTCGCATGCGTGTAGACATTTGAACCCACACTGTCCTGCAGGATCGCGTGCGTGAGCGCGCCCAGCGTGTACCAGAAGCTGAAGCAGGGCGTCGTGCTGGGTTCCGACCGCGTCTCCGCCGTCGTGCTGGAGTTCGACCGCCGCTTCGCCGCCTACGGCGACGACTTCGTCTTCTACGACTATAATGAGCCACTAACCCTCCCCCCCCCCGCCGCCACGGAGCACAGCTTCGACATCGTGCTCGCCGACCCGCCGTACCTGTCCGAGGAATGTCTGAGCAAAGTGTCCCAGACCGTCCGGTACCTGAGCAAAGGAAAGGTGCTGCTTTGCACAGGTGAGACTATTCTGGTTATTATAACACATGTTATTAATATTATTATTATGTGTACAGGTGAGACTATTCTGGTTATTATAACACATGTTATTAATATTATTTTTATGTGTACAGGTGAGACTATTCTGGTTATTATAACACATGTTATTGATATTATTATTATGTGTACAGGTGAGACTATTCTGGTTATTATAACACATGTTATTAATATTATTATTATGTGTACAGGTGAGACTCTTCTGGTTATTATTACGCATGTTATTAATATTATAATATTATAATAATAATACAAATGCTATTAGTAATACCATTTCCACTTATTTTAGGTCCTTTTTTGTGTTTATTCACATGTCACTTTGGTAAAACAGTCGTATTACGAACAGGTTGTTTTTGTGTTTTGAAATGTTCTGAATGTCCATTAGTTGTCACAGCAACATGTTGCTTCCTGCAGGAGCCGTCATGGAGGAGCCGGCCCGGCGCCTCCTGGGCGTCTCCACGTGCCGCTTCCTGCCGACGCACCGCAGGAACTTGTCCAACGACTTCCGCTGCTTCGCCAACTATTCGTCTCAGCTGCTGTCCTGAAGACGCGTCCTCGTCGGAGAGAGACGCTTCGAATGTTTACTGGTTTACATCATTTCAAACTGGGTTTTGGACTCGTGATCTTTGACTGTGATGGACTCGTTTTCTGAGCGGCTCTGGTGGTCGATGAATGTGGGCGGATGTGTCGAGGTGCTCAGTCAACCCCTTGATGATGTCATACTGATTTGAACTGTAAATCTGAACGCTGTAGACGTGCATTGTGGGTAATGTAGGAGGGAATTAGAAGTAAAGGATATTTTTTCCTCATTTGCTTTGATTTTGACAGTTATTGTCTTTCTTTTTTTTATACACAGTACTATGCATTATTTTTGAGAAACTAATAACTAGAGTAAGGCTTAGTTTTTGTTTTGACAAACTATTAAAGTAATTCCCTCTGATACATTTTGGGAGTCTGCTTTTGGTATGAGGGGAAATTATATTATCACAATTTATAAAAACAAATAAGATGGCAAATTCATTTTTAAACCTCACGTCAGAATGTGATTATTCTGAGTGATGCATTGAGCTTCAGGTGAAATCTGTCTCTAATTATGGACATTTCATTTTAAAATGAAAATGGTGAAACTGGTCTGTGGGTGCGATTTGAAGAAACATCACAAAATACTTTTCCAATGTACAATAGCGATTTCTTTTTTCTGACGGACTATTTGGACTTTTTTTTTTTTTTACAAACTAGGAGGATTTTTTCTTTTGACAAACTTTTATAGGACTTTCTTTTTACAAACAATAAAAGCTCACAAAATTTTGAAGGGCATTAATTTCAATCCCTCCATCTGAATGAATAATTCTTTTTGCATTATGAACTTGCAGCTGGAAGCTCACATGAATGATGAATTCACTCCTACAAAGGTCAGAGTAGAACAAACCAGATGAAGTGCAAAATGCATTTGAATTCAGAAACACTATTAGGACAGGATAAAGAAAAGAGGAATTCAAACCCCATTCAAGCATTGGACATTAAGACATAGACCCCGTCAGGCTGCAGCCTTTATAGCACTATAAAATAAACATTCATTTACCCATTAAGTCAGTTTTTAGTGTTCATAAAAAAGTCATTTGAGGTGTATTTGATGTTGAAACCATTCTAGTTGATTTGACCTCAGGTATCAGAGTCCTCGCTCTGCAGGTTTCCCTCATGAAGGCAGCTTATCACCACTGTTCTGCTA